AAGTCCTCGATTCTTGTTTAAGTATACATGAGAATGACCATCAATAGAATACTCAGAATTAATTACCTCTTGGGTTAAGTTTCCAACTTCACAAAGTCCAATAATGTCAATTCCATTCATGTGAATTCTATCTTTTAGTGCTTTAAATCTGGCATTTACATTGGCACCTATACTGTTAATATTTGAGAAAATAATTTTTGTGAGTTGAAAGTTATTTGTAGGTCCTGGATTTGGGTGAACATCATTGCTCAGTAAGAGAATAGCTTGGACTGTGTTAGGTATATAACATAATAGAGCACAGAATGGAATAAACATTAAAAATATACTTGCAAACATCTTAATCATATAAAATGTTCCAAAATGTTTGTGATTGCCATGAATATATATCATTGTACTCATGAAAGTAAATGCAGGGAGAGCCACCAAGAATATACTAATGCATCCAAGTAAAAGAATCTTATAAGATATACAGGCAGTTTGTCTCATTGAGCCTGTCATGTTGAGGTACAATGTACATGTTATAACGAATGTAAGACCAAAGTACCATAAAATTCTGAGAAATAAATTCAAATAATTTGGACTGCATTTATTGGGGACCCTGGTTTCTCCGTTATATAGTGCACAAGATTTTTGGCAATTGTATATTCCAATACATATCCTCCATGCAGAAACACTAATACCCATGAAAGTTTTAAAAAAAAGTTCTATTTACCAAAAAGACTGATGTATCATGTCTGGTCAGCCTAGATGATTATAAATATGCTCTGCCTCTTATTCTTATTGTGAAATAAATGTAATATGCAATATGTTAAAAAGAGCAAGGCTTAGAGTAAACTCTAAAATAAAACGGTTTTCCACCAATAAAACTGTATTCCTCCACAAAAACACCAGATTATTTAGTTGATTGTGTAACTGGTTATTAGATAAAAGCAATGGAAAGTAAATATAAATTTTTGTTTGACTTTAACTATTAGTTGTTAGCTCTGAATGGCAATTTATCCAACATAACATTTGTTCAGAGGCATAAAAAACAGTAAACAGTACAGCCCATGAATACAGAATGAGCTCAGTATGAAAGCATAACTCAAAAGTATCTACAGCATCACCCATTTGAAGTGAGCAGTTTTGGATAACATACAAGTCACCAAATAGCGCTGTTGATTGGCGCAATGTGAGGTCATGACCTTTGGACTTATGCCAAATTAGTGATTGCAGTATAAAGTTTAGTCACACCAATTTTGGAATACGGTGCAGAAGTCTGGGGATTTAAGGAGTATGCATGTATTAATACTGTTTTTCACAGAGCCTGTAGAGCATTTCTTGGATTAGGCAGGTATACACCCAACCTTGCTGTCCAGGGCGAGATGGGGTGGACCTCACCATTTGAAAAACAGATGAAGAAAAACCATAAGTTTAACTTGCGACTTCAGTCCCTTAGCCACAATAGGTTGACCAACCGTATTTACCATTGGAATGTTTTACGTGCTAACAGTGGAAAGAAAAACACCTTATACCACCTGAGGCAGGTTTACGATTCTCTCCAGGTTAATGATGACGACCCGGTATCGGCGATTGTGTCACCTCTGGAACGTCAAGTGCAGAACAACTGGCAAACAAGACTCTGGGACGATTCAAAGCGGCAACAAGGTCAAGGAAACAAACTCAGAACTTTTAGAACCTATAAACATGACATAAAAACAGAAAGATATGTTACATCAACGCTTTCTATCTCTCAAAGAAAGGCATTTGCCTCAATAAGATGTGGTGTAGCACCAATAAGAATAGAAACTGGTCGGTATGAAAGGCTGCCAGTTGATGAAAGGGTGTGTCCCTTATGTGATATTGCAATTGAACACGAAAGACATGTAATTCTGAACTGTTCTCGTTATGAAGACATCCGTTTAGACTTGTATGCAAACGTTTCTACTATTGTAACTGGTTTCATGAATTTAGATGAAGAGAGTAAATTTCAGTGTTTAATGTCTAATGACAGAATTTGTCTTTTCACAGCAAAAGCCTGTGACCGGATGCTTAAGCGACGGGAACATTTTATTTACAAAACCTGATTAATATGTTTTTACAAAAGTGTCTTATAGGCCCATAGGGGGCCTGGGGTGATTTTAACAGTGTACTATTGTTTTAAATATGTAATTGTATTTTAACTCATGACACTATAATAAAATTAAAATAAATAAAAAAATAAAAATAAAAGTCAATTTACACACATACGTTTCACTGTAGCCTATGTTACATGTATGTCTAAAGTCAATAACCCTGCAGACAACCAAAAATCTGAGCTATAAAAAGTTATGCTTGTCCTTTACCCAAACCAATAAAACATAGGAAATAACTTTACTGCATGAGCAAACAAAATCTTACACTGCATTGGACTGTCATTGCAGCTAAAGTGTCTAATAAAAAATGTCACAGCATCAAGAATAACAACACTACAGCTACAGTTATCCCGTTCCCGGACTATGGTCCTGTGAACATCTCAATCTTTTGCCTGTGCGATTACAACATGGGAGAACTTTTTACTCATCTTACACTTCAGATACCTACTTCAATAGATTCCTTGGTAATTTAGCATTCTTTTCGTGTAGTTGAATCCACAATTGTCTGGGTTTATCGGCAGAACGAAGACATTTTCGTTTTTGATCGCAATATTTGCGTGTAACATTTAACTTATTTCAACCGTCAAATTCCTCCATATTAGTACTTCCGGGCTACATCCGGGACAGCCAAACGGGGGATTCCCCTTTTAAATCCAACCGCCATTTTGAAAAGTGATGGAATCTCTCTCGATGAAAAAGAGAAAATGTTCCCGTTCTGCCGATATACCCAGACATCCAGTCATCAAAAAATTCTGAAAATTTTATACATCATCAACTAAATGATTATCTTTTGAATGGTAATAATTTAATCATGTGTACTTCTCCCTATATTGTTTTAGAAAACACATCAGACACTATTTTTATCCTTAGTATCATATGTTTGGATTGAAATAAAATATCTATTCAAACCTCATTGGAACAAAATGACATATACAGAACATGTTTAGGTCTCTCAATTGTAGTTGTACAAAGGAAAGTATCATTTAAAAAAGTAACTTGTCAATGAAATGAAAAGTTTTTTAACATTTTTATCTATTTTTGTTTTTTTGTATGAATTCTTTGAATACTTTTTGTTAAATGAACCAAACTCTCCTTTATATAACTATAATATTGAGAGGCTAAGAAAATGTTGTATATGCTATTTTGTTCCATCAAGGTTCGGAAAGATATTTTGTTTCATGTTCAAGAATTGGTAGAAAGGAACAAAAAACAATTGCATTAAAAAGATTTGAACAAAACAAGTTTGTAAAATATATATAAATAGATTTTGCAGTAAATTGTTGTCAATCAGTGACCATAAAGAGCCGTGTTTTTTAAAGAATGTTTTCAATAATTGTTTTAAGAGAAAAACAATGTTGAATTCAGTTCACCAAATCAATACCAATCCTTTCAATAAAAAGTAATTTGTTTGTAATCGGTCAGATAACAAAGAGCACCTACCTTTCGTGTTTAATTTTATTTTATTTTATTTGTTTTTAGTTTGATTTATCCGTTTTTATGTTTCACGACAATTTAAACAAGTGGGCTCATGCTTATATACTTTTTAAATCATAGGCTTGCCAGTTCTTAGAAGTTGCTAATTAGTAAAATTGGTATGAGAAATTAAGTAATGTGTGCAGAATTAACATTAGTGATTACTTCTGAGAATTCTTATCCGAAGGGAGATGACCGAATGACTCCCAATTTGTCATTTATTGCATGTTATAAATGATACTGCAGACTTTGATCAGTCTATCCTTTATAAAAATATACAGAAATTTTCCCCTCGATTTCAAAGATTTTAATTCGTAACGTGTGCAACTTTTTATCAGAGTTGTTGAAATATAGTAATTTTCCCCATTCAATTTCGAAGAAGTTTAATACGTAACTTTTAATTAGAATTTTTGAATCAGTTCTGAGAAATATAAGCAGCATTGATCATTTATAATTACAAGTACAGTATTTCATTTTGAGCTTGGGATAGTATTTCATCATTGTCCAACACACAATATTTAATGTTTTTTTTGATTGGTGAAGACTATATCTGTTGAAAAAGTGTAGCCAATATTGCATCTATCTTTCTTACCCCTCTACAATTTATGTTATTATTAATACATGAATTAAGATATGATAATAAAGATGCCTAAAAACAATACTCAGAGGTGATATGGTCTTATTGAATTTTGCACCAACCTCTGTCTTCCAGCAATAAAATTTAACATAATTAGTCAATTTGTCTTATTAAAGGTCTAGAAAATTTCTAACTATGTCTTATTATGTTTCTATTGTTTTTACAAAGAGAGGAAATAAATCTCCCATCACACCAAGATCTTATCTTAATGTTTTTAACAACCATCACTAATTTTCTGTCCCAAGAAAGGAAGTTCAGAGGGATAAAAGGAACGCCTCCGTACACCCGTCAGGGTGATAACTGAAATACCATTGGCCAGATTTTGATCATATTTGGTACATATATATCCTATAGGAGTAGAAATTCTGCTCGAAAGCTGATTTTCAAAATGACTACTTGTTTAAAAATGGTGATTTTACAGTAATTTAGGTACAATATATAAAACTGTAATAGCTATATTACTTAAAAGCATATTGCACTTTCTGATGACAACTTTGCTAGTGAGCAACCACTTTGAAAATGGTGGCCATTTTTGCTGTACATTACGTTCATAAAAATGCCAGCCATGGCTGTTCGATGGGATTTGCTATGCTCTGGCTTTGCTGTTGTCTTTTTTGACTAATAATGGTCGAAAAACATTTATTGATCACATGGCTAACAGGAACAAAATGGAGAATTCATTATTTTTTTTAAATGTTATTCAATTCCAAGATTCATGTCCTTTTAAAGCTTATTGGTTGTCAGAAGTCTTAAAGATGTGTACATTTAACCTCCAGGTCGCTGGATCCAGACTGTTCATCAAACAATACTGGATTACTGTACATTAGAAGGCAGCACGTTCCGCATGCCTACCATGGAAGAGTTGAACGACCACAGGATCATCGTGACAACACTCAGCACATCGAGATGCCTTGATGATCTTGGCTTGGATCCAGGTTAGTACCATGTAAATTGAATATACAAAAGAATACAAAAAATCCCAGTGCTTAAATTCCCCTAAATATTTAAAATAGCAACCATAAAATTAGAAAAATAATATATTATTGTAAAAATCTTTAGTTTTCCTAGAATAAAATATGTACTTTGGGGATTTTTATCAGAAAATTGACATGACAAGGAATGTAATGAGCAAAATTGTTCTAAAATTTAACAATGGAGGCATTTGGTCTGATTCTCCAGTCTTCTCTCTGCTAGTTGCCATCAACCATGTCTGGTATAAGTAACGCGTTACATGGGTATATTATTGTATTTGAATGTTTCAGGCTTCTTCACCCATATCCTGATTGATGAGGCTGCACAAGCCATGGAGTGTGAGGCTATCATGCCCCTTGCCCTAGCTAACCATGATACAAGGCTAGTGCTGGCTGGGGACCACATGCAGTTGAGTCCTGAGGTTCACTCAGACTTTGCCAGAGAGAGAGACTTCCATATCTCCCTGTTAGAACGCCTATATGATATATATCCTGCTGAGAATCCATGTAAAATACTGCTGTGTGAGAATTACAGGTAAATGTGGATTATATACTTCTATTTTAATTAACTGGCATTGTGCAAATTCTGCTTTTTAGTAATGATCATTGGCAGATTGATCCATAGGTTCATATATTAACCTTCAACTACCTACTCGTCTAGTTCAGGGTCATTAGACAGTTCATGATCATCAGTTCCTTCAGGGACATCACTCAGTTCATGATCATCAATTCGTTCAGGGACATCACTCAGTTCATGATCATCAATTCCTTCAGGTCATTAGTCAATTTATGATCATCAATTCCTTCAGGGACATCACTCAGTTCATGATCATCAATTCCTTTAGGGACATCACTCAGTTCATGATCATCAATTCATTCAGGGACATCACTCAGTTCATGATCATCAATTCCTTCAGGTCATTAGTCAATTTATGATCATCAATTCCTTCAGGGACATCACTCAGTTCATGATCATCAATTCCTTCAGGGACATCACTCAGTTCATGATCATCAATTCCTTCAGGGACATCACTCAGTTCATGATCATCAATTCCTTCAGGGACATCACTCAGTTCATGATCATCAATTCCTGCAGGGACATCAGTCAGTTCAGACTCCTCAACTATCCTCTCAAAGGATTCAGCTTTCACAAAGCTTCTATCATTATCAATCCAATTTTTATTGAAATGTAACAATCTTTTTACTTGAATTCTAGATCACATGAGGCAATCATCAGTTGCACCTCAGATCTGTTTTATGATAACCGATTGGTTGCTAGTGGTAACCAACCTAGGCATGAAGTTTTCTACCCATTAACATTCTTCATGGCTAAAGGCGAAGACAATCAGCACAATAACAGCACTGCTTTCTACAATACTGCAGAGGTAAGTTGAACAAATTGAATTTAAACTCAGAATCAGGTTTAGGCAGATAGGATATACAACCCTCACAATGTGTTAAAATGCCTCATAAGTGCATCAAAAATACATGTAATAATAATGGTTAACACAATAATGGAGTGATCCAGATTACAGGAATAAAAGATAAATATGTGGATCTTGTACTTTGTTAACTTGCAGGTGTATGAAATTGTTGAGAGGGTGGATGAACTACAGAAGATGTGGCCTAAATCCTGGGGTCCCTTAGATGAGTCTAGCATTGGAGTGGTGTCGCCATATACAGACCAAGTGATACGTATAAGAGCAGAGCTTAGGAAGAGGAAGTTGTTCCGTGTAAATGTAGAGAGGGTCCTTAATGTTCAAGGTAATGTGAAATGGTCCTCAATGTACATAGTAACTTGGAAAGGTCTTCAGTTAGATACACAGAACCTTTAGATCATTTCTTGCAAATCAAATCCTGCAATGTTAAGTTGAAGAGGTCCAATTTAGAGGTCCTATAATCTTTTGGCTTATTTGTATGTAGTATTTATCAATTTGAATTCATCATTATATTTCATCAGATGTTTCGATTCAACAAAAATCTTCAGCTTTGTTGTATTGAAGAATTTGTAATATTTTCAGGGAAACAATTCCGTGTGATATTCCTGAGTACAGTGAGAACCAGAGCCACATGTAGCTCTGACCCTGAGGTTGAGAACCTGCTGGACTATGGCTTTCTTTCTAACATGAAACTGTTGAACACAGCTATCACCCGAGCCCAGTCCCTTGTAGCAGTTGTAGGTGACGCTGTCTCATTGTGCTCCATAGGAAAGTGTAGGTAAGAAACTATGTTGCCTTGAATGAGGGCTAGATTATCAAGGTTTGCTTATTGAATTTTAGGATGACCAGGGTTGACTTAGTAAAGGTTAAGATGACCAGGGTTGATGAAGTATTGGTTGAGATTGTTGACTAAGTAGAGGTTGAGATGACCAGGGTTGACTAATTAAGGGTTGAGATGACCAGGATTGACTAATTAAGAGTTGAGATGACCAGGGTTGACTAATTAAGGGTTGAGATGACCAGGGTTGACTAATTAAGGGTTGAGATGACCAGGGTTGACTAATTAAGGGTTGAGATGACCAGGGGTGATGACGTAATGGCTGAGATGACCAGGGTTAACTAATTAAGAGTTGAGATGACCAGGGTTGACTTCCTAAACGCTGAAATGACCAGGGTTGAGAAATTAAGAGTTGAGATGATGTGGTTAAAGTTGCATGTGCAGGAAATATACATTTAATTTGTTCATTTAACAAGCCATAGAAGTTTTATTTGTACACATTTTTATTAATTTTTTGATTCAGGAAACTCTGGGAATATTTCATAGACATTGCACAGCAGAACAACAGTCTATTTGGCATCACATGGACTCAAATCAGAGCAAGCTTAGATGGTGTAGAGTTGAAGAAAACCTATGTACTAAACCCGAATGCACCCGAGTTTGTGCCCAACAGACTTCGTCATGGCCCAGATTTTCCAGTTGTCGTTCCGAGACCTGGACACCCCTACATCAATAGTCCGGCATATATGTCAGCTCAGCCGCACTACACTTGGTACATGCCACGACCACCCATCTATAACCCTTCAGTAAGTGAATACCAGGTAGATGTTATATTGTATGCTTTATTTGAAGTGTAATAAAAATGAAGAAATTACAATCTGTCAACTTCAATATGATCATCATATCAGTGTCAAAAGATTTTTTATCAATTATTAATCATTTGAAAATATTGACAGATAAAAAGTAATTTCATCATTTCATATTTATTTTTTAAGTTGCTTCATACTTTAGTGATTAAATTTTAGATTTGATGTGTTCTAACTTTTAACCTAGTTATTTTATTGCATTAAATTTTAAGAATATGCTCATCTGGAATTCTTTTCTTACTTTGTCAACACACATATCACTGGTAGATCCAACAGCTAACAAGGCTTTTAGGCCCATAAAACCCAAAGTTGGGCCCACATTTTGAAAATTAAAGGCCCATTTTTGATAATTTGGCCTAATATTTAAATATAAGGCCCAAAAAGGCCAAGTAATGCCCACTAATTGAGGCCCAAAAATTTTTTGGCCCTACAAAATTGTCTGCGCCCATACTAGGGGAAGGCCCAAGCCCCATGGGCAGTTTTCTTCAATCGTTCTTCTCTATCCCTAGCTCTTTTTTTTGAATAGGAATGGAATGAATAGGAATCTTGTACTAGATTCAGTGAATTTGTTGAAAGTTTATGAAATAGTCCATGATTGGAAAAGAGCTGTCCAGCAATTTTGGAAAACGGTTGCTATTCTTGCGACATAGTTATTGAACTAAAACCTGTGTATATCCAACTTTTTTGCTGAGAAAAGCGTTCAGTGTTGGTAGGTATTCACTACAGAGAGGATAATTCATACAGAAGTCACTTGAGTATGTGTGGAGGAAGGCCAATGTTTACTAGAGAGAGGTGTTCATTAAGACAGGTTTGCTGTATAATCATTCTTCTGTAGGAATCTGAGAAATATATATTGAAAAATGAAGGTTTGATAGCAAAATCATCTTTATTTATTAAACAACTTTTACATGTAGTGCTATACTAGTATAATATTTCAATATGGTCACATTTGTAACATCTGTTATGTCTTTAACCTGTTAGACTCTACTCCAGGACTCAAGACTCAAACTCCTAAACTATTACATTCTCTACTTCTCCACATGCCACAGCGGCAACAAACATGCTATCATTGTCATTCCAGTCTGCACAGAGAGGGCCAGCACTGTCCCATATCATTTGGCACCTCTCAAACCTACAACCAGCAAAGATAATATTGTATAATAGAATAGAATTCAATATATGTACATGCCACAGCTGCTACAAACATGCTATCATTGTCATTCCAGTCTGCACAGAGAGGGCCAGCACTGTCCCATATCATTTGGCACCTCTCAAACCTACAACCAGCAAAGATAACATTGTATAATAGAATTATGAATTTGATGTACATGATACAGCTATAAATAAGCTCTTGATTTGACCAAAAGACCCAGATTCGTTTTAACAGATCTTTGATACAGGGGTCCCCGTGACATGAAATGGGTTATCTCATGTAAAAAGTACAGTAATCCACAAGTGTGCAAGGAACTGCATGAATAAACCTTTCAATTGAGACATTAGTCTATTTGCAACAGTTCAAGTTTATATTATCAAAACCAGGAACAGTTAGGATATCATTTCTTACACTTAGAAATGGATAAGATGAGAATTCTACACCTGGTTAAGAAACAATTCTGATGTGTTCTATTTAAACATAACTGACCTTAGATCAGAGGGGTCACAGTCCAGTGCAATCTGCATGACTAGAGCCAGAGACCCAGTGCCATATGGTGACGCCTGATAGGCTATAGTATTCTCAGTGCCAAACCCCAGCGTGCTACACACTATCTCTGCATGTATCTTCTCAAAGTCCTTGCCACATATAGTCCCCCACACCCCAGCATAGTACACCTCAACACGCCCAGATCTTTCATTGGGTCCATCTACTAACCGGACTGCAATGCAAAATGCAAGGCAATATACATACTATGTTTTGAATATATGACTTTAAGCTGAATTGGTCATCTTTGGTTTCATCACCTGATTTACTCCAATGTTACCTTGTGTTGAATTATGAATAAGGGTAATGTACTGTACTTTATTACCCTAGTGTTAAGTCACCTCTTTTAGGATCAAATTGAGTAACTGTCTTGTGTTACTAAGTAGTTAATCATAGTAATACCCCAGTGTTAACTCATAAAGGAGTATACCCTTATATATAGTACCTGGATCATATATGAAGTTATATCCAAGTGTTACCTTGTATTGGGTCTGGTCGACAGTCAATACCAATCTGATCCCTCTCCCCACACCCCTCAATGATATCATCATGTCTGATACGAGGGATTCTCCCAAACAGGACATTATAACACTTCTGGTATGTCTCTTCATCTCCATGACAGTCTACGCCACTCAAACGCGTCCTCTCCAAAGTTGAACGAAAGAAACGGTGACTAGGGAGAACTGCAGGCTTTGTGCCTTGAGGGTCTATACCTAACTCTCTGCATGCAACTGTTGCTTCATCTTCATTGAATAGGTACCCACACACTGGGCTTTTCTTCCCATAGCCATATACCTCAAGCCTTCCCCTGGTTTCTGATTCTCCATCAACCAGTCTCACTGAACAGAACATATACATACACATACATACATACAGATACAACACATAACACATACATACAGATGTAATAGACTATGAACATTACGTGTAAATGGACTTAGTTTCTATATGTATTTTGATATGATTCATATGAAGAAATGGGCAATGTTTCATAATGGTTTAATAAAGTATGTTTTTATTGTCGCCCTTTGTTCTTTCTTACTTTAAAGATATGATTGCACATGTTTAGTTTGAAAAGGCAAAGTATTCTCTATATACAAAATACCTACTAAGGTAAATACAGATGAATATAAGTTGATTCATCATCCCAATGTACTTAAATTGTAATAGGATCCAAATGTCCGAATCATTAATATTGCGACTTACATTTAACAGGCTCCTTTTTACATGATACAGCAAATGCATGTCTGTGGTAGCATTTCAGGTCATCAATAAAGCCATTATAGTCACAGTCCATGAGAGAGTCTTCTGTTCCATCACATAGGAAGTTTGGCACAATGACATAGTCACTCTCATCAACTACATCAAAGAAGTTGTCAAACAAAGGATAGGCGTCCTCTCTGTTGAATCCAAGCTGGCCACATATTACCTGTAATGATTATTTGGTGTTAACATATTTTGTATTATTCATGTTTTTTTCATGATGGGATTTTGGTGTGGCCTTGAAAATAAGTTGTATGTTTAGCTCGTAAGTTCACACCCCAACCCCCATTAACAAATTACATTGTGGCTTTACCTGGGCTTGCTTTGTCATCCTTTCAATGTCTATGTTATAAGATGGGTTACAAATGTAGCCCCATTTGCCTAGTGAATGGACCTCCACATTCCCCTCCCAACCCCCTCGACCTCCAACCAGGCGCACTACAACACATTATACGACATGCATATAAATATATTCATCCATGTAGACTAACTGCTAGATACTAATTACATATACCGTATTCTCTGTAATTAGCGCCCAGGGCGTTTAGAAAATTGAAAATACATTATTTAGACCATTCTAATAAGCGCCCATGTATGAAAGAAATCAGAAATCCCGAGGAATTTCATGTATGGCAATTTTTCTTGACAAGAATGCATTTTCTTCAACATATTTTTATAATAATATGACAAGTGCTGTTATTGGAGAGAATACGGTAAAGATCGCTTAAACAATATTGACAGTGGTTGAAGACCCGTCTATGTCTAATTTATTTCCGGCACGCCCACTTTGTCATTATCGCCGATTACCTTCAATATTTCCACTAGAGACTGCTGGATATCGATCTAAAGTTATACATTATTTCTAATTTGATGAGAGATCATCATTATTCGTGCAAAAGTCGTGTAAAAGTCGAGAAACATTAAAAAGAAACCAGAAAGTTCACGACCTTGACATGCGCAGAACATCTGCGCAGTAGCTTTTGAAATTTCTGAATGCCGATAAAGAACAATTCCTTCATTCATTATGGACTATTTGGAGACAATATTAGCATGGTATGGTGTGGGAAGCACCCATCGATAGATATGTATCGAGAGGATGCATAGAATTACAAAACGCGTCGTGTTTACAGCAGTTTTAGGGTAAGTACTCTATTATCGCCCGCTCCTGGATTTTGAGAAATATTTTTTCCTGATATATTCTTCAATTCTTGTTGATTCCTCGATGTTTCTTGAACTTTGTGAAGCGGGGTGGGCGCTTATTAGAGAGTGGGCGGTAATTACAGAGAATACGGTAGTAAAGTACCATCTTTGAAACTTTTTTGCAAAATCTTCATTCTCACATATTTTGCCTTTAAGTCGATTCTCTCAGTCTCGTTTAGGCTTTCATAAGTCTAGGGTTAGAGTTTAACATAATCAATTACATTCCTAACCTTTTGGCACCTCTGGGGCACACCACAGTGTACTAGCCCAGTTCTTGTAACACTTATAAAAAGGAGGGATGTAGTCCCTCCATCCAGAGTTTGGACAATCTTGTAAGGCAGCCTCATCTCCTGTACATGTGACCTTGTCTAACACAAATGGCTTCTCAACCCATTCAAATATCCACCCGGATATTGTGATTGGAATGGCATCTGGGTAGCCTAGTTGACGACATGTTACAGAGGCATCATCCCGAGTGTCAATGGCGCCACCACATAGGTACCCCCAGCTACCATTGTGGTACACTTCTACGATCCCTGCTCTTGGGTCAGATCCCCCGACTAGACGCACTGAATGTAATGTATTCTATGAATTAAGGTTATTTTTTTATTGGATTCAAAATTTGGAGCATGAGTATCGTTTTAGCTCTGCTAAAGAACAGATGTTAATTCCCAATTTTCACCTTGTGATACAACTTTTGTTAAACTAAATGAGAGGGGACTATTTTTATTGCACTTTAAAGATCAATATTGTCATCATCTTGCGCTGATGGGCTTTCGGTCATGTGGGCAGATGCCACATTAATCAATTCTTGTTTATAATTTGATGTGATAATATTGTGTTTATTGTTCAGTGTTAAGTCAGAATACTGCTATTAAGTCTTACCTAGCTGAGGTGGGGGCATAGAAAACACAGTGACACATAGTGAGAGGAATGTTACAGCGCCCCCTATATCAGAACATAACATGTCTTCCAGCTCTACAAATGCAATATTAGAACAATGTGAAACTCTAGTAAACACACCTTCTCGGCACATACTGACTTAAATACTCTTTCTGTAGTGTATATCTACAGTACCAACACTGAATGTTTTTTCTCAACCAAAAATGTTCAATGTACAAGGTTTTACTAAACATGTAATAGAGAGATTATAGCCTTGATCAGAATTTTGAAATTGTTGAAGCAGACTGTTTTAATATTATTTCATAATATATCCTAAAACTTTTTATTTTTGCAATTGATTTATAGGCTAATCATTTAGTTGTGTTATCTTAAATAAATAGTATTATGGACATTTTGAAGTTAGAAGTATGAAAGTATGTAAATCTTACCTTATTGAGGTCTAATGCCATCAAATGAAGGATAAATGACATTTAATTGAAGCAGTACGCTGCATTCATTCTCTTACAATATCATAAAGATAGGATTGCATTTCATTTCATGAGTTTCATATCAATTTTTATAATCATAGAAATCTCCTCAAGTTTCTCTGTCTCCATGTTCAGTGATTAAAAATGAATTAACATTTATTTTGAATTGTATGTAATCTTTAGCTGCATCTGGGGATATATATTGAATTGTATTGCAAAAATTGTATGTAAAGTTGGATGATTAATAGTTATGAAAAATCATTTGCGAAGTAATTCATTCTTTATGAGAGGGAGGGGGTATATTCATGATAAAATATGAGGTGCAAGGAATGATAACTCTTACCAATAAAGGTATAAGTATATTACTTAACAATTTTCTTTCATGATCTTCCCATCTCCTTATTACATTAACCATTGATTATTGGGTGCCTTTAGCAGACCATCCAGAATTATGTGGGCAAAAACACAAAATTATGCAACGTAGCGAATAGACATGTAACTATGGGGGGTCTTCTTAAGTAACTTTTACAACTTTCATGTACTATAAAGTTCTCAGATGAGCATACCATTTATTAATTCTAATACATATATATACCAGGTGTCCCAAAAAATGTGCCCCTTTTTTACAAGTATTATCTCGGCAACTGATAGACCAAATTCACTAAAAATTTGTACAAAGTAGCCTGAGAGTATCATTAGCAAGTTGTAAAAAATATAAAAAAGATTAGTAAATATTCTATGATTACTAAGAAATTCAAAATAGCATGTCAAAATTCCCAAACCGGAGCTATGATCATAGACCTCTTTAGTGTCTGTACCAGCTATCATCTTCGCACGCTTCAGCTTCACTGTAAGACCTGAGTGATGTCTGATTAATTGTTTTCATTTATCCCACATATCCAAAATCTCAAATCATTCTTAAAATTCATTGGAGGTGATATTGTTAGAATAAATATGAAAAAGTATTTTTGCTTGGAATGGATTAATAAGTGACTTTTACATTGATATTGGTTATTGTGACAAACTGTCTTTAATTCTAAAATGCACACAAAAGATGAGACCAATCTCTAACATATCTGTGGTACTAGCAGAAGATTTCCTAAAGTGCCTTAGGTAGAGTTTCAAAGAATTTGGCTTGTCTATTGCTGAGAATTTACTTGTCAAATTGCTTCTAATTTTTTGGTACAAACGCTATGAAGTTTTCATTGCGTTGCTCTGGTATTGGATATTATGACATGTTATCTGTAATTTCTTAGTACTCACTTAACAATTACTTGATCTTTTACATATTTTTGTTCATATTTTTGTTCATATTCATATATTTTTCATATTCAGTTGCCGAGATAATACTTGTCAAAAGGTGGCTCATTTTTTGGGACACCCGATATATATAAATATATCTTGATATTTATTTCTTTGCTTTCATATTGTGTAAATAGTGTATCACATTATGATTTGATATGATTTCTTGTATAAACATTTGTGATCAACTCTGAAGAAGAAATATGGTGACATTTGAAGAAAAGTGAAAAGTGGTATTCTGTTATCACACCGAAGTCTAGCTTGATTTGATTGATTTTTTTACGTAAATGTCACCATATTTCAATTCCAAGTTGAATTTGTACACCATTTTAATACCATTTTGATTTTAGGATCTGTTTGAAAGGTGGATTGAAGAACATGTGGAAAATGAATTAAAACATTTCTGTCCTATTCTACATCGAAAATAAATCTACTCTTCAAAATCTTGAGAAAACCCTCTTTCCTATGTTTGATTTTCACTTCTGCAGATTTTTAATTTGTTTTCTGCCTAAGCTTTTTATTAGAGAGATTTTGTCTTATTAGTTTATATTTTATTTTGAAAATGAAAACCATAACTTGGAGTCTATGCACACACATACACTTAGAAGCGGTGGTCCTGGAATTTTATCAATGAACAAGAAATACACAAATAAAGAATCAATTAGATTAAAGGAGTTAGAATGGATGGAGAGGGGAAATTTTTTAGAAGCAATCTTCAAAAAGCATGCCATTGAGGTATCTAATTACCCAAATGCGAGTAGGTAGTTACCAGTTTCACCACCAGGTGGCTGATTCGGGTCAATTAACATGGCAGGTATATAAGAAAGTTCCCTTAAATTTGAATATTATCAATTTAAGTGGCTCAATTTTAATATAACCCTTATGTGTCTAATACTTATACTAATGAAAATATGTCCAGTAAAGCAAAATATTATCTGTCCACTAAAAGAAAAGATATTTCATTTTTTGTGATTTTATAGCATGGGGTCTATGGGGAATCTCCCCGAGCTAGAAGTCACATTTTCAAAGAAAATTAATTTTTCAAAGTTGATAAACACTTTTTAAAACCACATTTCTAGATGTAATTCTACATGTAGATTTCAAATATGATATTACTTTGACTGAATTTTGAATTTTTAATGACGTAAATCAAGATTATTTCTACTCGCATCTGGGTTATTGAATATTGAAGTTACAGATGTATTTGGAAAATTTATGATATAGAACTTCAAGGGCCATAATAATAATATGTACATACTATCTAGTACAAAGTACGAGTTATGGTTTACATCTCTGTGTAATTTATATCAAAATCTTGTCTGCTTACATTCTTCTCAGTTTGATCTTCATATTACAATTTGAACATGGCAGAAATGTTCAATATCATAAATTGTTGCGGCCAAATGCAATTCAATTGGGGGGGATATGAAGCTTATTTTGCTTAGTTTAGCTTTTATATTACGTTTTAGATGTATTATGGCTATATGTCACCGTACATGCAGGGGTACCCATATTTCACAGCACCTACCACATCACCTAGAAACTCACAATCTTCTAAATCTAATAAAAAGGTAGATCCCTGTATTAATACCTCTATACAGTTCTAGCATCTAGTCCTTTGAACACAGGGTGGGCCAAAAAATATTGTCATTGCTTAAAAGGTATTTGAAGTCTCAATCAGATACATGTATATACAATCCCAAATGGAGACATGTTGTGTAAAAACGACCATGTCTTTTATGAAAGTTTCTGAGTCCACCTTGTAATTAGATATTTCTTTTATTGAACTTATAGATTTATTGACTAGCATATTTTTATTATACTTACTTTTCATTGATTTAAATTACTAGTGTAGATATTGTAAAACTATAGTATAAACAAGCATAAAAATATTAAAATGGACATAATGAGGTAGATGAAAAAATCTAAATACAATGTAGTCTAAATTGTTACATGTACGTATTTGTTATTACCATATTCTCTGTAATTAGGGCCCACCTCCTTATAATCAACCATCCCCTTCTCAAAATTCAAAGAATATTGAGGATTGTCATATAAACGAAAAAGCTCTTTCAAACATGAATTCCTGGGGATTTGACTTCTTTCATATAAGTGCACTTATTAGAATTGGTTGAAGATGTATTTTGAAATTTCTAAGAGTCCTGGGCACTAATTACAGAGAATATGGTTCATGCTTTACATTCATGAGTAAAAAATTAAAGAATTTGATATCTTGCAAAACAACTCTCCCATCTTGTTATGTTTTTGTTCCTCAGGATATCATTGTGGGTATCTACGTACATTGTTATTTAAATAACTTTATTGAAAATAATCATTCATACTTATCTTATTGCAGAGTCTGTCTGTCAGTCAAGTGTCCCCCAAGATTGCCAAGAGCAGCTCTCCTGCAGCAAGTTTACCTGGGGCCCAAGCTACCCCTGTAGGTCCAGGGACCCCTAACTACACAGTAGTTTCAGTGAGCAGGCCAAGTTGTGGGACCAGTACAACTACGGGTACACCCCCTAAACACCATTCCCCCGTCCCAGCCTGGCAACATGGGGCTGGTGTCCCGTACCAGCACAGATTTCCAGGAACTCTACAACAGATGCAGCCTCCTGTCATGTTAGGCTTTCCACCAAATCCCATGTTGATACCACATCCTCAGCTTGCGTATCATCCATCACTTGGAGCTGCCCAACCAATGTTATATCCACCTTTTCTTGGCCCTGGCCCCTTTGTGGTACCCTCTCCCCAGGGGCAGGCTCCCACAGCTGCTCCCTCCCCCACAGGCATGCCCCCTGTGTCTACCACACCCGCACCACGAGCAACCACATCTCCTATAAGTATCTCTCAAGGGACTAGAACCACTGATAAAAGTGAGCAACAACAGGCAGCCTCACCCCAAAGCCCCATGCACCCTGGGTTCCGTATTCGACCTATGCTACAAGGGGAAGCCATGCGACCAACCATGGCAAACTCCCACCCACATATACAGCTATTACCTAATGTAAAGCATATCCCACCACACCTTGCCAGCCACTCCAAATCCATGCCCCCAAACCACCAACCGAGATCCATGGTCCCTGGGCGACAGGCCAGTGTACGACTACCAACATACCAACAAGGCCACCACCCCCTACTCCCCAATGTAGATGACAGGGTGCTCATTACAAGCCCCCACCTTCAGAGAGAGTTCTATATGTATATACTAAACACTGAAGGAAAAGTGGCTGCTGATAGCTTCATTGAGTACATCCAGGAGCAGACAAAAATTGCTGCCTCTCAGGCACATTTAGGGGCCCCTTTGACAATCCACCCGTCCCCTCATCCTGGGGGTCAGCCATACCCCCAGATTCAGTCTCAGGCCCCACCAGTGAACAACACACTGACTAATAAGGCAAGTAGTCCAGATACGAAGGGAGTACAGCAGCAGAAGTCTCTGAAGAAAGAAGTGGTCAGTGTAGCGGTAACACTAGATGAGGCATCTAGTTCTCGGAGCTCACCATTATCTCTGTGCAGCACTGACGACTTATCTGACCAATCATTTCGCTCATCTGAGCGCACACGGGATCTTAGAAGCCCAACAGGGGGAGCAACTGGTGGTATTGCGGGAGCAATGTGTGGTGGTAATTTTGAAGAAAGTGCAATAGAACACATTGTAAAGTCTATGGACCATCTAGTCGATGAGAGCAAGGAGAATGAGCTTGGAAACATACACATAGCACAGAACATTATGAAAGTTGCATTCTCCGGCCAGAGTGCCCCTCAGCGGAATACTCCTCTCTACATGAGAGGAGGCAATGTGGGGACACCCGGCTCTGACATGGAGAAGAAAACTGAATCTGGTCCTTTGTCATATGCTGGGGCATTGAGGAAGCAAACAACTCCCCCAGCGACATCCACATCCCCACATCTTAGTCAACCCACACACAGATCCATGGACCATAATAAGGTCACACAGAACCCAATGGTGCAGTATGCGAGCATGATTGAGAATCATCGTCAAAACAATGTATTAAATAATCATTCTGCACCAGAAACTGCATACCATACTAGCGCCAACCAATTTGGGGCACACTCTAATAATGCAGAGACATCTAGTGGTGTCCAACAGAACCATGCCAGTAGTTCAGCAGCGTTTGAGGCTTTTCTTCAGCAGACTAAGTCTATTCCATCCCAGGGAGGTCTTCTGGGTCCAAACACTGATAATGACCTATACAGGGGTTTGTTACAACCAATTACACCACAGGGCCGCCCTGATCAAACCCAAATTCCCCCAAACAACCTGAACTTAAATTTAGAGGACGTAATCTCAGATGATGCAACGTCGGCATTCCAGCCACCAGTGTTACTGCCCACTACACCGGATCAGGAACAAGATCCATTAGAATTGCTGAGACACCTGAATATCAAAGCTTCACCAGGTACAGAAGCATTGTATCAGTACTTCTCATAGAAATATTGATTACATCGGAGTGCATTGTAGTAAGGCTTATTATTCAATCATGGGTAATATCCATTTCCAAATTCCATATGTTACAAAGCACTTTGGTGTGTTCCTGATACTCTAATGCTACACAACACAAAGTAATTGGTACATTCACGATTCAAATGGTATTACACTGTATGATATCAATGCTGACATTTATATTTATATACTACAAGTACATATCCTGCAGTAAAACTATTGGAAAAAGGCCTATGTTGAGAATGGCAAAAAAGTTAAAAAATAAGTAGTGAATTCTTGCCAATGCCATATATTGTTTGCTTTTGTGTTTTACTGATCCTTGCAGGTCTCGAGTCAGTAAGCACAGAAAATGTCAATGTTGGCTGAGATGAATATACAAAACTCTAATCTCAGCTACTGGTAAAGGCAAGAATGCATGAGAAAAAACATATAAAAATGTAACAACTTATTGAAGTTTGTGAAAAATTAGAAAAATTAAAAAATGTATAAAAATGCTTTTTATGAAAAAGCACCAAAAATAAAACAACCTAATCATAGTTACAAGATGTAGAAAATTGTAAAATGTGTGCTTGAAATGAGTAATATGTGTGCTTAAATCGATTGATGTGTGTGCTAAATTGAGTACTGATGTTGGATTCATGTACACGTATTGTCATTGTAAAGATAGAACTTTATTTTAGGTTAGAGATGCACTAGTATGTAAAAATATAATATTGTGGAAATTGTTAAATGTATGGATGTAATGAAAAAAGTCAGATGTTGTTTTATATTTAGTAATGTACATTGAAACCTGTATATTCAAACACCTCTCTTAATCCTAACAACTCTCAATATTTTTTTTCATTTCTCATTTATTCCATATATGATATATTGCCTACGTTTTTCAACATTATCGGCAATATACAAAACATATCAAACTGGAAATAATGAAAGTACAATAGATAGCTAAACAGATGTATGTATGTATTTAATTTTTGTATGTAATATGACCCCTTCCCGATTGATTGGTTGCTCCTAATGACCCCCCCCCCCCCCCTAATACTGAACCATAGGCTAATGGAATGTGTTTGATTGAGACAGGTTTCTCGTACAGTGCTTCAAAATCTATAGTTTGCATAGAATGAAACAAGCAACATGTTTTTTAAGTTTTAGCCTATCATACACATAAATAGCCCAATATTGGAGAGATTTCTCAACTCACTTATAGCATGTTTATTATTCCCATAAGTGTGTTGCTAAAGCTCTCTAATATGTTTCACAATAAGCTGATGATACTAAGGTAATTAAATGTCAGTTCACGTTTTAATTTAAATACACTGCATCTAACAATTGAGTATTGAATAGTGCAGCAAAAAATGAGCTATTTTAGTGTATAGTAGGGTAAGGTGTGTAACTGGGTCAAGAATGAAAGAGAACAAAAGAGCCCTGTCACACAGAAGCATGCCGCTGTAAACACCAAAGAAGCATGTCTCTGTAACACCATGGAAGCATGCCCCTGTAACATCATGGAAGCATGCCCCTGTCATGCCACCGAAGCATCCATCTGTCACACCATGGAAGCATGTTTCTGTCACACCAAGGAGACATGCCCCTGTCATGCCACAGAAGCATCCATCGGTCACACCATGGAAGTATCCCTCTGTCACACCATGGAAGTATGCCTCTGTCACACCACAGAAGCATGCCTCTTGTCATACCAAAGATGCATGCCTCTGTCAAACCATGGAAGCATGCCCCTGTCACACCACAGAAGCATGCCTCTGTCACTACATGGAAGTATGCCCCTCTCACACCCTAGAAGCATATCTCTGTCATATCATGGAAGCATGCCCCTGTCTCACCACAGAAGCATGCCTCTGTCAAACCATGGAAGCATGTCTCTGTCACTACATGGAAGCATGCCCCTGTCACACCACAGAAGCATGCCTCTGTCAAACCATGGAAGCATGCCTCTGTCAAACCACAGAAGCATGCCTCTGTCAAACCATAGAAGCATGCCTCTGTCAAACCATGGAAGCATGTCTCTGTCACTACATGGAAGCATGCCACTGTCACACCACAGAAGCATGCCTCTGTCAAACCATGGAAGCATGTCTCTGTCACTACATGGAAGCATGCCCCTGTCACACCACAGAAGCATGCCTCTGTCAAACCACAGAAACATGCCTCTGTCAAATCATGGAAGCATGTCTCTGTCACTACATGGAAGCATGCCACTGTCACTACACGGAAGCAAGCCCCTGTCACACCCCAGAAGCATGTTTGTTTTGTTCTGTAATATTTTTGTAATTTAAGAACTCCAAAAAAATTAAAAATTAAAAAAGATAAAAAACTATGAAACCAAAAATATATATAAAAATAAATATGAAATTGGAACATAACTATTTATGATATCCATTGTAAAATTCATAAAAATACATGTTCTTTGTGCTTTTGAACACCATAAGATGTATGTTTTGCTTCTTTTGTGAACTATTGGTAAGACAATGTTTCTTACATTGGATATGGATAAATTGTTAGGTTCTAATGTCACAAAAAAATATGTAGTATGAATTTCATGAGATCTAATCCAGAGAAAGATGGCATTCCAGTCATTTCCTGTGTCTGTCGTGAATAATTCTAGATATAGGCATGCAGATATAGATTGAAAGTGAGTGAGAATAGACCAAGGACTGACTGTTTTGCTGTTCTTTATTTGGATGGATGTATAATATATATATATAAAATGAAATGTCATTTATTTTTTAGAAGTAGAGCTATCATATATATTTATGTACGTAGCAGTGTTTTTTGTGTCTCAAAGTCAAATGTTACATATTTGGATAATCTAAATGTTACATATTTGGATAATTCAATTGTTACATATTTGGATAATTCAAATGTTACACATATGGATTATTCAGATGTTATATATTTGGATAATTCAATTGTTACACATTTGGATTATTCAATTGTCACACATTTGGATAATTCAAATCTTATATATTTCGATAATTCAAATGTTCATTTGGATAATTCAGATGTTATATATTTGGATAATTCAAATGTTATATATATATTTGAATAATTCAATTATTACACATTTGGATAATTCAGATGTTACACATTTGGATAATTCAGTTGTTATATATTTGGATAATTTAATTGTTACACATTTGGATAATTCAAGTGTTATATATTGACTAGACTAATGTAAACACATCAGTGAAGAGTTGTAATGTTCGTCCAATGCTTATGCTGCCTTGCCTTTAAGTTTATTTGTAAAGTTGTAAACATCTGCGTTTGATTTATAAGGATGGCATATACATACGAGATAACAATTGCATGTTTTTCTGGATGGAAATGAAAAGATTGCGTGTGTATATGCAATTATCTGATAAATAATCAATCTAAAGGTCACACTCTGTAGTAAATTAGTAATAGGATATTGGGTAAATGGATGTAGTTATATTTAGTGTAGCGTCACAGATAAAAAGGACACCGATTTGTATCAGAATATATTTGAAGTGGGAATTAAGAACCAACATGTTATCAATGCAACATATTTAACACATTATAAGTAACGAAAATTGTATTTTAAGTTCTCACACTTTGATATAATTTGACCCAGTTTATGTGTATGACAATCATCAAAAAATTACAATACAGGTGATATGAATGATATACATATAATTAATCAATTAATCTAGCCTCTGAATAGACACTCCCATCATGTTGTTCTTAAAAAGTACACATAAACTGGGACACCTAGGAAATTTGAAACTATATAGCCTATATATTGAAGTATATCCCAAATACAGTACAGTGTATATTAAATCAGTGAGTTAAAGGCCTCTTTTCTGAAGTCTGGTGTCAAATATCAAAGAATCTGAACATATTTGATGAACAAGTACATTCTATTTTCCGATATTACATATGTTATTCAACGGCTTTGAGTTCAAGTCCTGATTGAATGGAGTAAAATTTTCTCAGCTCTAAACATATATGTAGTTTTTTTTGTATTTAACACCCAGACTTGATTGAAAGAGTGCTTCAATTAACATCATTGCATAACAGGTGTCGGGACAGTGCAGGCCTTGTGAAACCCAATTTAAACCACCTCTTAATTTTTTGAACTAATGTATGTTCAGCTACATGTTCCTCAGTTAGTAATATGACCATCTGATCACAGCCCACCAGAGGCAGTTATTGATGGAGCCTATGTTGTCTCAATCTTCTATCCACACTCTCCCCCTCCCCCAAGGCCTGTGCTGATGTATTATCTTTCAAATTATATATTTTGCTTTTGTTGAAAAGCAGCTAGCTCTAGCTCAGACTGTGCTAGCTTTGTTGAAGTTATCGGTTATGTAGTTAAATTGACATATTCTCGCTTGGACCGATCATACATAGAATAGTATCTCACTTTGAAAGCATCATGGGTGGCAATCTAAATCAAAGGTTTTATTTATGTCAGATTGTATCAAAATGAGGGATATATGAAAATACATTTTACCATCTCTTGAAAGCCCTTTGTATAAAACGTTCTGAAGTTTAACTTCATTTTACCTTGAATCCCTTGAATCTTAACTATCTTATTGATTTGTGATATCAAATTAATATCCCAATAATAATGAATTCAAATCAGGTCATTCTACTTAGTTAGCTGTGGTCAGTTTTATGATGTTAAGAAATAATGCAGAATTGGACAATGAGACACCAATATGCTGAGAAGTGAATTTTTGAAGATGTGTGATTGGTCACTTTTGGCTTCATTTCTATATGATGCGGCCACTTATATTATTATTATTGGATGTTGTTGTTTTAGATTCACCAAGCGGGTAACAGTTGATGTTAGAAATATTCTTGTTGTTCCAATAAGTGGATTATAAACTTTTGTAAAATTCTTTTTGCATGTAAATCAAAAACACCAAAATAAACAACACATAATTTTAAAAATATGTTTAAACATACAGTTGCAATATAAAATTATGAATTAGTATGTATTGTACTAAATACCTTATATTAGAAAAATGTACTCAAAATCTAGGAAACTATATTTCTAATTTCAACTGCACCCTTTTGGATGTTTATATTAGAATAAATAAATTGCTCTAAATGGTAAAGAGATTGTGTTTATCTTGTTTATTATTCTGGAATATCTGTTATTGACATCATTCATTTGGCCTGTTTGAAGCTTTACAGTTCACATCCACACAATCAGTGTTGAAAAATGAGAAACCTACATGGTTTACAGTCATTTTTGACTTGTCATAAAAAGCCATAATTTACGGTAACTCAGTCCTACATCAGATATTGCAATCTGTTGAATCCATCAGAGGATGTCCATAAAATTAAGTCAGTCCTACATATTCATTGTATATTGCCAATTCAAATCCTCCAGCGGACAACATAGTGGTTTTTCTTCCCTGCAAATAAAGGACATTAAAATCAGGTCAAAATTATTCAACATAAATGGATAATTCCCTCCAAATTCAAGCTTCTGTGATTATTTTTTACGTTTTTGTTTCATTAAAACAACATATGTACAGATTTGTGGCCATGACACCTATACATTTAATAAAAATGTAAATCAAAAAAATTTGAGTGCTTGAAAGTAACACAATATGACACTGGGTGAACCATAATTTGTCTCACGAATTATAAACATTGGTAAAAATGATAATGTACAACATACAGGATGGAATCCCCCTAACTGAACATCAAAATCAATATTTTAAGAACATAAGGCTTTTTAGTTTATAAATGTTTTTTTAATAAGGTAATAGAGTTTGACATTTTGTTAGGCCCTTACTAGTATTTTCCAATCTTTTTTTAACTGATAAATATACTGTAAAGTATGTTGTAAGATTGCTTACCTATTCTAATGATTGTTATATTGTTGGGCAGTATATGCTCCCCTGGTATCAGGACTAAATGAGGCTCGGTGACGCGTCTGTTATTCACATACACTCCTCCAGCTTTTATTTTATTAACAGCATCAGCTAAAATGAATATCATATTTATCAATGAAATAATTACTGACAACCTCGTCTTGCCCAAGTCAGTCTCTTTTACTTAATTAAAAAAATACAGACTTGGGCAAGGCTAGGCAAAACTACTAACAATTTTTTATGAAAACTTTTGTGAGATGAAGGATTCCTGCATGAGATAACAATTAGATGGATAAGAAGCATGCCACCATGCTAGTTTTAAGTGAATGGAGGGCATTAGGTGATGAAACTGATTAATTAAGTACAGAGCTCGAGCAGAACATATGGCCAGGTTGATGCATTCATTTCACCATTAATGTTTTAAATCAAATGTTTTACTTTACCAGTATATTGGCTATCCTTACCTGGTGTTCCAAAACATTTAGCATGTACTATAACATCTAGTATACTGGTCCCTGGGTCGAGAAACATTTCTGCACCTGCAGCATTTTTAAACAACATCTTCAAATCAGACTCGTGAAGATCGGCAAGTGATTCAGGTGATTTTTCCCATAATGCCTTTGTGCATCGTATTGCAGATTCAAGACCATCCACTATAAAGAGAGATTCACTTGAGACTTTTGACATGTTTTGGGTTGTAGACTAAATATAAGTAGTGCCACTGTTATAAAGTGTTTTATCCTAATAAATAGGTACATGAAAAAATACCTCCATGAACGAGTTTTACAACAGATTCAGCTATCTTTTTCTGAAGGAACCTTTCTTCCGGGTTTTTCTGAAAATAAAAACACAAAATCAAACACATTGATCCCAATAAGTTCAAATAAAATATTTGTATTCTTCAACTTTTGAAAAACAAGTAAGCTAATAGAATTACATTTATTACTTACTTTATATTTATTAATAGCATCTTTTATTTCATTGGGAGGTAAAAATGTGAAGAGACTGATATAACTTTGTGAGTCTACATCCGAGAGGTTGAGAAAATACTGAAAATAAAAAAATTAACAAACCAATTATGATAATAAATATTAAATAAATAATAAAAATAAAGTAAATAATAAAAAAATTTTTTTTAGTATATTTGAAACTTTATATACTTATAAAAACAGCAAATGAACAGAGATATTAAACTTAGGTGAGGAAACTTGAGTGAATAATGATGAATAAATAATTTTACTCAATGATAAAATCTGTAATAGCTTACTTTAATTATGGATAGTCAATTACTTAAATTTTACCCTAACAACATAAAATCCAATTTAAAATCAATATTTTTTTATATTTGAAATGCATTTACATGTATCTCTTTTCTACTTATACATGTATATTGAGTGAATCTACTCAACCCATACCTGGTACAGTTCATATGGTGAAGTCTTGTCCCCATTCAACCATATTGCATTCCCTGCAGTTTTCCCAAGCTTTTCACCACTAGATGTTGTAATTAGGGGAACTGTAAGTCCTACAATTAGTATAAGACTAGGCATTAACATGTAAAATGTCACCACCTACCATTTGTTAGATGTAAACCGCTGAATGCTAACAACAATTGCTTAACGTCAAACATCAACCGCCAAACACTGTCCACAAAAAGTTGGAGACCATAACAATATCACATATCTAAATAATTGCTCGACAATACATGTACATTGAAACACGAAGTCTCGATATCTAATGGATTGACTTGACTGAATATATGTACGGTACATGTTTGGCATCAATCTTTCAGCATTTACAAAATAATAAATTTAGACATTTGAGTATCTTTAATGAATCACTTTTTGAACTCAAAAGTATTTATCCCCTATTTTTACTTGGTCTATGGGGTTAATTGCATAAGTCATCAATTTTGCATGTTTTATGGATATAAATAGTGTGCCCTTAAGTTGGTAATATTCCCTTTACCCTAGCTCCTCATACTTACCAAATACTCTCTTATTCAAGGTGTCTGATATCAGTTCATAACCAGCTACAATATTACCTAATTGGTCATTCCCTCCTATCTGAAAACACAAAGCTGACCCCTTACTTTTGATAGGTATCTTAAAATATGGCTTTTATCCAGATTCTGATACATTTACATTTGTATGTCCTTTAGGCCTGTAGGCATTGGCATATAAAATTTGAACGAAATCCATCTTCTGTTATCAAAGATAACATTTTTTCAAAATATAATGGAAATTTTGAAACAAGCAGCCATCAGACTATAAAATTTTAACCAAATCTGACAAGCAGTATTTGACAGACAAACAGTCAATGAAGGACTGGTAACTTCTCTATTTTTGGTATTTGAATTTCATTCTGTTGGATAATTAATAAAATAATAACAAAAGTTAAAAGTTTATCATTCAATATCAAGTGATCCCTTTCAATAAAAATTAGCAAGATTCAAGCTTACCTGAATATTACAATTGTATTCACGGTAAAGATGCAACCAATCATATGCCTGAAATATCTGGTACGTAAACTCAGTAAAACTCATACCTTCTGGACTGTTTAAACGATTTACAACACTGAAAATATCATGGCACAATTATACAAGGCTAAATCTGTTGTCATCATGAATATCTTATGAATTACATGAAACAGAATAAATAAAAGTTAAAACTAATCAAATGTTTTTATAGGTGGTAGCCTCCTTTTACTGTGTTTATTTCTGTATATTCTGTTTATTTCTGTATTCTGTACTTTAAGATGCATGAATGCATCATTGGGTTACCCTTTTCATGTGAAAAAAATTCGAAAACCTAAATCAGAATCAGAAAATAGAGAATTCAAGTTATATTCTACCCAACCTGCTTTTGTGTATAAGTTCAGTCATTCGGAACCTTCTCCCAACTTTTGCCAAGAACTCTATCACATTGAGGCGATCATACCACTCTGCATTGTCCAGGATCCTGGAAAACACAAAAATGCATCCAAATATAAAGGGCATTCAAACACTTTTATTTGGAAATATGAAAACTAAAAAAACACTTTTAAATTATTGTTATCGTATCAATTTAAGTTGCTACAATAAGAAAATAATTGTTGATTAAAAAAGTTGATTTTTTAAAATAATATCTATGGGTAAGATTTGTTTCAAATTCTATTGATAGTGCAAGATATCCATGTATGACATTATGATTCTTTTCAATTTTTGGGTAGATTTTGTGAGGGGTAAGATGTATAGACAGATCCATTATAAAAATAATGATCCTAAATAGTTTGTTAAATGAAGTAAGAACTTAACAAATTAAAATAGTTGATTGTTGAAATGGCTCAGTTTTTTCATACAAATTTGGAAAATAGGATACACACGCAGAAACATAATTTACCTGATTTGTGGCAATTTTTCCTGAGCATTGTGAAAATAGAGTTCATGATTTTCTATAATATTTTTCAAACTTTTCCTTATAGCACTGACATTGTGCTGAATGGTCTTTGTGTCTATAATTTCACGTTCTGTTTTTCTCCCTGTAGGATCGCCGATCTGAGCAGTGGCTCCACCTATCTGTAATGCATAGCAATACATAGTTATAGTTATTATTGATTTGTTGTCTTGCTACAAGTCCTTACGACTCCTCCCCCCTTAGTACACACACCGCCCAACAAGTTGTTCAAGTAGATCAGGGGATTTTGGGAGTTTTGAAGCACGACTATGATTTGTATTTCATTATCTCAATTTCATATGTCTTCAAATAAAGACATATGAAGTTAGAACAGTCAAGCAATATGAAAATGAATTAAGAAGCATAAATGTAGTAATTGAGACACAATGTGAGAGCATAGGAGTGTAGTCTAGTGATGGAAATGAAGTATTTGTCACTATAGACCTAATGATAGCTCAAACTTTAACTTTCTTTGGTATTTTTTATTTGGTATGACTGGCATTTTGATATTCTTAAATGGTATGTATTTTATGAATATCAATACTCAATGTAGGAAGAAAACATCCAAATAGTAAATCCATCCAAATAGTCTTAGTCTATAAAATAGTAATAACTAATACTAATGAATACATCTTATATCACTGTTTTTTCCTGTTATCAATTAGTTACTATTCATTGTATATTAACTTACCAATGCTATAGGATTATGGCCAGCCCTCTGGCAGTGCAGCAGAGCTATTACTGCTAGTAGATTTCCTATATGGAGACTATCTGCTGTAGGATCAAAGCCACAGTACATACACTGGGGCTGCTTCACTAAGTGGCTATGCAAGTCAGGAGTACTAAAAGAAGATGATCTTGAAGTATGTACAGTGATCCCCCCAGCATTAAAGCAAGTGGGCGCAGCATCCACCTGAGATTTTAAAAATAGGCTCGCGCCCACCTGAAAATTCATTTGCACCCACTTGAAAATGAGAAAAATCATTAAAAATGGGCATGTTTTTCACTGATTTTGGTCTGAATTGTGAAAATTAGAATTTCGCACCCACTTGAGAAAACAACCTGTGGAGAACACTGATGTATGTCATCCTAGATGGAGGAAGGCATGAGTAAATATGTCCAAAGCACATTTTGGGTTTGGGGTAAAAGAAGGTCAAAATTGGTTAATTCCATAAATCATTAAATATTATATCACAATGTAAATGAATGTGGGGATGGTAATGGTAGATATGAAACAGATAAGTAGTGTCATCTTATAAATTTAGAAAAAAAGTTGTTTATATGGATTATTACATTCAATATGCTGTAGTTTTCATATTTTGTTGCGAAAATCTGAAAAAAATTAACATAGACTACTCAGGGTTATTCTAGTTTGTCTGATGTCCATTATGGTTTGGGGTACTTACTATTGTTCTGGGAAGACATTTTGAAAGATTCCCCTTTCATGCAGTGTCAAGATGTTTCTGTTGGATGTTGCATACCTTCTTAAACATCTTATTCTTGTTGCTTCTAAAAGCCTTTTTATGATTCTGAAATAACATCAGAACAAGATAACTATACATACAAATACATAAGGGTTATGTACTGGGAGGTTTTGGATATGGGCCTTATGGGGTTTATCCAGAGGGAGATATGCATATCTACCTGAGGGACCGTAGGGACCGAAGGTAGATGTGCATATCTCACGAGGGATGAACCCCATATCCAAACCGACTGTACGTAACTGCTTTATCCTATAAGTAGTTTTTTTTAATTTTCTTTCAATTTTTTGATTTTTTAATTTTTTCACATTTTTTTAATTTTTCAATTTTTCAATTTTTTTCTTTTTTCAATTTTTTATTTTTTTTCAAATTTTTTTTCACATTTTTTTTTCAATTTTTTCTTATTTTTTTAATTTTCTTTTCGAAGCGGGAAGATATGCTCTGGAGCAGGAGATATAGCGGGAAATATGGAGGTTCAAGATATGGAAACCTCAAAATCAGGGTACGGGATATATCTTACCAACTTATCTCCCTAAAACTCAACTTGGCATAGGATAAAACTGTATATTAAACCTACAGTAGAACCTGTATATCTGAACACCTGGCTTATCCAAACACCTCCCAAACTAAACACTTTTTTCGGTCCCATTTTTCCTCCCATTGACTCCCATTATAAGAAAAACTTGAAATGTGAACACCTCTCCATTTGAACAGTGAACAGTCAAAGAAAAATTTACTTGTCTAATCTGAACACTTTTCACAAAATTTCACATGTTTCATACAAAATTGCTCAAATATTGTTATGATATCAAAACTTTGGGGAAAAAACTTGAATGGTCTTGATTAAAATAGGGCTTTCCAGCATGACTAGGTTCATTTGAATCCAATTTTCAAATTTCTGAAATGCCATAAAGCTATGTGGTTAAATGAATGATAAATATGTACCGAGAATGTGTTCACATTTCTTCAGATTCCAGAATATCGCAATTCCAAAAACCTCGAAATGTGAACACCTCCTAATCTGAACGCATTTAGCCAGTCCCAATGGCATTTGGATTAGACAGGTTTTACTGTACTTACAATGTGAGTCATTCCCGGGAGTCATTGACTCATTATGACATCACATCTGTAAATTTAATAGTAAAGGCCCGTAGTCAGTTTTTACCAAGGGAGAGGGGCTCGTTTTTCAAAGAATTCCAGGGGGTTCACATTTGACAACTTTGGCAAAATCACTTTTGAAGTGCTCAATATGGTGAATGGCACCCCCCCCCCCCTTGCCTAAAGGCCTGTAGTACGGCTTTAATTTGTAAAATCCTCCATGGGAAGCATTGGTCAATGTGGTTACAAAGTAATAATAAAATAGAGTCTGAGCAAAAAATAATTCGTCATGGATTTGCTAAAGTGAGGATTTCCCATGTTAAAAATAGGAGAATTTTTGAGAGGCCATGGATGAGAGTTTATTTATTCATTGCTCAAACTGTGACACATTCATTGAGGCAAGCTATTTATTTTTACTAAGTGTGACCACTTTCAAGCCATAATTAACAGTTCACAAGTCATAAAACCTTGATAAATCATGAATGTTTAAACTTTTCAAGAGAACGACAATAATCTTACTTATCGTTGCCTTGACATGATTGGATGACATGTCACAAAATTAAAGTTCAAGGTCAATACATTTTTTGTGATAGGGGCAATGCCGTCCCGGAAGTAAATACGAGGAAAATGGAAAAGTCCTAAAAGCATAACACAAATTTCAATCAAGTACTGTGCTTATGCTTCGTCATGAACAAAACAAAGCTGATATGGTTTCATTGAAATGTGTGTCCTAACCTCTAGAGGGTATGTAAGACTCCTAATCTTCAGGTAAATCTTATTTTTAGAGTTCTACCGACGCAGTCAGGCCAAGAAATAGACTCTATAGCAATTCTTTATGTCCCCCACTGTATTTAACAAATTCATTACATGACGGCCAGCTTTTTTCAAATGGTTCACGGTGTTCCAGAGAAAATTACTTTAAATTGGCTAGAGACTCAAGTAAATCTTACAAAGGCAGACAGAGCATTTGAAGCACGGACATCTAATACGTTCTTCGAACTGGCCTGGAACTATATCTATACCAGGACTGGCATCCAGATCCAAGTATTTTTTAAGACTGCCGACTCTCGTTGGGCTATTTATCCCTATTGACTCAGTTGTTCATATAAATTTACGTACCTTAGATGCTTTGTAATCGACGTAGATAGAAAATATTGTTTCTTAAATTGTTCTGAAAAGCGATAATTATTACTAAATGTACTTTGAACAGGTCGACTGACCAAAAAGTCGGACTTCTGGCACAAGGTCACGTGACCAAATAGAATTTGTATATATAAAATTGATGACGTCACCGCCATCGGTGTAGGTCAGGTCAAAAGGCATCCATCTTGCCATTTGCCCAGCGTATTCTTACCAGTCGACAAAAAACGATGAAATCACGTTGAAAATAAAATATACACTTTAAAATTGAGGCTGATTGAATATGACAAGACTCCATTGAATACAGCTGTGCAATTTACAGTCACCAAGATGAGCTAATTTCGGAGAGATTCGGTGAGATCTGGGAATTAAAAAAGGTAAGCCCTTCCGGTTTCCCAACTTCAAGTATTTGAAATCCCAGAATTTTGCCAGAAACATTCTCTCTGACTGTGATTTGAAGAAGAAAAATTGCAAACATTATTGAGAAAATTGAAAAATTTTACTGAGAATCATTGAGGAAGGGGATCAAACATTTTGCCTCTGAGACATTTCCTTTCACGTTGCAACCAGGCGGCGTCAGTCACCCCATCCTCTATTATAGACAAATAGAAGTTTGTGACTGACTCCCCGTCATATTTTTCATCCTATGGGGTAGTCCAACAACATTAGACCTAGCCTGGGCCTCGTTTCTTATCTGACATGTCTTATGGCCCCGGCTAGGTCTAACTTCCATGATGATTTTGCCCTTGATGCGATCATTTAATCGTTCAGCAGGTTTCGACATGCGGAACTAATTAAACTCCGAAAACATGGTAATATTACATAAAGAATGTGATTCAAGCATGCATACATACCTTATAAATACATACACACCATCCCGTACCCCCCTTAGACCATATTGATGCATAATTACGAAAATATTGGAGACAGGTTTGGAATTTTACGAAAATATCGGTCAGCTCCGGTAACATCGAAATTGCAAATCGTATCAGGAATTAACCGTCATTGCGACACTGCATCAACGAACAGTAGGTTTGCAATTAAAAACGATTTTGTGTGTATACAAGCGCTATATAAATCAATCAAAGATACCTGCTATCCTCAAAAATGGTTATTTTATCCCGAGTAATCGCGTGATAATTATCAATCTATTTGACAACAATTTCGTTTCAATAGTTTAAATTTTAACCCGGGACGAACAGACACAATGCCGGACATGCGGAAATGTCATTTTAGAGATTGGTAAGTTTAACCTAATTTTACTTGTATAAATGACCATTTAATACAATAATATTGTGTTGAATCGCTTGATGTTATGTGTTTTTATATTGTTGTCAAGTATCAGTTGCATGTTATCGCGGAAAAATGGTTTCGGTGGATCCAAAACTTGCATCAATGGAAAGAATAGTAAGGAGGTTAAACTCAATAATGGCCCCAAGAAAATTCTTAATAATAAATAACGCCGTTATTGAGTTTAACGACGTTGAACTAGCCTTACCTTCTTCTAAGGCCACTGTATCGTGGCCTTCCAGTACAGGTATATTCCTGCATGTACAACTGGTCATGTCGTAATCATAAAATTTGAAATCATATGTCCGCCATTTTTCCACATCACAATTTGAATTGCGAGTTTTGGTCTTATTACCTCACCAAAAATCCCAAAACACACATAAAGTGATCAGTGTATTAGTTCACATCTTCTGAATCGCTAACTTAGAATTTACAGCCGGTTACTAATGTCAGACGTTAACGACATTTCGTCCAGTTTTCGAACATCGCCATTTTTCTTGGAGCCATTTTGTTTTAATTTTAGACGAAATCCTGATGAAATCATGTCATATCTCATCAAGGAGCCGAGCTGGGTCCGGTTTGATTAATGATTTATTTATCTGGCGATTTTTAAAATATTCAATAAATTTATGACACCCCGGCATACTTTTTTCAAATAGAGTTCACAGTATTCAGATGAAATCCCCTCTAGCCAAGTATTGGCTAGAGACTCGAGTAAAACTAGCCTACCTATGGGGGCGATAATACAAAACAGTTCATTCAAAAGTGTAATTACGGATAATAAAGTACAAATCAATTGCACAGATTATTTTCCGGAGTATAAATTAATGGTATTAACCACTCAATAATATAATATAACATTGTGTTACACACGAAATTACCTAAAGTTTGAAACTTTTGACATCTCTTCTTACATCCAATGTGTAGTATCCCAGAATGCAACGTGTTTACGCAGATATTGATGACGTAGTTCACACCATGTTCTAATGTGGTACAGTTTCATTTACGTTTTCTCCATTTTCAGTCTTCCTATCCTACATAACATTTTACAAATAACTGGATATTGAAAGAGACACGTCCCTATTCATATTTAGGTGAGTTTAATGTTATTAATTATTGGAATAATAAAGATATTTGGAGTTAGAATATAGACAAGATTCTATGTCAGTTTTCCATTTGACTTTTGAGTACACTTGCACTTGTCCAATCTGCTAGACAAGTAAACAAACTTATCTGTGTATTCTTTTATTAATAAAAGTCCCTTCCAAATTAAATCTAAGTACTTGTCCATTCTGACATTTCTTTTACTGTTCAAGGGTGTCCTTTGAAATATAAATGTAACAATACAAATAGATCTAATCTTACTATTTTTTTCAAGGCCTGTCTGCGTCGCTAACATGCTAAATATAAGAGTTAGCTGACGTTTGGGAGTCTGACTTACCTTCTAAAGGTTAGAACCCGAATCTTAATGAAACCATATCACCTTTGTTCCGTCAACCATGGAGCATTTGCCACAACATCCAAGAGGTAAATCATGGATCGAGAAAATGAATGATTTCCTTGTAAGTTCCGGAAGTTTCAATACGAAAAATTACCGAACATATGTGAAAACCGAATATTTGTTCGTTGTTTTCACGATTTACAGGTTCGTTTGTTCTTCAATGTTTTGGTCTAAATTATAAAGCATCACCAACAGGTCTTTCTCTATTAATCGACTAATACAGCAGACGGCTCATATTTCTACGTAGCATTTCATTCAGACCAATAGTGGGAGTGTAGATCACGCAGTTTCGTTCGTTGCGTACTTCACTTGAAATTGGTAATTTTTAATATTGACTACTTCACTTAGCTTGGCGGATGTAGAACATTGCTTAATATTCTTTTAATTTTCACACCAGACATGCTTGGTTGACACGTCAACAAAGTAAAGTTCAAGGGTCAATGCGTTATTTCGTGATAACTACAACGCCTTCCCGGAAGTCAACATTGATGAAAAATGAAAAAGTCGGAAAAGCATTTACGCTAATTTCTATCAAATGCTATGTTTATGCATCATCATCGACGCAACAAAGGTGATATAGTTTCATTAAGATTCGGGTTCTAACCTTTAGAAGGTAAGTCAGACTCCCAAACGTCAGCTAACTCTTATATTTAGCATGTTAGCGACGCAGACAGGCCTTGAAAAAAATAGTACTTCGGTCCAAAGCCTTCTCTATATTCCGGCTTTGAGGAGGAAGATTGAGCTGCCTTAGTATTATAAATATTGTAAATCATTGTGTCACACGCACAGTAAATATGGCATAATAATATGAAATATACCTTTATGTATAGATTTGAAGAACATCAGCTCACATCCCCGTCTGAATCTATTGTTATATTTGATTTCTTTAAGCGAGAATAATTTCAAATGTTATTCACGTCCAGAACCGGAAGCCATTTTTAGCTACAGCGAGAAAATTTCACCATGTGTCAAACTCCGAAATGAAATTTTGAAATATCTAAATCCAGACAAGCAACGCTTCATCCTCAATATGATTAATATTCTTAAAAATATTTATAAAATTTATTAAAAATGAGTTCTAGGTGCGTGTAGGTGCGTGTAGGTGCGTGTAGCACAGTACATACGAAATCAATGAAGTTTCGTCTAGCTGTAAGCTAGAGACTCGAGTAAATCTAATCGATGAAAATAATGAAATGAATCAAGTTACAAGAGATGTCGTCTGTATTTATTGATTAACTAAAAAAGTATTTCTAAAGGTGCAACAATTAGTACAGGGGGGCCATTCAACGATCATCGACCAGTGTCAAAATATATTAACTTTGGATATTTCATCAAGACTAACATATATTTTCATTATCTACAAAGAAACCCCCTTGATGAACTTTATTTCAGCTGATATTCCTCTTGAAACGTGGTGGATTTTAAAAAATCTATAAGTGAGACTACTCCCTTTATAGAAGCTTTGAACTGAATTTACACTTCTTAATGCTAGTGTTGTTGCGATGTGCCATAATCGTACATCGATGCATCGGCAATTTTCAGTAGTAAACATCGATCGAGAAAAAGTCCGAGAAAAGTGCACTGAAATACCGAACGCTATTGCGCTAAAATACTGAACAGAACAAATTAATAAGAGTATGCTGGTACATCCGGGAACTTCTAGTAACCATGAAATGAAAGTAAAGTGAATTTTTTTAGATTAATGGTTCATTTCGACTAGCTAAAACAGTTTTAAAGCGAAAGAATATCAGAAAACATTGGAAAATGAAATAAGACATGAGAAAGGTAAGCGATTTGCGTCAAAATAAGATAAGAAAGGGTGATATTTAGCAAATTAAATTTTTTTTAAAAACATCGATGTTTTGTTTCAGACATCGATGCATCACCAGAATCAGCTTTGGCGATGATGTATCGATTAATCGCGACAACACTACTTAATGCTGAAATTGATAGTTTATCCATACATTTTAAGAAAATAGGTATGTCAGAGAAGGTGTTAAGCCAAATATTGACCTGATAGCTCAAACAAAATTAAAATTTTCGAATTTTCTCTCTACTGTCCTTGTTGCCCCTTTAACTTACAAACAACCTTCTGCCTGTATGAATTTGCAAAGGCAAATAGAAGAGGAAGTTAATTTACAACATGGCATATGGTAATGGAATAAGAATTAAAAGACTGGAAATATATTACAAAAGGTAAGAAATTTGCAAGGAAACTTGACATGGAGTGGAAATTTTAAGAGATTATGCATAAAAAATTAGGCCGTGGCTGGAGAGCCTTAAATTTAAGGCTCTTTAACATTTTGGTAACCCATTTATGAGTATATGAGTCTATCAACCCTTATATGATCAACCGCGCTTTTGAGGCGCGCTTTCCATTTATAATAATGTTAACATTTGTAATAGGCAGACATATGAAAAATAGGGGATTCCCCTAACCTAGCGGCCTAAGCCTCCTGAGATGTGACCTTGAACTTTACATTGAGCAAATAAAAATTGAGTTTATTTCAAAAATAGATCGTTTTTCATCAATTATTACAACAATTTTGCACTCAAAGACAGATTTTGAGTAACAAAATGGCGTCTTATGGATGTCGACGAGTGTGTGTGTTGAAGAAGCATGGCATATTATTAGCGATGTGCCAGGAAAAAGTGATGATTCAGACTTCAATAGTAACTAGTAGTGGGTGAGTTAACAAACTTATACTGACCAATTTATGTTGCTGACATGCAACTACAAGTGGATACACAAGGTGTTACAGATTATTTTGTGACACAGCAAAATCAGGTAAGTTTTTCGCTTTTCAATTCGACTTGATGAACTACCATACCCATACCAGCTGTCTAATATACCATTTTATGTCATTTCTGAATAGTTGATGGGTTGAGCATTCAGAAAATATATGAGCTTTCATGAGCTTTCTGACGCTCAGCTCTATAGGATTATATATCAATTAACACACGGAGAGTTTAATTAATTTTTCAAAGAAAATCTGAAACTTTTTATTGGTTTTGATCATTTGATCATTTAAGTGTTAAGAAATTTGAGAAAATCACAATTTTTTTCCAATTCAATTTAGGGCTCCAGAGGGGGAGGTGGGGTGTGGATGCCAGAGGGGAGCAAGTGTTAGTCCCCCAGTAACATTGACTATATCAAAAGGCTATTTATTTGATGATGTTAGGGCACTTTAAAAGTGTTTGAGACAATACACCCCCCCCCCCCCCAAACAACCAGTGAAAATTTCCTGTTGCCTGCTGATAATGAACCCCCCTCCCCGCTAATTCAATGAATAACTGAAAAATGTTGATTTATGCAGGCTAAGTTTGATGTACATATATATCAGTTTCAAGCTTCATGTAACGTCTTTTGATTTCAGTTTTGAAATAGGTCTGTAAAATCACCCAATTTACCTTGTCAGACCTACTATTGATGTCATTGATTATGTACTGAGTGAAATGTAAATCAATTTGATTTTTGGCCTTATGGTATTTTCAATATGGCCACTTAATTTAAAATGGCCACCTAGAAGTCATTCTGCACTCTTGTAACGCAACATTTTTCTCTCATAAAAACTGTGCAAATTCCTTGATTTACTTTCAGGGCAAAATGGAGAAAGATGATTCACAAGGTGTAACTGAAGACAAAAATAAGCAAGCGGAAGAAGATGATAGACTCGAACAACAATTGGATCAAATCGTAGGACGTTTTCTTCATCTTTGCTCTAGGCTGAACAGTACGTTCCATCTGAAAGAGAAGTTTGACATGCTTCAAGGATTTGTATGGGATCACCCATTCATAACACTGATCTTGACGATCACCCTAATGCTGTGCTCCGTACCTTTGATGATGTTTGTCTTCTTTGCAGCAGGAACCATGTTCGCTGTGTTTTTTGGCTTCATGTTCATTGAAGGTGAGTTGTTGACAGGTTGTAATAGAGCTAACCCAAAATTTTAAAAAGGCCTTGTTGAGACTCAATACACTTGAGTTCTCTGAGATAAAGAGGATTTTGTATCTATTCCTACGGTGACATACATGATGAATGATGTTATCCTGATCATTAGTCAATGGTGTATATCCCCATCTTAAGTCAAGGTAACTTCACTGAAATCCTCATTTTCTCAGAAGAGGTCAAGTTGATCGAGTCTCAAAAGTAGATTCATGTGGGATAGTATTACTAGGACTCATTTGCAATAGTAAGAATAGGGGTTTTTAAACAGGACGTTGGTCTTGCGTTTTAGAGCTTTTTGTTGGCTCTTTAACTGATATATTTGGAAAATACAAGTTTGTAATTTATAAACTTTACAGAATGTCATCAATTTATAATTTATATATCATGAGATAATCATAATCATTTTTTCACATCATGGGATAATTTATGATAGACATATGTTTCATTCTATTGAGGTAAATGGCTAGGGAATCTTTGATTTGTGAAAGTGATACAGGTTTGCAGCAAAACGCTGAAATGAAAAATTTGTTTAATTACATTATTCACTATTGAATTCCTCACAAATTGGTCAAATCTATGATATAAGCCAAAGTTGTTCAACTTTAACTTCATAGGGCCTTTTATTAGATAAAATGTATTTGTTGTATATGTACAAAAATATAGACAGCTAAAACGACGTTGTCTTTCCTAAGTAGATGTTTGTGACGGCGCCTGTATTATTTGTTATATTAATGGCATCTATTGAATATATAGCCAGGCTCCTGCCTTTTGGAATAAATTGCATAGACTGACATTCAGGTTAAAATAGAGACCAAACAAAGGGTCCTTTACTTTCATATATTACATTTTCTGATCATTTCAATAACCACTAAAATGTGAGATTATTTTAGATTTAGAATTAAACAGGTCATATACCTTGAAATTTTTTTACCTTTTTTCTAGAACTGATAAGTATTGCTTTTCTGTTTGAGAGTTTTTGAAGTGAAGTTTCTTAAATGTCTTTGAATGAAATGGGTAGGATATTCCAAGTTTGCTTGGCCAATTTGTTTTGAATTTAATTTGAGTCCCCACTTTTTTTATATTCAATTGTTCTTCAAAGACCATTTTCATTTTCAAATCATGTGTAAATTGTGGTTCTTGTAGCTCCATGAGTTCGCATGAGATATTCTCGAGATTTTTTAAACAGTTTAACATAGCTGAATCCTGAAGTTGTTTTAACGCTTCAACTTTTTGGTTTAGTTTGTTTTCGCCGTATAGTTTCACCCGTCTCCAAAATGACTGATTAAAGTGATCATATAACATATAATCAGCAATATTCCACTTTTTCAAAATCAGAATGTCTTTTGTGCTTAACTCTGGATGTCTCTTCACTTGCATTAGTTGATAGAATACCATGTCACTCAATGGTAAATTGAGAATATCTGCCAGCAAAACCAGACTTTCATAGAAATAATCAGCGACAAATATGAAATCAAAAACACTGTCTAAATAATGTATGTAATCCTTGATCATAGTTATGTTTGACATGTCTTCAATTTGAAGTCCAAAATCAAACATTTGTTCACTTTGACTGGAGACATTCCAATTTGAACACTGCAGGCCATGTTTATACTCTTGCATTACCTCAAGAACTTGAGTAATATTTTTATTTTCCATTCCATAACAATTATAAAATCTATGATACACATAACCAGAGAGAAACTGTTTCTCTACACTGCGTACTGCTCCTATATAAAGCGTGTCATGAGGCATGAAGTCTAAAACTCTTGGGTGGAATCGAGTATGGTGACAGAAAACATTATATTCATTATATCCCTTTGCTAAAGGCATAATGACGTCAGGAGTGAAATGATTCGGGTATCCAGCGCGATGAATATTCCAAGGCATCGCAAATGTCAGATTATATTTTTCTCCATACCTGAAAAGAAGATTTTGAATTGTGGTACTCGCTGCTTTGTGTGTTTTTGCAAAATAAACATTTTTCGGTTTGGTCTTATTGTTTTTATCAACAAGTTTTTCAGCATTAATCTTATGTTTTCCATCGGGTGTTGACTCATTGAAGACTTCATGTTCATTTTGATTCTGTTCATTAGCAATATGAATTCCATGGTTAAATGGTACATTTTCACCAACATGAGGTTGTTCATTTATCTTATTTGGTGACTCATTTTTTGAATTCGAATTTTTGTCCCAAGTCAGATAATTTGGTGACTTGTTCTCCCCTCCCGTTGTCTGTTCTACAGTAATTGTATCGAAAAGATAGGTGTGATAGAAAATAGTTACAAACAAGAGTACCAAAATTGAATAGCGGATAACTAACCTGAATCTTTTCAATTTGTACATCACTGAACTGAATGATACGTTATTGCCTTGTTGATCCATATTGAATGCCTATCACCCTTATCTGTAAATAGTGTGATCTTTTCAATAAATCTGGATCGGTAATGTTAAAATTTTTATTTAATTAATCATTCTTTACTCAACTTTACATCCTATCGTATATCTGTCAAATCTTGCAAATTTAAGCCTTTGCTATTTCACAGTGCTCTTTTGTTGAAATTGTTTTAATTGTTTATTGCAGAGACATTTGCTTAAAGCTTAACTCTGACTCAACCTACTTTATGTTATTATACTTTACTTTATAATTTTTATTTGAAAAAGTATACGATGGATTACCCAAAAAGCTACTTATAGGAATTGATATCCTTTGTAGAAATTCTGTCTGATTTGGTTATAACACTATTATAGGAACATTTGATATGTATTGGTTAGCAAACCCGTTATATATGATTTAGTGAAGCCTTTAAGAAAAGTGTTTAAGGGCAAATATGTTGAGATATAAAGTATAAAGTATTGATCCTATTGTTCTTAGATAGATGTGTATGTACAGGGTGTCCCGTATGGGGGGCCCCTAGGCAGACATATACCAATGCCTCCATAGTATTTGTCATATGTCTTTTTAAAGCGCATTCAAAGATACATTAATTTGCCAAATATCATGGTTCAACTCACAAATGGGAAAAGTTACAGGTATTTCAAAATTTAGGGTTTAGCCAAAATTAAAGTAAGTTTTACACCAAAATAATAGTTGATTTGTCTCCTTAGGCCATAATAACAGGAGCAATGCTTTCAGGTCAGGGCTATTTCCAGGATACTGAATTGAACTATATTTTTGGCCAAACGTTAAGTTTTGAAATGCCTGTAACTTTTTACCATTGGTGAGTTGAACCATGATACTAGGCAAATCAATGTAACTTTGGATAAGCTTTAAAATGATATATGACATACCATGGAGACATAGGTATATGTCTGCCTAGGGGTGGGGGCATACTTTCGGGACACCCTGTATACAAACTACAGTTGAACATACACAGCAACAGTGTAAGTAAGAATGCCCTTGGATATATTGACATTTATTACACAATCAACTTTATGTTTGGAATATTTCCTTTTGCAATGTTCAATTAGGGAAGTAGAAGGATGAAATATTATGACTGTAGATAAGTAATTAAACAATATACAGTAAAACCTGAATATTATATGAGTGCCTCCTTAATCCAAATACCTTTTGCTTGTCTTAAAGATGCTCAGAAAAGACAAGTTTTACTGTATGATAGAAAATATTCTGTCACAGAAAAAGAAAATGTAAACATCTATACCAAAAATTAAATCATCCACTAATTTAGTTAGTTAATACAATAGATGTAGAGAATAGATAACATTAGTAATTAGCAAGAGTATAAAAAGAAAAGTAAAATAAAATTTTATATGTTTTAGGTTTTAGTTTTTGAGAAGAGCGATAAGAAAGAAAAAGGCATGCTACCAAGACAGATATTTAAATATTGAACATAAAATTAATTGTAGGAAATTAAAATAAGAAGTTTAAAAATGATTCAATAAGAAAATTGTGAAGTTTTGTTCATACTATGAAATTAAAAAGTCTAATAAAAAAGACTAACACGTGTATTTCTAGGGGATTAGATTCAACAATTTTAACCCCAGAATATCTTTTCCTGTTACTTAACCTCCTTATTATTTAGTTCTTGAGTATTTTATATGTGACATTATACGCATACAAATAACAATAGAAAAATAAATAACATCAAAATCTTGGCTCTTTTCATTTTGATTTGTCCTTTCTATTGAGGAAATTCCAATACCCAGGACAGGGGCGGATCTGGGAACCAACAAGGGGGGGGGCCCAAATTTCAGGTTAGAGAAAAAAAATGTTGGGCCCCTAAAACCCAGAAATGGGCCCAAGTTTTGAGGCCCATTTTCTTCAAAATTTGGTCTGAAATTGAAAAAATAAGGCCTTAAAAGGCCCAGTAATGGTCGAAAAGGCCTACTTTTTGGGGCCTTAAGGCCTTTTTCGGCCCAACTTTTTTTGGCCCCCCCCCAGCTATGTTCCTGTGGAACATAACATACTTTTCAAGCTCTTCTTGTAATTGAATTGAATTTATAATAAATTGCTAATCTATGAAAAAAATTGAATTTATGCTTAGATTTTCAAGAATAACTTTTAGGCCTTTATAATGATAAGTCTTACATTCGATTTATATTAATAACATGAACCAACAAAATATTTCAATGGCTATTCATATTTCTTGTTTTTCTAGTAATTGTCCATTGAAGAAAAATCATTGTGAACTAAAAGCGAACATACATTTGTCATAAAAAGGTTTAAAAGGAACATTAAAAAATGAAAACTCAATACATTATTTTGTTATTTATCCATAAAAGAGCAAACTAAGTCAATACTGAACTTTTCGTAACGGATTGAAATTCATTTATTTGTTTTGTAGACACATAAGTGTCATGGGTGACATCCATGACCTTTGAAATTGTGTGCCCAAAGGATTGACATACATACAGTACATTTCATGTGAACATGAGTTTTTTTTTGATATGTCAGTCTATATTATTTTCTCTTTAAAGAAACAAACATGTGTCAGTATGTCACTAGGCTTTTCATATACTATTCTCTTTGTCTGCTCAGTCTATTCTTATCACGTAAAAAAGCTATGAGAATTCTATGAGAAAAATGCAAATTCTGCGCAGAAATTCTGCATGAAAAAGCCAAATTCTGCACCAAATTCTGCATGAAATCTAAAATTCTGCACCAAATTCTGCACGGGGAAAAGTGAAATTTTGTGGTTCAAGTATGTGCAAAAAATAAAATTCTTGCTAAAATCAATAATTTTTTCCAAAAAATTAATAATTCAAAATTCTTGAACTCCACTCATGATGCTTTCTTCAGCGATAATGGACAACTGCAGTAATAAATAACACCAGATGCAATTTTAATCAATTAGCGACAAAACTTACCAAATGCTCACTTGTGAACTATCACGAAATTCGAAGTATCACGAAATTCCAGATCAATATGCAGGGAATTCAGATGTCGTTTATTTATATATGACGAAGTAAAACGCAAGAAGAAGCATGATTTATTGCGTTAGAATACAAAAGAATACAATATTAGACATATTATTGCAAAACAATTACGAGGGACAGTCATCGGTTTCAAATTTCGTGATTATGTTAGACGCAGTCTTACCTCTAAGTGCAAAGGCGGAAGTTCGAGAATTTAAAACAGATTTCAGATTTCCTCTTGAAAATATGACAAAACACAAGTATCTGACAACAAACGAGCGGAGTCTTTAGGTGTTTAGGTGAGTGACAAATATGAGATGAGATGGTTGACTGGAAAAATCATGTTTTCCGCGAAATTCCGTGCCAAAACAAAAATTCTGCAAAAAAATGAAAATGCAAATTTCTGCGGTTTTTCTGCGGCGACGCGGAATCACGGAATACTAGGATGAGTGAATTTATTTTTACCATGCATAATAAAAAACACATTCTATTCTTGCAACATATATGTTCAAAATGAAACACCCATATAGGTATAGGAATTGCATCTCTCTGAATATGATAAATAATATGAATAATTAAAACTGAATTTAAACATGATCCTAAATGTTGCAAGCCTTCTCGATAAGGCACCAGGGACATACCAATAGCCAATGGAAAGTCAGCTATAAAATCAAAGAACAGATATGAATTCCTAGTAATTTGCAGATGACTTTGAAAAAATAGCTCAGTTTGAAAGAAATATAAAACAAACGAATAGTTGATTCCTTGAGAGTCAATAGGTTTCAAGTGTATTATTTGAATGGAAAATACGAGGGGTGATCAATAAGTAATGGACACTTTTTTACACAGATACTTTTTATAGACCAATCCCTTTTATTTTCCTACAAGTGATACATCATTCAATTATCTATCAATTCTGAAGATTTGAAGACAAAATATTTAATACATATTGATATATCCTTATTTCCCGGGACCGACATTTACGTCACATATTCAGTTTTTAGCCAGTTTGGTAAATTTCAGTTAGATTTGAACATTTTATATGCAACAAGTGTTGTGTTGTTTAAAATTTTTTGACTGGTAACACATGAATAGAAAGTATTGTAATGTCAGAGTGTTGTATGGAAGGGGTTTGCAGGTCAATTTGAGAAAGCATTGTGGAAGAAAGGGATGGGGAGACAAGGGAACACCCTACTCCATATGGACAATACCCTTTGCATTCGTTTGACTTCACTTCTTAAAAGAGAGCTTCGTCTTCACTCTTTCAAACTAAAATAAACCTGTGAACTCACCGCGCCAATCAGTGTTCGTCGGCCAAATTTGACCGACGTTCTATATATGGTCATTCCTTCTGACATCATCGTTGAGCCCGAAATTGACCAATGACATGCACATATTTAATTAGAACGCATTTGGTGTGTTTCTTCAAGCTCGCTGATTGGTGGAAGAAAGGTCAGCGCGTAAATCAGAAGTGATTTATGACACAAACTGTCACCGGTACCCGCCGTGGGGGCGGGGCTACTAAACTGTAATATGGTCTCTACTAGGCAGAGTGTAGTTTAACTAGACTCTGCACACAGAGTATATGGGCAATGCACCTGCCCACAGATTTCAAAATGTTCAGAAAACAATATCCCTGGACCTCAAAATTGAGCCCTTTGCCAATGTACCATATTGTCCAGATCTGCTCACATGTGCCTTGTTTATTTCTATACTACTTATTTCTATAGAAAAGGGATGCAGGTTTATTGACATTGATGAAATAAAACAACCCGTGCAACTGTATCTTGCTACCATGTCAGAGAATGGATTCAGCCTTGTCTCACAATCTTGTGTTAAGAGGATGGGGAACTGTGTACATGTAGCACTTGATGGAACCTATTTAGAGGTCCCTGTGGAATGAATATGGCATGAATACCACATAGTGATGATACAATATTCAAATTCAACTATTAGGCATAACAAAATGGGGTAATTCATGACCATAATGGTTTGTTTTGTTCAGCCTGCATTCAACTGCATTGCATGTTAAACAATCTCAAATAGCTTCAGAATATGTGACGTAAATGTCGGTCCCGGGGTACCTGTACCTCCTTCATGGATATAAGGATATATCAACATGTTATGTATATATTGTCTTCAAATCTTCAGAGTTGATAGATAATTGAATGATGTATCACTGGTAAGTAAATCAAAAGGATTGGTCGATAAAAAGCATCTGTGCAAAAAGCGTCCATTACTTAAGGAATAAATAATGATAGGCCATTCAATATGGTGAAATTCAGCACGAGTTGGACAGAATGTCGTACAAAGCACGAACCGAAGGTGAGTGCATTTGTACTGACATTCTGTCCAACGAGTGCTGAATTTCACCATATTGAATGGCCTATCATTATTTATTCCGATTCAAACATATAAAAAATGAAAACATTGTTCAGAGAATTGGGGATTGGAGCTACATGAGATACACCAAACTCGAGCTCGTTGTTATTTTCGCCATTCCCAGGTGTGACGTCACAATGCAAATACAATACGTAGATTCCCGGATGATTGGATAGAGCACGGTCGTGCATCTATGGAGAATTAGAGAACGTTCTATATTGGCTATGCTGCATTCTGATTGGTTGAGAAATTCAATTAGAGCACGGTCATGTTTGAATTATTGATCACCCCTCGTATGATGGCATTGGTAACGTATGCAATGTTATTTCCAGTTTATTTCGCATATCTTGGTAGATGTGACCTGGGTTATGTTGTGTTGTGCCATTATTTGATTAAAGCTAGTATCAGACCATCATGATAAACCATGGCATCTCATTTCTTCTCAGCCCTGAAATGTTTCAGGTGAAACAGAAAGATGCTATGAGTATCAGAATGGTATCAGATCTAATAGGCGACCTTAACAAAAAATTGTCTCAATTTCGTGATATTTACACTTAATCCCATAGTTAAGGTCAAATATTTTCGAAACAAATGCGTGATATATACACATATTTTGTACCAAATGCGTGACATAAGCGGCAATCGCGTACAAATGATATGTTCATTATGTTATGGTCTCCAAATTAGCATAGCTAGGACGACGCAGACGATGAGCTTGCCTCGTCGCTTTTTTACCATCCTTTGAGAAATATTTTTTCTATTAATGATAAGTTGTAAATTAATTGTCCAACTTTTATCGATTTTTATTATCTCTTAAATCCTCTGTTCTTCAATGGTGCAGAATCTCATCACGTTATCATTGTGTTTTTGCCATCGTCAAATCAAGTTCATGTGTTAATGGTGTTTAATGCGTATAGCTTTTCATTCATATTTCTGAGGAATAATCTACCTAGATAAAGGGCGGTAAATCCCGAAAAAATATGATATGAAGAAATGTTATTAGATAACAGAAATCAGGATATACATGTATCATATGTATCCATTGTATGTATTGTATATTGACATAGAATTTCATTTTCATGACAAAAATCAGTGGTTAGTAAATTAACAAAGCACCTCATTTTTACCAAACATACCATGACTCTTGAGTTTTATGAAATAACCTCATAAAAAACAGAAAATAATACAAAACATTCTCTAAGATTCCTGAATTTGAAGTCAGAATTGAGATTTATTTTGTCTTCCATTACTTTTTAAAGGTAAAAAATGACAGTTATTCACAATTGTTAGTTATAGACTAAATTAGTACAAACACAGTGAATGACTTTAAAAGGTCATAATAAATACTGAAAAAAATACTGAAAAACTGAAGATCAAAGGTCTAAATCAAAATAGACAACATTTTCTTTAATTTATTGATTATCCCATCGAACAAAGTTCGGAGGGATATAGGGAACGCCTCCATCCGTCCGTACGTATGTACGTACGTACATCTGTCCGTCCGTCCGTCCGGGCAATAACTCAAATACCGTTGACCCGATTTTGTTCATATTTTGTACACATATACCCTATGGGAGTAGAAGTTCTGCTCGGAAGCCGATTTTCAAAATGGCTGCTCATTTCAAAATGGCGGCCATAAAAGTAATTCAGCGATTTTGTTCATATACAAGGGGCGATCCATATATTCTGATAAAAATGCTCTCATTTTGTGATTTTTTTCAAATATCCCTTTCATTTTTTCAGAACATGTAGATTATGTAATTACACATACGATGCTAAAATATTTTAGCTGTATCTTAAATTAATTTTGAAATAAGGTTGCCATGGTAACCTGTATTTAGGGTAGGCAGGTCAGTTAAATTATAACGTCTAAAATAGATAAATATGTTAATTTAATCATTCCTCGGTACCTATTTTAAGCAGATCAAACGCATCTTCCAGTCATTGTCAACTATTCATTTATCTGTTCCATACCCCTGTTGCCCTTGTTTGATAATTTATACAGTGGGATAGCTATCTTTTCATAAGTAACATCTCAATTTATCGTAGTGTTATTCTCTGTTCGCAAGCTCTTCTTGCAATCAGATTGCGGATGATCTTCAACGGTGACCATGCTTTCCTCTTTACAATACTACCTATATATTCTTTATGCAGATATAACACCTTGCCCATGCACTTTATGAGTCCATGTATGTCTCTGACAGTGTCCTCTAACTTATTCTTGAAAGAAAATCAAATCTAATGGTATTCCTTAATGTATCCGTTAATGTGACACTCTGCATCAGCCACATTAACCTAATCTGACAATTTGATTTTTGGTGTGTCTCATAACATGTAGTGTCAATTGGGCCATTCTGTCCTACAATGCTATTGTGATTTGTTGTGATGTTATAGTGAGCACATATAAACATTTGTTTAGCAACAAACAACGAGTAACAATACCAAACTTTTTTAGAAAAAATGCATGATTTCCGCATGCTTTAAAATAATTAAAATAACAAGTTATTTTGATATTTATATGTTATAATTAAATTGACCTGCCTACCCTTAATACAGGTTACCATGGCAGCCTTATCTCATTGAAAGTTTAAGATATAGCTATAATATTTTAGCATTGTATGTGTAATTACATAATCTACATTTTCTGAAAAAATGAGAGGGATATGTGAAAAAATCACAAGATGAGAGCATTTTTATCAGAATATATGGATCGCCCCTTGTATTTGGTAGGTTTCATATTTTATATGTGAATACTATAAGCATAGCACACTGTCTAATGACACTTTGGGTAGTAGGCGGCCATTTTGAAAAATGGCTACCATTTTTACGTTTTTTTTACTATAACTTGAAAAGTAGTGAAGCAATTTTGTTCATATTTGATATGTGAATACTCATGAGCCTTGCACACTGTCTCATTACACTTCCGATAGTAGGCGGCCATTTTAAAAAATGGCTGTCATTTTTACATGTTTTACTATAACTCAAAAGTAGTGGAACGATTTTGTTCATACTTGATATGTGAATACTTTAAGCATGGCACATTGTCTAATAAAACTTTGGGGAGTAGTCGGCCATTTTGAAAAATGGCCACCATTTTTATGTGTGTTATTTTACAAGTACATGTATGCGATTTTTCAAAACATTTATAGGTGGCTACTTAAAAGCATATTATTTCTTCTGATGACAACTTGGCTAGTGAGCAACCATTTTGAAAATGGTGGCCTTTCTGGTGTGTTGTTTTACGATATTTGCTATATATTTCGTTAGTAAAAATGCCAGCCATTTCTGTTTGATGGGATTCGCTACGCTTTGGCGTTGCCGTTGTTCTGGTAATACTATTTTTCTTACTTTTACCACCAGAGAAGTTGTCCTTGTTTTTGTCAATTATAAGTCATGAGTTTAATCAAATGTCAAAGCTTAATATCAAAATTTTAGTCAGTTTAAAAGTGAAAAGGTCTGGAATCTGGCGTCTGGAATTAAACTTTTCATTGTCACCATCTAGTTAAAAGAATTACACTCAAATAAAGTTACATATAAGCACAAGATTCAAAGATAATACAATGCTTAAAATGACACATACAGTACAATTAGCCTTAACATAGCAAAATACTGTTATAATCAAGTACAGTATATGCAAATCACAGATAAAACACAAACCATAAAAATTGCACACTCAGCATTTTGATTCAGAGATATACAGGGATGAGCACGAAGGGCAATATTGGGAGGACAAGGAAAAGGGAATTGGATCCCAGAGTTCCAACTCGATATTTTTGATCTCCAAGCAATTTATCCAGTTCTGATTTCTTTGGCAAAGAACGGCTTGCAAGAAGTATGGCTGATATTCTTGCAATATTGATGTTGACAATGAAAATGTTGTTATTGTCTGACATTATTCTGGCTTTAAATTAAAAATTACAATCCAAAAGATTTGAATGTAGCTTTTTGATCACTTCTTGATTGTTTGGAAATAAAGCCGAAATCCATGATTCAAATTCTGAAGTGGAAAAATGCCGGCTGTTTAATTTTGAATTTGGTAATCACAACATGTCTGCCATTTATGGTAAAATATCAAGTTGGAACCCTGGGAACCAATCATCCTTGATTGGGGAAATAATTAACAAAACATTAAGCACTAAATAACAAGATAACTTCAATAAATACAGAATATCACATCATTTTGAGTGATATCATTTTTATCGCCGAGTTGATATCAAATATCAACACGAGTGAGCGAAGCGAATGAGTGTTGATATTTGATGTCTACGAGGCGTTAAAATGATATCACGAGAAATTATGTGATATTGGGTTTTTCCCATGATTACGATCACCTTGTGATATAGTTCGTCATAAATACAATTGTTAATCGTTATTTAGCAGCCTTCTAATCAAATTATATACACAATCGTAATTTAATGCATGAGATAAACGATATCACACGCATATGAGTTTGATAAACGATTTTCTGGAAAATATCACATGAATTTCAATGATATCAGCAATATCAATTGCTGTTATTGTACAGATAACACATTAATCGTGGGATAAAAACAAATATTGTGAGATACTGGTAATTGAGTGTTTGAAATTAGATCTGTGTTGATATTTCAAATGTAACCTTTAAAATCCACTACTTTTGCTCTAATACTGATAAATAATGCTTTTCAATTCTAGAGTTTCTGAAATGAAGTTGTTTGAATGTCTTTGAATGAAATGGATAGGACTTTCCGAGTTTGCTTGGCCATTTTGTATGGAATTTAATTTGAGTTCCTACTTTTATATTCAAATGTTCTTCAAAGACCATTTTCATTTTCAAATCATGTGTAAATTGCGGTTCTTGTAGCTCCATTAGTTCACATAAAATATTCTCAGGATTTTTTAAGCAGTTTAACAGAGCTGAATCCTGAAGTTGTTTTAACGCTTCAACTTTTTGGTTTAGTTTGTTTTCGCCGTATAGTTCCACCCGTCTCCAAAATGACTGATTAAAGTGATCATATAGCATATAATCAGCAATATTCCACTTTTTCAAAATCAAAATGTCTTTTGTGCTTAACTCTGGATGTCTCTTGACTTGCATTAGTTGATAGAATACCATGTCACTCAATGGTAAATTGAGAATATCTGCCAGCAAAACCAGACTTTCATAGAAATAATCAGCGACAAATATGAAATCAAAAACACTGTCTAAATAATGTATGTAATCTTTGATCATAGTTATGTTTGACATGTCTTCAATTTGAAGTCCAAAATCAAACATTTGTTCACTTTGACTGGAGACTTTCCATTTTGAACACTGCAGGCCATGTTTATACCCTTGCATAATTTCCAGAACTTGAGTAATATTTTCATTTTTCATTCCATAGCATTCATAAAATTTATGATACATATACCCAGAGAGAAACTGTTTCTCTACACTGCGCACTGCTCCTATATAAAGCGTGTCATGAGGCATGAAGTCTAAGACTCTTGGGTGGAATCGAGTATGGTGACAAAAAACATTATATTCATTATATCCCTTTGCTAAAGGCATAATGACGTCAGGAGTGAAATGATTCGGGTATCCAGCACGATGGATATTCCAAGGCATTGCAAATGTCAGATTATATTTCTCTCCATACCTGAAAAGAAGATTTTGAATTGTGGTACTCGCTGCTTTGTGTGTTTTTGCAAAATAAACATTTTTCAGTTTTGACACTGTGTTCTTATCACCAAGTGTCTCAGTATTTATCTGATCTACACTGACTTCTGGCTTGCTTTTTCCAATTTTCTCCACTATGTTATAATTATGAACTTCATTTGGTTGTTCATATTTCCCATCAAGTGGTGGGTCACTTTTAATTATTGTGTCAAAAAGTTCCTGTTTATTGTGATTCCATTTCTTATCAATATGAATTTCATACTTCAATTGTTTCTTTTCACCAACATGTGGTGGTTCATGTACCTGATGTTGTGATTCACTTTTTGTGTCGTAATCCTTCATTTGTGCCAAAACATCAGGTTGTATTTCGCTCCCTCTTGTTGTCTGTTTTAGAAAGATTGTATTAATGATATAAATGTGATATAAAACAGTCAGAATTAAAAGAACCAGAACTGGATAGCGTATGGATGGCCTTATCTTCTTCCACTTGTACATTGTTATTGGCTAATTTTATTTATTTAGATGGGTTAGATTCAATCAAACTAATATGAATCTGAACTTGCTTGGTGTGTTATGCTATTGCTCTTTATCATCTCAATGAGTAAAGCTTGGTACAGATGTAGTGAAGTTCTCTGTCCATCTGTCCTTCCATCCACCCTTCAGTCAAGGCGATAACTCAAAAACTAGTTGACCGACATTTTTCTTATTTTGTTGAAAGGTTTATAATGGATATGGATTTAACTCAAAAATATTTTTTCAAACTGGTACCACTTCAAAAAAATGATTGACTTGTAAAATGGTCACCAAAAGATATATTGAAAATATTGAAAATGAAATTGAAAGCTGCATACATTGATGGGAGTAAATACAGTTTGTTTGTTGGGATTTGCTACTGTTTTCACCCCACCAAACAAAGTTCATATGAGAAGCCATCAGTTCGTTTTTATTTCTTTTCATCTGTTTGTTAGTATGTCCTGGCAATAACTGAAATATTGGTTGATGGATTTGGTTCAAATTTTATTGGGTTATGCTTTATGAGTCTAGGATCTCTGCTGAAGGAAACATTTTCAATATGGTTACTCAATTCAAAATGCCCACCATTTTTCGAACAGAATTTGGTCCAAATTGTATAGACTCATATCGTATGGGCAAAGGACCTCTGCTTAGGAGCCATTTTCAATATGGCCACTCATTTTAAAATTTCCACCATTTGTCTTAAAAATGTTTGATAACTCAAATTCCTTACTGATTTTGTTCAATTTTTTATGCTGATCCTTTAGTGACATATAGAAATAAAGAATTTTCAAGATGGCTGCTCATGAAAAGGTGTAATTTTGAAAACTTAAATACCAGTTATAGGATTAAGTGCAAATTTTAATGGTCATTGTTATAGGGGCAAGGGACCTCTGTTAAAGAAGGAATTTGGTGATATTTGCTACTCAGTGGAGTTGCTGTTTTCTAGTTTTAGTCTATAAATGTTATGATCAGTTCAATATATCAGATAGTTAATATGCCTAGTGTGACAAGTACAAGTACAATTGATTGGTTTTAGTTTGCAAACCCATTATAAATGATGGTTTAATGGAGCCATTAAGTTAACCCTTAAATTACTAAAACCAATAAAAAAATTCAGATTTTTTTGCGAAAAATTAGACTGTGTAACCCCATGTACTTGCATATCAACTGCATAAATTGGTGTATTTTGTAAACTCATCCACCACTAGCTACTATTGAAGTTTGAATCATCACGTTTTCTTGGCACATCACTATATGCAATGCTTCTTCAGCACATACTCCTCGATATCCATTAGACGCCATTTTGTTTCTCAAAATCTGTCTTGTATTGTCTTAGAAGAATGAAAAAACATGAGGCTCAAATATGACATACTGCGACTAATAATGTTAAACAAAGTCGCCTTTTGGAAATTTTCTTTCAATATATATTATTGTATTGAATAAAACATGATAAATCAAGAAAAAATGACATACTGTACTCCCGGTATTTTTAGCGTGCGATTTATTTTCGCGTTTGTGGTAAAATCGCAAACATTAATCTGTGAAATTGTCAATTAAATCCCCGGGGATTTGTGAAATCACGATGTAACAGAGGTTAAGGTGAAGCGTGTCATTGACTAAGATGACAAAGTAGTAGGTGCACTTAGTGAAATTCACCAAATTTAATAGCTGCAAAATCGTGTTTTCTCAAAATACACGAAATTAAAACTCGCGAAATTAACCGGGAGTTCAGTATCCTTACTAATTTTTTCATGATAAAGTACATTGCAATCAAGATAAATAGAAACTATTATTAGTGTATAGATGTGGAGGTATGCTAAACATTTTATTTTTGTACCCTAGCCTAAGCAGTGATAGAACACATGTACCAGGTCGATCAATAAGTTCTGAAAAATCCTATAAAATCAAGAATTTTTGTGATTTTTTTATTTGAAATTTTCATAGAATGCGTAAAATGAACTCAGCAAATTAGCGTGACAAGTTTTCTGGACTTAAGCAAATAGCACATTTGCTTGTTTGCACATTATTTTTTATAAAATTCATGTTTTGTTTATTTCCAGGTACTTTGGTGACTATAGGAAGTATCATCTTCATTGGAGTCCTCATTGTGTCTGGCTTCATCTCATTAGGCTTTGCTGGTGTCATCATCCTTGCTTACTTCGGGTGCAACTTCGGCTTCAGATTTATCAATGGTGTGAAGGAAAAATACTTCGGTAAAGGCAAGGGGCCAGTTAATGTCTCCTTTGATAAAGCAAATGAGACTATGAATGGACATATGAAGAACTTGGATGGATATCTGGATAAAATGGACTAATTGTGATGAGATTAAATTGATTTACTTATGATTTAATGTTATTTATTTCATCAACATTACACTAATTATGTCTTCCCATATTGTACTATGAAGTAGTACATGTTGTAATGTTTATACAAACAGTGGAATTCAGACTGTTTATCCCATATCTGAGTAAGATTGGATAATTGTGATGGGTCTTGAATTAGTTTGCTTGTGATTTGCATTCATTTTTTTCAATAAAGGGACATTCCTAGCCAGGCAATATCTATCCTGACATGATAGATTTTCCCTGTTTTGCTAAACATGGAAAGTATAGTATATATAGGGTTATAGCTACCATATTAGGAGAGAGATGGTCTGGCAAGGAATATCCTTTTAAATTCTGATTAATTATGTCATTGTTCTATGGAATGATATATGGGACAACATGCAGCAGTATCTATATGGAATTGTCAGAATGACACCTGTTGTCTTGATATAGAATGCCTTTGGTATAGCACCTGTGGATTATGGACCAAGTGGGTGTGATAGCACCACTATAAAAAAAATATGGGAGCTTTGCCCTGTCAATTATTGGTAGCTGCATATACCAAGGGTGTCGAGGTGAAAGTAGATCACCCACAGATTGCCCACATATTACCCATGAAGTGTTCAGTAAAGCATTAAAAGCAGTAGAACAACTGAACATCATTAACATGTCAATTTCACATATTGGTGTAATTGGGCTTACCTAAGGATAGAAGTGAAATGTTGAACAAATAGAACATTACATTTCCATCTACAGTATTGTACGTTTTTGCAAATCACTGGTAAATAATATTTCCTTCAACAATTTTCAAGTAGTTTAAATCTGCTTGAATAGATATGGACATTAAATAAACCATTTAATTATAATGTCACCACCAGAAGTGGTGACATATTGTTATAGTTTCCAGCTTTTTTGTGGTCGGCATTTGGCAGTGGATGGTTGGTGTTCTTCAGTTGGCATCTTTAACAAATGGCAGGTGGTGACATTTTGCATATAATTGCCTTGTTATTCTTGAAGTCAAGAATACATGTAATGAAATTACATGGCACAACATGTACAGACATATCCTGTAATTATTGTAAATGTAAAGGCTTATTCAAGGAGGATTGTCTCCCAGAGTTCCATCTCGATATTCTGACTTATATGGCGTCCTGTCATGATTACAAAATTCGAAATCAAACAGCCACCATTTTTCACATCAGAATTTGAATCATGGGTTTTGGTCTTATTTTCAAACTTTCAAAACACACAAGAGGTGATCAAGATATTAGTTCATATCTTTTGGATTGCTGATGATGAATTTATAGTCAGTTATGATGTCAGAAAATTACGACATTTTCAATTTTGTCTCTGATATTGGGCAAGGCAACTAGAGTATCACCCATTCTCCTTGCAGTTCATTTATGTGAACTTGCCCGGAGATTGAAAATTTCAAGTTGGAATCCTGGGAGGCAATCCTACTTGGGCTTATTAATGAAGGAAAAAATGTCATGATGTTGATTGAAAAAACAACACATAGATTTTGAAATCACCAAGATTGGGAACTACATGTATATTGAATGATATTATTCAAAAAAAGTGGAGGAATATGCCATTACCCCCGTATATATTTTCTTATATTTTTATGAAATTCTCCAAACATTTTGCCAACTTTGTGAATATGTCGTGAAATTTTTATAGTGCAATGTTTTTCATGGTTACTTTTTTACTAGACTGGAGTATAAAATTTCTGGATTTATTCCTGATTAGTAATGCTTGTCGCTTAAATCCTGATTTTTGTATTCGGGTGTTTCATGTCAATCTTGTGTGTAAGTACAGTAAAACCTGTGCATATTGAACTTTCTTGCCAAGAAAAAATATTAGTGTTGGTAGGTGTTCACTACAGAGATGGTAATGATTACAGTGGTTAATAGACTATGTGCAGAGGAAGGGTCCACGAGAGAAAGGTGTTCACTAGAGAGAGGTGTTCACTTAGACAGGTTTTACTGTATGAGCAAAAATATATTGATCTTCATTTGATCATGTTTATAAGTACACCGTTTCACAGATTTAGCCATGCGAGCTTCCAAAATTTAGTTACACTATGCATGCAGTAATGAGCATTTATTTGAACTGTACATGCCGGATGTATATACAAGGATTTGTCATTCCTCTTAAGTTCATAAAACATCTTTCCAATGGTACATGTAGTAGCTTTACAGAATTGTGGAACTAAGATTCATTTGAAAAAATGTATGTATTTTTGAAATATGGTATACTAGACTTATACTTTGTTATACACACACGATTTATATGAACTGGAATTATTTCCCAATGAGTATTATTATCTAAAACCACCGATACACACATAGCAGATGGATCCCATACCTACTTTTGCTCCCTTTTGTTATATGGCATTGTAAATGCTTGTGAAAAGTAAATTGATATTGCTTAATCGGAGGGGGGGGGACTTGACTGGGTATTCCTGTAAGCCCTAAATTCTAGAAAGTAGATAACAAAATACATTCATCCCCTCCCTAGGAGCAATATATATTCTTGTATAATTACAATGTACCTGGATATTGATATGATTTGGGATTTACATGTATGGTGTGTGAGCTGAAAATATTTGAAGATGAAGTTTTGTGTTACACATATTTTTGTATAATAAAGTTTATACATATATTAATTATATATATGAAATATTATTTTATTTTCTGTTTTTAACAAGATACAAGCAGGTCAAGATGCATTTTGTGTGAATGCCTCCAATGAAGAGTGCGTCAAAATATGCAATAGTCAAAAAACTCCCTCTCCAAAATGAAATTTATTTGAGTGCAATCATACATCTGAGTAATCAGACAACCTCTCAGTGTCGCTTGTGTCATTATACTTCATTTATCGGAGCATCTTATTTTCATTTGTGTCATATTATCTCTCTCAAGTCGAGACAGTGTAAATTATTGAAGAACAGATACTTTGAAACCTGAATTGTGAAGATGTTTTATAATATGATCTAAAGATGTCTCCCAATGTAACTTATTTCTGCAGAAATCAACATTTTCCTATTATAAAATTAAAACCTTGAAATGTATTACTTTTTCTACCTGCTCGAGAATGTATCCAAGGAATATTCAGATTTTTTTCATCCAAAAATGTTTCCCTTGTATAGATATCACTAAAGGCCAAAATTATTCCAAAGAATAAAAAGAAGTACTATATAATACAGAATTAGTACTATCCTTCATTCTTGTACTCAGACCATGTTTGCCTTTCAAAGAATGTCTAGAAAGATACTAATAGGAGGCTGTGATATCTCACGACTATCCTTACTTTGTTGTTTATTTCATGATAATGAGGAAAACTAGTTCCAATAAAAACCTGTCTGGGGACTTCAATGGAATACAACAGCACCATCTTTAGATAGAATACTCTGATTTGCAGCCATAAAGTACACAGAATAGCTGGGAAATGTGACCATAGCAGAAAATGTTAAATATTTTTGATTTTTTTCTATTGATGGATGTGCAAGGTAGGGGTTTTCCATCGACTGAGACTTCTAGCAGTCGCCAAAATAAATAGACATCATAACAAAAATTTCCCTAAGAATTAAATAGCGCTAAACTAATAACAACCAATAAGTCACTGTTAAGTCTATTACATCAAACAAACAAACATTTTAAGTTTAATATTTTATTGAATAACTTTATAATACAATAACATGTCATATCTCCATGCTGGGTCTTCACTTTGACTGTATTAGGAGTTGTGTGAAAAAGATGATAGGTTCTATGCACCAATATCTATGCAGGAAATTTGATCAGACTAAAATGTATTTTGAATGTTTTCAATTTTTAGTTCTTTCCTTTTTGACAAACAACCCTTTCTGGCATGTCTAATTGAAGAAAAGTTCTTATCATTTAAATTTCAATAGTAGTACAAGAAAATTAACTTGATGGGATTTCTCCATTGATTTACCTCAGCCATTTATCTAATTGGCCATGCTTGGCTGGTAAGTTACAACTATAAAACACTGTCTCATCTTTATCATATCATTTACTCACTACTGTACAATGAATGCTCATATGAGTTATGTACCGAGAGGTTTTGGACACAGGTTTTACCCCAAAGAGACGCACATATTAATATTTCCTGAGGGTTAAACCCTATCCAAATCATCCCAGTACGTAACATATGTATCCGTACCTACAGAGGTTCGAGGTATATTCTACCTGTACTTCTAGGGTTCCATAAAGCCCTTTTCCGAAATCTCTTTTAGATTTTATGGAGTGAGACTGGGATAGAACAGCTTTCTGTTCCAAACCTCAGTTATAGTGGGATACATACAGAAATATCAAACTTGCTCTCATACTCATATAGAACATGATAAATTCAATTTTCCAGGACTTGGTAAAATACCACACATATGAATATACAAGATAAAGAATATGGCTTATAGATAAAAACGATATCCCTTACAAACTGTAGGATATTCCTCAAAAATCTTAAGTACACATCAAATAACTTACTGTAATACATGTATATACAAAATGTACACTATAAACAATATTTTGCAATCTTGAGTATCAAACTCCTGTATCTTCAAACATGGAATAAAACATTTTTAACAATAGCACCTTTTTATCAAAATACTGTCTTATCATTAACTAACTACATTGTACAAGCAATACATGTATTATCAATATAATATACATGTGTTATCAATAATACATATATTACATGTATTATCTCCAGCATACATGTGTTAACTTACTTATCAATACCATATATATAGGCATTATCAATACCAAATATAGGCATCATCAATACCACATATAGGCATTATCAATACCACAAATAGGCATTATCAATACCATATATAGGCATCATCAATACCACGTATAGGCATCATCAATACCACGTATAGGCATCATCAATACCACACACAGGCACAATCAATACCACATATAGGCATTATCAATACCACATATACTAGGCATTATCAATACCACATATAGGCATTATCAATACCACATAAATATAAATATATTATCAATACCAATGTTACTGATATAAAGGTGTATTAGTAACTACATATTTTTTATAAGAGATTTAAGTATTTGGAGCAACACTTGTGGGGTCGCAAGCAATAATGAATGCAAAGTAGAGTTGCTCACAATGCATGAATGGATAAAAGTCCCAGATCTCCTATTGGTCTATTGGGTTACAATAAGAGGAAGACATATTACCCAGAATTCAAAGATGAACCTATCTTCATTCTTGAGAGATGAACCTCTTACATGAGGATTGAGGATAAGTTCATCTATGAATTCTGGATAAAGCCCTGTGTTGAATAAATATCTGCTTGAAAACCAGCTGTTCAGTATGTTACTGGAGAGCATTTGTTTAAAGATTTATATCCATGGCAACACCCACTAAAAGGAAGCTTTTGATTCGACCAGAAAAAAGGTGTATCAACATCATGTTTAAAAATACAAAACACAGTGATGAGTAATAAAAATATCTTTATCCTTATGTGTCTACTTTGCAAGTTATATACATGAATATGTTACATTTTTGTTTCTTTACAATGACCTTGATGAATAATAACAAAAATCTTTGAAGGTCAAACATAAACAATTAATTATTTTTGCCTTGACATGTGTAATTTACCTTGCAGATATGTTGTAGAATTATGTGTGACTTTTGTATTCAAATTATGCATAATTTTTTCATAAAAAATAGGACTTTTATGCCTTAGGGGATTTCACTCTTCAGATGATTAATTAAATGTCTAATGCAAATTAAAAACAATATCCTCAAAGAAATGGATAAGAAATCAATAATACTATAACCATGAGATAGAAGAAAGGAGGAATTCGCATCCCCAACTCATGTGATATAAAAGCTCAAACCCATGTTCAGTGGACTAGATTCGCATCAACAAACACGATGGATTGTAGAAAACCATTGTTGCATCAAGTCATGTCCTCCTCTCTATTTCTTGTGTTTGAGAAAAAACTTAGGTGTTTAGAGGGAGGGGGGAACACAAGAACCCAGTGCAGGACTATGGAAATGTTGACATCTTGTCTGGCAGTGACGCTTAAACATATACGTATGTGTAAATCTAATCTCAGGAGTATCTTGTTGTCATAATATTGCGTCCAAAACTGTATGGCACGGCCCTTGCAGAATTAGCATATTTCCCCCATGCACCAAATGGAACAATTAATGTTGTAACGTTATCATCTGATCCGAACTGTAACGCCTGATCAGCGACGAGATTCGCACCCTCTTTAGGACTGTTGCAGTTTATGACTATATCAATAATTTCTTGATCACTCACAACGAAATTAACACCATCACTTGTTAGAATGAGAAAAGCGTCTTTTCCATGTTTGATCTGCAAGTAGAAAATGTCACATTTTAAGAGCATAAATTACAATTACTTTTCAGAGAAAAAAATGAACAGCTATAATGCAAATTGTGAGAAACCAGCAATCTATTCATTATATATGAATCTAGCTGAACCAGTGTGCTAGGACATGTCTAAGGCCCAGTTCCATCTTGCACGATTTGACATTGTTTGACATTGCCTATGTCTTTTCACCCTGGAGCTTTAAGATAATTTCATTTCCAATTCATTTTCAAAACCATATTGTTTGTGCACGATGGAAAGTATTTATATCATATTTATGACTGCCTATGAGATTGAATCACCATAGTAAATAATAAAAATATAGATACAGGTTGTAGGCTATGATGAAGTAAAATGTCTTGTACCCTGCGCGCAGAGTCTAGTTAAACTACACTCTGCCTAGTAGAGACCATATTACAGTTTAGTAGCCCCGCCCCCACGGCGGGTACCGGTGACAGTTTGGGTGATAAATCACTTCTGACCTACGCGCTGACATTTCTTCCACCAATCAGCGAGCTCGAAGAAACACACGCCAAATGCGTTCTAATCAAATATGCGCATGTCATTGGTCAATTCCTGGCTCAACGATGACGTCAGAAGGAATGACCATATTTAGAACGTCGGTCAAATTTGGCCGACGAACACTGATTGGCGCGGTGAGTTCACAGGTTTATTTTAGTTTGAAAGAGTGAAGACGAAGCTCTCTTTTAAGAAGTGAAGTCAAACGAATGCAAAGGGTAAATGTCTTGTTGACCGCATAAAATATTCTAGGCTTCCCACCTCACAAATAATATACAGCTGTGAGGTGCATTAAAAAGTTTAACACTCTAGACACATTTTGAAGGTCACAATTACAAAGCACAGACGTATCTAAAAATATCATCATGGCAACAGATACAAGATCATTGAACCCAATCTCTCATAATTTATGACATTCCTTTGTGCAACTTACATTCTTCACCTTATCCCCATGGGCTGATTATTTTTGAGCTTTTGAAGTGGAAAAATTGAAATAATATGATAGGACTCAGACTAGCAATTTAGCAAATAATATTATTCTTCAGCACGATTCATAATAGATTCATAATACTGGGAATAAATGATGTAAATTCATCTGAAAAGTTAATACCTTTCAAGGAAGAATGATATGAATTGTGTGTGATTTGGTGCGTAAACTGTCAAATACATGAAATGCTTTTCGCCTCATGAAAAGCCTCGGTCTCATAAAAATCCATTGTCTGACAAAAACCCTCAGCCTCATGAAATACTTCAGATAAATCCATGAATTGTTTAAGTCTGAGTACTTAATTAGCTACCTTTATATCAAGAGAGATGATCCCAAAACGAGCTGAAATGGCCCTTGCAGTCAAAATGGTGTGACATGCGTAAAAGACACTTTCACCACTTTGACTGCTCAATTCAAGTTTAATATAAAATAAATGCCAGATAGTTATGAAAGAATATGGTGTGATGTCTGTGATGTTTTCCTTTGGTCTGTTCACTTGACTGCACATTAAGTGCCAAGTAGTACCAAATGTGCAGATAGCATACAATATATACACTGCACACATACCTCAAGTGACCTGGTGTCAGGCTCGGCAGTGACTCCATAAGGTTTGAACTCAAAATCTCCAATACTTCTAGTCATCGCAAGACGTCCATTCACAGTAGGCTTTCCGAGACTGTTATACGAGATCAGTCCCTTGTGTTTTTTGATTCTTTCGACCTCGGCAGTGACATCTGGTGAGTGGTCATCTGTCAGACGCACTACATGATCTTCTCGACACAACAGGGCAGGGCTGTCCCCAACATGGCCGACAACCAACTCCTCATTGTTGCGTATCAAACACACTGTGGCAGTGGTTCCGGTGTTAGTAATTTCATGGGTACCCTCAGCTAAAAATACACAAAATTCAAAGCTTAAATTAACTTTTGTGCCTCAATCTTTGTTTATCTAATTTTAAAAGTATTACATACACTGTCATGTTAATTAACTCAAAAGTCCAACATTTCTACAAAAAGTAGACATCATTCAGATAATATCTCAATTCTTTGTATTCAACAATAGAATTAGGGAAACATTAATATTATTTAGAAAGATTGTTACTTAATTAACATTCTCTAATGTTTCCTGCCTCTTTAAAGGCCCTATGCAAGTTTGCAAGGAAACAATGACAAAAATTTGGAAGGAAACAATTAAAAACGTATACAACGAGATATATACATCTGCTCACAATTTGGCATCTGCTTTAATTCTTTTATTATAATAAGATAATAAGACTTCTTTTATGTAACACTATGACATATCTCCAATTTTTATTCAAAACATGTATCAGCAATAAGTTAAAACAGAATGTCACCACCTGCCATTTGTTAGACACCAACCGCCAAATGCTGAACACCAACCACCACCCACAAAAAGTTGGAGACGATATAACAAATATGTCTCCACTTGTGGTGGTAACATAAAAATGATCAAGAATAGTTAACAGAATCAACCAAATTAATCAAGGTTATTCATGTCACTCAACATGTTCAACCAAAACTTTTAATCTGACAAGAGATTCATTTTCTTCTTCTTTTGTGTACTGTACTACATGCATTTCAACTATGCAATTGTAACCTTGGATCTTTGCCTCAACCTTCAGTAGCTGTCATAATGCCAAAAAGTAACTTTTCACCATAAAATATAGTTAGGTAGTCGATCTACAGAATTTTATGTACTTTTGGGGATTATAATTACCAATTTGACATTTTTATGTAGATTTTCAGCTGTAATGATAGAATCAGAGTTCAAAATCAAAATATTTACATTAAATATTGAAATGAGTAAATCACAAGGGTGCAAGTAAAGAACTACCCTAAAAATTTAATATTGCAGTTATTTCCCTCTTTTTATAGAGGTTATTGTGAGAATACCTGTGCAATCTCATTTTTGATTTAAAGCTCTTATAATTCAGAGTAAAGATGCAGCTCAAAAATGAATAACTACCTAAATGTCTAAAGTAGAGGTATCTAGACAACATGTTATTTGTCTCAATGAAAGAAATCTTCAGCACATTCTGCAAATCATGCTCCCTCTCTGACCAGTACAAGATGCGCTCGTGTAAATGTTCATGGCAGTAATCAGCTGCTTCGGGGCCTCCATGGCCATCAAACATCGCGAAATACAACAGATTGGGACTCAGTTTCTGAACCTGGACTCTGTCCTCGTTGCTTTTACGTCTGCCTGTCATTGATGCAGTAGCAACATTTTCTAGTGCAATCTGAGGGATCGGTTTCCCACGTTTTATACTTTGTTCAATATCTAAAGATGTATTGATTCTGTGATTCCATGATCCAAGGACGTCAAAATTTACTCCACTTTGACGACTCCCTCTGTTTTCAGGGTCTCCCAATGCCCTAGCATTCTTGCGTTTAAATGTATGCAATTTCCTTGCGCTTATCTCTTGGGAATAGTTTCCTTTGGATTTGTGGCCATGGATAGCACTGACAACTAAGAGTCTTAAAGATGGCGGCTCTTGACCGGATTGGCGACACACTTGCCTTCCAAGTACCAATAATCTTTTGTTCATTCTATTTAGGCTGATTTTCTGGAGTTTTCTGAAATTACAAAATGGAAAGAATTATAAGATTTATGTAGGTACACCAACTTCCCTTCATCTCCTAAGCTAACTGCTTAAATCTTATCAAGCCATTAATATTATTTATGTAAGTAACTCTTGACAATAACACCTAAGCTATGTTAATTAATACCTAGTAACTGTTAATAATTTACTAATAACTATAGATAAAAAAATATTTTTATTAGATAAAAGTAAGTTAACAACCTTCCATCCCTCAAATCCCCTTTGATGGAGTCATCCCTGAACATAAAAACACGAAATGCATTTTAACAATTAACACTCAAAATGTATCATAAATGTTTTCATTTCTAAAATTCATTTGCATACCTCAAACTCCAGAATCTTGTTTAAGTTAAGAATATTTGCGAAATTATTTGTGCGCTTGTGCCTCTTTATTTAGCATCCACTAATCCAATCTGACTAAATCCAATTTTATGTTTATTACATTTTTAATTTAAGCATTCATTTTAATTTGTAAATTCAAACAAAAAAAGCATTAATTCACTGAACTAAGTTGTAAGCCGTCTGGTCTATATTAATACACTGCCATCTTGTCTCTCCAATGTTTATACTAATATCATTTAGAATGAGGCTGTGTTTATATTTATATTCCTCCCATTGCATCATCTTTAGCTTTTTGACATTTGCCAACTGTGGCTGCATTTACTTGCAACTGCCCCCTGATTGGTCAGTTAAAAGGACTGCATGTATTGCATCAGCATAACATCCAGTAAATGTACTTTAAAAATGATATGATTACAAAAGAAAAACTGTTTGGAGTTGTATAAAGACACAGGGGTGGTATCAATATAAAACATCAAGCCATTTTTCACACAAACACCTCCCAATATACAAAATCAAAAACTGATCAAAAATATCTTTTTCCAGAAGATCAAGAAACATCATCCATTCAATCAATTTTGTTTGAAATACCCATTCTTTAACTTTACAAAATACTGAATATGTCAAATAACATTCTAAATAAATAAATTTTAGACCACATATTGAGTTTATCCCTTAATTCATGTTTTACTGTAATCTGATTGGTTAATCCTGCATCCCTATAAAGCATGAGGGCTGCATGTGAGCCTCGTGTAAATACATTGAGGCCTGGGAAATCCATTAATAAGATCAGTCTATTATTCAAGACATTTATAGGGTATCAAGATACAAATAATTTTATTTTGAGTGATTCTGTTTTATGAAAGTAAAATTGCTCGAATTGTGAATTGATATAGTATTCCATCAGTTTTGGGATCAGTTTTGATATGTATTGATCATTTCATATTATTACTACCATACAACATTCAGTATTTCCAGACATATGTTTCAGATGGTTATATTTTGTATAATTTCTCAGTTCAATCCCATTTTAGAGTTTTTTTAATTGTTCCCTCTTACAACCATACCATAACAACCATAAGTTCAACATTTAGCATTATGGCTTATATGTTGCAATGCAGGGATATTGCAAAATTCATACATGTAAAAGCCATGTAAAATTCTTAATATTTACATTTCCTTATAGACTTATACCACCCTGGATCATTTCCAAAGATTTTAACCAATCCCAATATTTTTGTATGTAACACACTTATGTAACCAATTCTGGATATTTGGTTAATGCAATACAAGAACAAATGGATTACATATTAATCTTATTTCTGAATATTATATCATCTGGCTTCCAGTGTGTAAAGCAAGGAGATGTATGGAAGAGAGTGTAAATGGAAAATGACCCTCTGTTTGTGAAAAGAAGGTAACCCCAGTTATACCCCCCCACCATACTTCATGTTATTAAATAAAATTGAACCTATTACAGACAGTATATAGATAAGACTACAATAATATTACAACCACTTATGGTTCAATATGGGAAGAACATACTGCTCCAGATAAGCAAGAATGCTGCAAGAGGACTGCATTTTTATTGTAAATACACTTAACTGTTTGTGATTCTCCATTCCTTGTAATTTCACATATTCATATTTAAATTATAAAAGCAATATGGTTAAAGAAACAAATATTCATTTATTTATAGAAATTCTAGTCATGTAGTTATAAATGACCTAATTCATTTAAACTATTTAATGATTACAATTTTAAGTTATCAATAATATCAATAAATATATTTAATGACTTAAATGTAGTTATCAATAAATATATTTAGTGACTTAAATTTAGTTATCAATAAATATACTTACAACACACGTAATAAACAAAGATGTTGACGCTCTTAATAAATATATGAAGCACAAATAATTCTTTATTGGTGATTCTGAAGCCAAAGAGCATTTAAGAGAGTTATTTAGAACAAGTATTTACTAGTTCTACCTTGTACTATTTCAAGGTAATTCTGCAGTCAGAAGGTAGGACCTTGACTGGATGTGTTTATTATAGCCTAAGATTGATAGCAGTGGGGCTATTTCGGCTCTTCCAACTTAAGATTTGTTCAAAAACAGCACGGAAGACAAGGTCAATAGCCCAATGTTTACCATTGGAATCTATAGATGAGGCTAGTTCCAATTGTTTACATTTTGCTGAGGTCAAGTCCATGGCCAATATAAGCAATCAATGGACGACTCTGAACAAAAATTGCAAATATAACAGAGGCCAACAGAGACTATCTCAGATTACCCCTATATGAATTTGAAATGAACAAGTCAAAATCAAGGAGGATTGGCTCCCAGAGTGCACCACCGATATTCTGTCCCATATATGGGTATGTCGTAATACAAAATTCGAATTCAAACAGCCGCCATTTTGTTCACTTCAACATTTAAATCGTGAATTTTGGTCTTATTTCCAAACGAAAAATTCCAAAACTCACAAGAAATGATCGAGATATTGGTTCGAATCTTTTGAACTGTTTATTTTGAATTTATAGTCGGTTTTAATTTCAGAAAATAACGACATTTCGACGTTTTCATTGTTGGAAAATATCGAGTTTCGATCCTGGGAGCCAATCCTCCTTGAGTCAAAATAATAACTTCCACATTTATCTTTGACATATTTGATAGAGCTATTTGGTTAATACCAAGTAACAGTTTTTGGAACTCCATGGCGTTGTGTGTACAGTAAATCTGTGTACATGTATTGTCATTTTAATATAACCATTGTCACAGTCATATCGTGCTTAAACATTACCACGGTCATGACAGGCCTTGCAACCATTGTCACGGTCATATCAGGCTCGAGCATTACCAGGGTTATGACAGGCCTTGCAACCATTACCAGTATCGTATCAGACTTAAACATTACCAGGGTTATGACAGGCCTTGCAACCATTACCACTATCGTATCAGACTTAAACATTACCAGGGTTATGACAGGTCTTGCAACCATTACCACTATCGTATCAGACTTAAACATCACCAGGGTTATGACAGGCCTTGCAACCATTGCAACGGTCATATCAGACTTAAACATCACCAGGGTTATGACAGGCCTTGCAACCATTGCAACGGTCATATCAGACTTAAGGACAGGGTGCATGTTGGGAAATTTTCTGCATTCCTCAATTGAGTCACATGTTATTTTTCAAACAAGAATAACTCCTTCCCCAAATTGTCTACATCTTCCAAGTTTGCACAAAGAGTGCACTTATGTGCCTAGAAAAGCCTTGTGAGAAGGTTTGTTTTGTAAAATGTATAAAAAATGAGAAAATTCAGTGTAAAAAATTTCTGAAAATTTTCTGATTTTTTTTCACTGAATTTTCTCGTTTTTTATACACTTTATCAAAACATCCTTCTCACAAGTCTTTTCTAGGCACATAAGTGCACTCTTTGTGCAAAACTGGAAGATATAGACAATGTGGGGAAGGAGTGATTCTTGTTTGAAAAATAACATGTGACTCAATTACCCAAATGCGAGTAGGTAGTTACCAGTTTCACCACCAGGTGGCTGATTCGGGTCAATTAACATGGCAGGTATATAAGAAAGTTCCCTTAAACTTGAATATTATCAATTTAAGTGGCTCAATTTTCATATAACCCTTATGTGTCTGATACTTATACTAATGAAAATATGTCCAGTAAAGCAAAATATTATCTGTCCACTAAAAGAAAAGATATTTCATTTTTTGTGATATTATAGCATGGGGTCTATGGGGAATCTCCCCGAGCTAGAAGTCACATTTTCAAAGAAAATTAATTTTTCAAAGTTGATAAACACTTTTTAAAACCACATTTCTAGATGTAATTTTACATGTAGATTTCAAATATGATATTACTTTGACTGAATTTTGAATTTTTAATGACGTAAATCAAGATTATTTCTACTCGCATCTGGGTTATTGAGGAATGCAGAAAATTTCCCATCATGCACCCTGACCTTAAGGTGCTATGGAAGTTAACAGGAAATGACAAAACAGGAAGTGACAATTTCTTTTGCATTTTTAGATATTTTTTGAATAAAGATAACAGAGTTCTGGTTTGACCTCCAGTCAATTTAACTTTTTCCACATATCATTTACATGACCAGGATCACAATGTGCATGGTCAGAATGACCCTAAACATGATGAAATAACCTTTTTAGCCCTTTGAAAGTGTGACTGAAAAAAAGCTAAAAGTAGGAGCGTAGGGATAGTCACTGAACAGAATCTTTTGAATTTTTCAGAAAATGTGCCCAATATAATGCTCTAACTAGTACAATCTTTGAAATTTTAGAAAATTGTCTTAAACAAAAATGGCGGTCATAAAAAAAAAATAGATCGCTTTTCACACGGACCTCTGCCAGAAAAGCTCCTCTGTGTCTAGGCTCAATAAATATACTCAAGGATAAGACACGAGATCTTCGGAAAATTTATTTTTCGTTGATTTTGGAGTCAGTTTTTCAAAAAATATCACATGTCATACCTCAAACGATGCGTACTGTTGTTACCTTCAACTCCAATCACTAAAGCCAAACATCCAAGAAAGCGTCTGTTGATAAAAGCATAAAATAAGCGAGCGTATATTTAATGGAGCACTTCGGCTATCTCCGTTGTTCAAATGATTATTCCCGAAGTCAAATGCCTTTTCTGAGAATGTGACGCCACTCCGGATGACGTCACATAAGAGATTACCGAGAAGTCCCATGACGTTTCTTTAAACTCCCGTAGAAACAATAACGACGGTTTATTAGGCTACGCGATTCTTTACTTTCATTGGCTGTTTGTTGCGATGTGACGTAATTTGAGAGACGAACAACATCGGACACTGCCGGAAATTACCGAAGTGCTCCATTATCTTTACGCTCTGAAAATTTGAAATAAATGTCCCGGGAAAATTCGAATTACAGCGTCAATAATGGATATCATGCAACCATTCAAACTAATACATAAAGAAGAGATTACAGGGTAAATATTGATCAATCAATGTCTGACAGATGGAAAAAATAAAGGTCAGTACGAGGGTCATATTTTTGGGTGGTCATTTTTTTGATGTGCCATTTTTGGCTCGTGTCTCATCTTCCCATTTATCCTTTGAGCCTACCAACAGGGGCTGGATCTGGCTCCGGATCTGTGGCTTTTCAAATCATTTTTTTCATTTTTTTTTCTTTTTCTATGAATGATAGTCTATCAAATTTATTCAGACGAAGGATACAGTCTAGGCATAAGTCTCAGATAGCATTCACATCTTACTGTGAAAACTAAACCCAGAGCCTAAATCACGTATTCACCTTGTTTACAGTTTTTACTATCAAAGTACCCACAGATATTGGCCAGATCGTTTTGTAGTAGGATCATAGGCTCAAAGAATAATACATTTAATAAATATTTATTGAGCTTACTGATCCTACTACAAAAGAATCTGGCCGGGATCTATGAAAGTACCACTAGAAACAAAACAGAGAATTGACCAATCACAGACTTTTATTTCAAACAAGCCCTCTTATTATGAATTCATTGATCAATACGGCGCGTAAGGCAGGGGAAAATATTGGACCGTTTATTGATAAAAATTAAATGAAATCTGTCAATAATCCTCACAAATTTTATTCAAATATGACCTCTATGTATTCATGCATTTACCAGTATGTTTTACAAAGGTATACTTCTGATCTTGATGGTGAAATTAAGAATTAAACCAGAGGTGCCTACCTTTGCTTCCGACGTTGTTTATTTTTAGTACAATTTACGACATGTAAAGGTCAAGTGTCAGTGCTGGAAGTGAGTCGAATTCATGCTTCTTAATTGTATTATCGCCCAGTTGAAAAAATGGTAAATCACAAGAAAAGACAGAAAAATCCCAAAAACAAGAATACAAAGACGGTTTTGACCTTCGATGAAACATCCAGACGGTACGTAGATCATCGAAAAATTTTATTAGTTCTATAAGAACTTGAGGTAATTACAGAGAATTTTGAAAAACCAAAACCAAATTGGGCATTTCCAGACCATGGTGATTTGAGACTTTATAGTTTCCAATAATGTCTAGATACATCTCTCAAGTATTGTATATTTTACATTTTGTATACGCTTATCCACTGATGTATGTATAGCCTCTTGAAAATTCTCTTCTTTTTGATATGGGAAATCCTGGGCCTCACTTCAGCAAATCCAGGTGTCATTTATTTATGGTGAGCACTGTATGTGTAACGACCATTGGGCACGTTCGTCGGGGATAGTGTAACGAGCCAGATACTAGACCCGAAAGAGAGTGTGCTAAATTCAATGCCCAGTGCGGGAATCGAACCCAGGACCTTCCGCTCGCTAGGCAGACACTCTACAGATTCGACCATAAAGGCTAGCCACTACAGCTGAGACTGTAGTACTTAGCAACTTGCTATCGAAGGTCATTACAGCATCCCCCTAGAAGACAACGTCCCATCATAACTGATTCACAAGGGCAATCTCACATCTGACACCAATGTAACTACCCTTGGGCACGTCTGTCGGCAGGGGCGTAGCCACATATACGCAGAATATGCAGCCGCGTACTATTGAGTGTCAAAAACCAAAAGTACAAATTGAAATAAATCATATATTTCAATCCAATAGTGTTGTGTGTGTTATGTTTTTAATTGTCAAACAAGTGAACAGAGTTTATTTAAGCCCTGTCTGCCTTTGAACCCTATGCAAACATCTTTTGGGCCATTGTGAGGATGGACTGCGTCTGCGTGTTCCCGTCATATCCCCGGGTCATAGCATTCTAACGAGGGTGCACTTTTCTCTGTTGTCTGCAACTATATTGAAAACGGGCAATACATATCGCACGAAACTGGGGACAATTCACCTAGTGTAACATTATGGCGTCAAAATACCAAAACAAAACAATATAGGCAGTATAGGCATGATAGGACGCAAACAGCCTTACAACGTCAAAAATGACAAGCGTCACATTTTTTCAAGTTTAGTTAACCTAAAAATAAAATATTTTATCCTTATCTAATCCACGGACCTTAAAGTCCGTGTTTAATCATGATAAGATTCACAGGGTAGCAAGATCTCGAGGACAATATTTCTAAAATGTTTTTGAATTTTGAAAAACAGTCAGGAAATCCACCTATGGCGTTAGTAAAATTTGATATGTATGAAATTTGCATAAAAAAATTGATTCGTTACATTTTTTCAAGTCTCGAAAGTCAGCTCTTATTTTAATATTATTTGCAAAATAAACGAACTGGTTTTTGTTTTGTAAATTTCGCCGTGACAATATTGTACAGTTAATTTTTCTTTCAAGAGAGAAGGTTAAATTCAAAACCTAATGATACAATTCAAGCGTTTAGACTAGGTGAGAGATGAAATATAAATGTATAACAAGTAACATAATTTAAACTTTTCGGACTCTTAAACAACAAGGTCCCGGGAACAATGCCCATAAACAACGAGTCTTAACAACTCGTTTACATGTAGGTGTTTTTCAAATAATTATCATATGGGTCAGCGACTCAGTATTGTCGTAGGGTCTGTCCCGGCTGTGGATAGTTCAAAATGGAAATAGATGAACAGGCCTTATTAGTTTTTCTATTTTTATTGTTTGTACGTATTGTGGGGTTCATGGCTTGGAAATCTACAGGAAAATCTATTTCTACGACAACTCAAACACTATTTTCAATAATATAGAATAGCACCTAGAATCGCCCTGAATGCGCCAAATTAGCCCAAAAATCCAAATTTTTCCAGGGGAGCATGCCCCCGGACCCCCCTAGTTTTTCTCAGCCTTCGGCCTTGCGTACTACCACCACTAATCCTGGCTACGCCCCTGGTCGGGGTGTAGTGTACTCGACCTGAAAGGGAGTGTGTTAAGTTCAATGCCCAGTGCGAGAATCGAACTCAGGACCTTCCGCTTGTGAGGCAGACGCTCTACCAATTAGGCCATAAAGGCTAGCTACTACAGCTGAGACTGTAGAAGCGACTTGCTATCGAAGGTCATTACAAATGTAACCAAACCCGTCTGACCCAGTTACCTACTCTGACGTCGTAGATCTGGGCCAGACGAGGTCCAATGGAAAAAAAACGGTGGATTTACTTCAGAGAAAGCATGTCTTTGAATCATCACTTATTATTCATTCTCTATTACCCATCCAACCAAAATATTGGGGTCCATGTAATTCCAAGTACCTATTTGTAATAATGAGTACATAACTTACACATAAAAGTGGTGTTTTATTTGTTAGATTTTTGTCAATTCTACTTGCCTAATAATGTCACGTGATGTGACGTAACATGAGTGTGACGCAAATCTTTTTAATCTTTCATGGAACTAAGATAATTTCCCGGTTATCAAAACATTCCAAACATATTATGATTTGTTCAGAAGATTTGTCATCATTATGTAGATTACTCTATGTCGTAGTTAGACTTGAAACAAATATGGTGGGCAGTACACACAATTTTTTAATTTGTTGTTCTGAACGAATGTTGTACTGAACGAAATAAGCAGAGTAGACGCTCAGATTAGCCCTATAAACAACTCTCGATTTGTCATTTTGGATTTGATGCATGGTTATTAACTTCAGAGGAAATGACCAAAAGAAAGTCGTCAAGAAGCTCTCTTTTAAGAAGCGAAGTCGAACGAACACAAACAAACAAACACAATTTTGATGTGAATTATAATTGTATTTCTTGTCATTCTTCTGATGCAAGCTACTAATAAATCTACAGGTTAAAAAGTCTAATAATAAGTCAACTAATAAGTCTCTAGGACAACCTTTCAATTTTCAAATTTAATTCAAGTGGGATCTTTATCACTGTTTGACTCATTTTTACTTCCAGAGACTTCTGTACAGGATTTAAAAAACGCAAAGATGATCGGAGAAAAAAAGCTCAAGAACAGTTGTTGATAGAATATAAAGAAGAAAGAAATAAAATAAAACAGAAGGTAAGGCAAATGTAGATTGGAGTACTGGAGGATTGATCAGGGCCATATAGGCCTAATAAATGTGGGATGGTTGTTTACTCTGCAATTATCAAATTAATAACCCCATAGGCCCAGGGACATATAACATATATATAATCAATCCCAAATCGATCTTTGTTCAATGAGAGACTGACTGAGAGAAGAAGTATTTTTGATTTTGAGAGACTATCTTCTGTATTTCGTATTTATTGATTTATTTTCACGAAAGTGTATGGTTTGACTAGATCAACATTCATTCTAAGCACATGCCAAGTCTAAGATCTTACTGACATGATCTAGATAGTGGTTAAGCGCCCCCCGATTTTGAAAAAACGGGGGACGCTTATACGCATCGATGTTTAGTATGAATTTCACCGAAAGTTCACACATATAAAGATATACTCATGATCTCGTCAAATCGGCATACCTAGTAAATATTCGACCCATGGTTTTCATAAAAGAAACAATAACATTTTTAGCTCAAAACTGCCACGTGTCCGCCATTTCGTCTCTCCATCATGTCTAATATCATTTCTATATGACGTCACACCAATAAGATTAATTATAATTCTGAATAAGCTTTGTTTTTGTAATACAGGAAAAGTGTCTAGCCTTGATTGCTTTAAAGATAATCTGGTTAATTATTATCATCTCTGTCTGCTAAGTCCCAACTTCATCTTTTTCTCATCCCCATCAATTTAAAAAACAGATTGACTCTGTCATATCCTTTAATTAATTCAATTACGTCCTTTATCTGAGTCAAATGTGTCAAGGATTCAACTATCTGAAGGATCATCTGAGATTATAAAGAATTATAAAGAGATTGAAATTTGACAAGAAAAGGAGGAACCATTCAGATCACAGTCAGTCTAAAATAAGTCAATTTATATAACACTTAAAGAGGCCCTATCAGTGGCGTAGCCAGGATTTGGTGACCGGGGGTTCTATTTTTTTATGTTATTCACAAATCCCCCCCTTCATTAGGGTTCCTCAAATAATGCAATTTGTACAATTACATCCCCTCCAGAAGTTTGGCAATCCTAACTAACCCATTGGATTATGTGTTAAAGCATCTTTAAGTTTGAATTCTTATTTGTAAAGAAAAAAACTATTTTGGGAGGGGAAACATAATTCATTTTCATACCAGATCATTAAGTAGGCAATTGAATTTGAATTTTATTTAATAAAAATGATGCCTTTATTTACGTCAAGCAAAGTCTGAAAGATTAGGCTTCATCAAGAAACCTCTTCCATTGAAATAACACAGGGCGTTAAAATGATTTTTAAAAATGACCTTGTAGCTTTGTAACTTTAATGTTCACAAGTAAAATAAACAGGCAACGTGCAAAAAAGCCAGACAACTTATAATTGATTTTCTGTATCAAAATACATTTCGGTGAATCTTTTACTGAATATATATCCTGAAATCTGATTTGCCCCGAATCCACCATTATTTCGTCTAATTTCTAGAAGACCCTGGGGCATGATTTGTTTCCAGGGAATATCAACTATTTCGCACAATTTATTCTTTAACTTAAGCTACTTCATCTAGGACAAAATAAATCATCTCATGCAATGGCTTATCATTATTTTTCAGGAATTTTGTTGGAAGCCAGTTCGGATCAAATGCAAGGTTATTGAAATTGCCGCAAACACCCTATACTCCGAAAGATCGTTCTTCTACGATAACTTTTCACAACGTTCACACGAAGGCTTTTTTTAAACTATCCGGGATAGTCGTATTACTGATGAAAATATCTATTATTCAAATAAGTATGTCTCAGTTATGCTTTGTTTTAAACGTCCCCGGAGCTCAGCGGTAAGTCCTCCGGAGCAGATCAACTGCAATTGATAATTAAAACGTTTTGGTGGATATAAATCATTTATAAATACAAGCGTCTGTTCGAATATAAAACGTATTTTGTTAAGTTCAGACGGCTTGATAACAAATTAGGCCTTCATTATTTGAAGATTAATACCATATGATTTTTCAATGTTTTTTATTATGTCATTTATTCGCTAAACATATCATGACATTAACATAAAAATGGAGAGCAAGTAAACTGGAACGATAACAATTTGAATTCTATACAATCTCTTAGATGACTGGAGTGAATCTGAAAAAAAAACAAAATCATTTTTTGCAATGATTGATTTTTCTTTGGAAAAGTGATGGGTAAATAAATACTGAACAAATGAAAGAATGAATAAATTGGTTTCGGGGACTTGCCAGCCCCAGGGACGCCCCAAGAAATATTTTAAATTTTAATTGAAATAAAACAAAACAGAGATGTAAGGGAACATGGGGCAAAACGGCCCTGTTGGGCAAAATGGCCCATCGAAATATCTTTTGAACTATAAAAAGATGGTTCTTCAAAAGTCACATAATCGAATTTTGAAATTTCCGCCACCTTTTCGACCGCCCATTTTTAACCTAGCTGCGTCTCGCTATACGTAAGAGGTAATTCTACTTTTCACTCTCAATTTTTAGGGCCGTTTTGCCCCATGTTCCCTTACACATTTGAAAGAACATATGTTTCATCAATATCACGACTATTCCAGATATTTATTCGTCAATGTTGTAAAAATCATTCGGAGTATGGGACGTCTGCATTGTTTTCAATAACTTCGTATTGGCCGAGAAAAAGCAGCTTTTAAGTTAATTGTGCGAAATTATATATCTAAATGTAAAATCTCATGCTCTGGGGTCTTCCCAAAATTAAATCTCACCCCGTGCCTAAGGTTGCCAAACATTTTGAGGGAAGTGTATCTTCACTATGACATGTTTTTAACAAAATAAGGCTCTCGTGTTCACCATAACAAATATCAATTCATTTACTGCTCATATAATTTATGTAGTTTTCAAATAGCTCAGCAAAAAATGTTTCTGGTTATATGCATTTTTCCGCAAAATTATATTTTTGAAAATCCTGACCGGGGGTTCGTTCGAACCCACCGAACCCCCGCTGCCTACGGCTATGCCTATGCCATAGGATAGCACAATCAAGACCCCTCTGGACTTTTTTGCATATTGAGTTTCACCACATATTCACCCATCTACTTACCAAAGACGAAGTCCAAAATCCCCCTCTTTCAGTGTTAATTTTGCGACTGTGCTGGCCGATCTAATTATTTTCTAAGAAATTAATTCAACCTGAAGTTTGAATATACCGGGAAAGTCCTCCTGTTATCTGATTGGACGTTGAATTTGTTTATCATGAACCTGATTGGCTGCCTGGTTTAAGGCGCTTGTGTGACTCAATGGGCATTCCCCTCTCTAGCCGAGGAATCGATTGTGTTTAATTCTGGAGTTTGGTTGTTCTGTTGATTATTTCAATATTTCGGCAATAATATACCCAAAACTTATTCTCAAAATATATCCATGGTATGTGAGATATAAGATGAGCAATAACAATAGGACATCATTGATTGTCTGGGGGAGAAACCTATGGTATAATGCATCTTTAACAAAACAAGACCTCAAAGCTAAAATATACACAGGTTTTACTGCGTATATCTTCCCCGGAGTGCATTTCATTCATTTTACATGCATTTCTTCACTGGAGTGCATTTCACTCATTTTACATGTATTTCTTACCTGGGTTACATTACACTCATTTTACATGTATTTCTTCCCTGGAGTGCGTTCCACTCATTTTGCACATGGATTTCTTGAATGCTTGTAGAAGAGAAATGAGAGAAAGGAGATGCTAGAGAATCAACCAGTAGCTGTACCTGAGGTGGCTCACCTTGTGGACCAGATGGAATACAAGACCTACCAACTGCCTCGTCACACTGTCACAATTGCCGATGTCACACCAATTGACTTCAATGCAGATTCAACAAGACTTGGCACTAATCTGGTCAGTTTATTATGTGAATACCCTTGACTAAGTCAATAGCCTGAGTGTTATCAACTGGGTAACAAATATCAATTGTTTTAGACCAGGATTTAATTGCTGGAATTACACCAGAAAAAATGCTAAAAGCGCTTCACAAAATCGCCATCCTGATTACACCAACATTTCTAAAGCACCTTAGGAATTTTATTTTGAAATGACACCGTTCATTTCTAAAATGCCTTTCGTGCACTTTTAACGATGTACAGTAGATATGGAGAATGTCCAGCAGATGTGTACATCTACAATAAATGTAATCTTTTAGCATCTAAGAGAAAACCTAACCGAGACTTTTGCCAGTGATGTGAACTTATTTTCTATGATCTATTGCATTTTTTGGGTCCCATCCATCATTTCCTGTATTTTTATGGTGGCCAAAATGTGTAACATTCAAAATACATCTATTTATCGCAGGAAAACTAAAGAATTTTACAATAATGTAATTTCTTTCTATAAGAATGGTTACCATTCCTATTATTTGGAGAATTTAAACATTTTTCACCAATTTTTGCACTTTGAATCCATTATAACTTCACCAATTTATAACATATCATGAATCTTTTTGGGGATTGTATTTGACTTCATAAGGAATACATGGGTAGGTCAATTGTACATGTAGCTTGTAATTTTGTCACCCCTATATATCTCATTCTGCCTTTAAGCAGATATTTGAGATATAAACATTTCATGTGATTTTTGTGACATTTTTGTAGGGGTCCAATGAATCAGATGGTGATAACAATGATGATGATGATGATGACGATGATTCCGAAGATGAAAATGAAGCTAAAAAAGATATACATGATAAATATCAAAAAAAGATAAAGAAATACAAAGATGAAATGAAAAAATTAAGTTCCAAGTAAGTACTGTGCTCTTTAAAAGTTGTGCCTTTACTTTTACTTTACTTTTTTTACTTTTACTTTACTTTCTGGTCTCCAAATTTTTTTGGATGGTTTCAGGCATTTGGCGTCTGTAACAAATGGCATTAGTTAATACCTTGTTGATATTTAAACTATTCTTGTATATCTAACAAAGTTAATACCTTACTAGCACTTATCTAAGAGCTACAGTGCATAAACACTACTTCAAAGGACTGTTCTGTGTTTAACTTCTGCCTAGTTGATTCAATTAGGGAAATAACACAATCAGTCTCTGATTCTATTTTGTTATGTATCATTTGGTACACCCTGTAGGTCTGATAGCTTGATTTGGCATGTTTAATTTATAATTTCTGAACACTTGTACTCATGTTTCTATTGATTAATTCCAGGCCTGCTAAATCATCCCATAAACCTAAGAAACAGAAAAACTTTGCCCAATTGATGGGTTTACATAAAAAGAAGAAACCAACAAAGGATCGGGCAATGAAAAACAATAAGCACAAGAAACGACAACCCCGTCGATGATATAACTTCTGATATAACTTCTTATATTGAATTTAACTGTGTTATCTTTTAATGGATGATAGCTCTTGGGAATGACAATGAAAATGGAGCTCTCAGCCCAGATGCCACCAAAATCAAATTCTGTTTTGAGCTGAGGTTACATCAAATGACTCATCAGTGGCATACTATAGTGTCAAAGATGTCCATAGTGTAATATTACATACCACCACCACCCACAGATATACGGGTCTCCCAAATAAACCGAATGGAGATGACTAGACCATAATCAATATATTGAGGAGCATTGACATACACTCTCCTCCATAATTTTGGCGAAACTGACTCCCCATTGGATTACAAAAATGTATTTGAAGCTCTGTAACTTTAATATAAGTTAACTTGACGTAACGCATGCAAAAAAGTTGAACAATTCAGTTTTCTATATAAAGATATCCCGAAATTCAATTTGCCCTGAACCCACCATTTCCCACTTGTTTACATGGGAGTGGCAATTTTCAAAAATTCACCAAATGTGTCATTACTTTGGATCTATTTGGGAAAATTTGGAGTTATTGTATTTGAAATAAAGTTAATTTACACATCCCCTTACATGTATTTTCATTGCAAGATACATAACCAAAATTTTCAAACATAAAGAAGCTTTAACGAGTAACCCAATGGTGAGTTAGGGTTTCCATACTAATATGAACTGAAGTGTCGAGTAATGAACTCATGTGTTATTGAAGCAATATTTAAGTTTTCTATCATACACCTGGAAATGTCACACACTGCCATCTATACAAGTCAACAACAATTATTATTGAAATGACAGGAAATGGAATAAAATATCTAGAGTCTATATCTGGCATGTTGGATCTTTGATGCAAGAAGGAATGACTCCCAGGGTTCCAACTCGATATTCGACCATGACCTTAATCAACAAAAACATTGAGGATGTTGTTATTTTCTGACATTATAACCATTCCAAAAGATTTGAACTAATATCTTGATCACTTCACTTCTGTGTTTTGACCAAAACCCGCGATTCAAATTACGAAGTGAATAAATGGTGGCTGTTTGATTTCGAATTTTGTAATTACGACATCCATATATGGCAGAATATCAAGTTGGAACCCTGGGAGCCAATCCTTAGGTTTGATCATATGTCTATATAATGGGGGTTAATATCAACAAAATTGCATTTTTTCTATTGGTTCATTTTCTTTATTTCTGAACATTACTATTATTTACAATAAGTTATACATTAAGTTCAAGTTGAAGTCCCATGTCCAACATGTTCATATTCTATTTACAGTATGTCACGTTGAATAATGGCAGACGTCAGAGAATTTCTATACTGTTGAAGTTGACAGCTAAAAGCATTATGGATCTGTGTTATTGTAATAGACAAGTGAAATACATGTACATATGTTGAGGACATTCCATGATTTTGAGTGATATTATTTTTATCCATGAGTTGATATCAATTTCTGAATGAGTGAGAGTAACGAAGGAGTGCAGATATTGATATCAATGTATTGATATCAAAGCATTTGAAAACTAACATTCATCCATGACGTGACATCATAAAATCATCACATAATAGATAACAATACATGTCACATTGGTGGGAAAATGTCACATCATGTCACATCTATGGAAAAAATGATATTGCTACCTGTGGAATATTCTCTATTCCACAGATATCGCCTTTTCCACGCATTTGCAAAATGTCTTAAATACAATATTTACATGTTATCTTACAGATTTTGTCTCAACTATGGGATAAAAGATACTCCACTTCGACATAACTGAAATACATATGTGAAATATCTATTTAAGGATTAAATCATGTCACTCCTAAATCATATATAGGATATCCTCTATTTATCACATTCTTATGTCATTATTAGTGGAATAATCAGCTTTTTGATATCATTCCTATCAAGTCCTTGATCAATACTTGCAGATGTTGATATTCAATCAACTTGTTGATAAAAATGATGTCACTCAAATTCAAATGATGTCACATACACTTCAAATGCAGCTATCCTTTTAAAATACATTCTGTAATAGTCATTAGTCAACATATTTTCACTTATGTTATACTTTTGTGAAACATAAATCCAGAAACTCATTTAGATAATAAATAAATAAAACATGTTTATCCACATGTCAATGTTCACATTTTAAAAAGTCATTTTTATGTATGCCACAAACTCATTGATTTATATAGAGAAAATGAATAACTTTTTAAACAGACACGCTGACAAGTTTTACTTTAAATTCAAGACACACATAAAATAAGTTACATTGGGTATTTCCCCTTGGAATTATGGCAAGACTTTGTATGATCATTTGTATATACTGTAGCTATAATAGATGAATTGGTACTGTCAAATTGAAACAACAAGAGATAAGGTCCAAACTCTGAGCAAGTAGCTTAGGCAACATGGGCTACTTATAGTAATAACTTTTAAGTACCTATTCATGTCAAGACTCAGGATTAGTGCTGTTAGTGTGTATCTTATATTAGTGATTAGGTTTTGAATAGCTACATCATGTTATGTTTTAAAGGGATGACATCAATACAGCTATTTTATCAATACAGCTGTCTGCTTAGGGATGACATATCAAAACAGTTGTTTATTTATCAATACAGCTGTCTGCTTAGGAATAACTTATCAAAACAGTTGTTTATTCATCAATACAGCTATCTGCTTGGAGATAACCTATCAAAACAGCTGTTTATTTATCAATACAGCTGTTTATTGAGAGATGACCTGTCAATACTTTATATTTATTAACACAGCTGTTTATTAATGCCTCGGTCACATTTGATCTATGGTAACCATACGACGGCCGTAGCTTCCCAAAATTGGGTGAAATAGGAAGCATGAATTATAGGGATAAGCAGTGCGATGAGAGTACGATGTAAATGTGACTGAGGTTTTAGTAATGACCTGTCAATACATCTTATCAATGCAGCTGTTTATTTCAGGATGCCTATCAATACATGTACATCTTAATGCAGCTGTTATTAAGAGATGACATGTTAATACAGCTGTTCGTCTTATTTACATGCTCAGAGAGATCGCTAACTTGTTCATTCTTATGGCATGTAAGAAAGGTCAAGAATCTCAGAATTAATAATGATCAAGAAACCTTTATGGCAATTAGGTATCATCAGAATTTGTTCCTGAAGATTCTCTTGCAAGACTTCAGAGAAGAAACCCACCCGTTTTGCTAAAATACCCTTTTAGGGTGACCTGTTTTGTAGCCTTAATGAAACTACTTGGCTAAAAGCATAGAGAAAGAAAGTAAAATCATAGAGAAAGAGAAAGTAAAATCATTTTGCCAGTTATCACTCATCGTGGAATGATTATTGGCAGATAAAGCTAGTTAAACTAAATGAAGTCAAAAATAGACCTTTCTTATAAAAACAAATCCCAATCCCTTTTAGTGAGCAAAAGAAACGAGGCTATATTGGCCAGATATATGATATCTGATGGCACATTTTCCAGGCAGCAACATTTTTTAACAAAATTGTAAGAACTTTTTGAAAATTTACAATCAGTTCATCCTTTTTCTGCTCTTACAAAGAATGCCATGATAACCTATAGCTGGCATGACTTTCTGAAACGTTCCTTTCTGGAAACTTTTTTAGTTTTTAAGTAAATATAGACCAAGTTTGGTTTACAATCCCAGGTACTAAATATTTTTGGTTAGTCACCATGCTATGAAATCAGAGGAATTTTATTTCTGGAATTGCAAATCTACCCGTGTGTTAGTGATTAGTCTGTAGTAATCCTCATCATTTAGAATGGCATCATACATCTTGACTATACTAATGCATTGTTGCAATGACATCACAGCTATTTGTCTCAGTATTGTTCGCCAATTAAATTACGAACATGGTAAGCATACTCTGACTCATTCTCTACCCCACCTGTTGATGATGGGCGACACAGTTGCATCCATTGGAGTGTATATAGTCAGTGACGTGTCTATCCAAGTTCTGTTTTCTGTACAGTATCTCAATTAATTATGATCGTCTATCGCACTGGTGGTATTTCAAAAAGCTTCAACATAATTGCTTGGGAAATATCCTTTTTTCTCCACCCCTCCTCTCATGATGGATCCTGTCCACCAGTTCTGATCAATTTTGTCAATGAGCGTGACAATGTCTCCTTTTTTAAGAGTCAATTCTTCAGCATCTGAAGCCTCAAAGTCATAAAGTGCCCTCACTTTGATTTGTTTTGTTGCCATCACTGGTGGGGGGACCTCCTGCAATAAAGACAAAGAAAAGCTACTAACATTTTTTCTGATATGAAATTTTCACTGAGACAATTTTATTGAATGGTTGTGGACAAATAATGAAGTTTTAAGAGAAGGCTATTGGTCAGATACATTCCAAAATGGCTATGTATTGAAGTGTGTAGAATCAATACAGTGAAACTTGTAAAGTTGAACACCTCTGTTAGTGGAACACTTTTCAGCCTCCTAAGACCAACTGACTTAATGTTAAATGAAGCTCTAATAAGTGGAACACCTCCCATGTGGAACACTTTTTAGAGGTACAAGATGTGTTCCACTTACACAGGTTTTACTCTATATAATTATTCAGAATTATATTATTTAGGTTTTAAACAATGTAATCACAATGCATAAACATGTAAAATATCACCACCTGCCATTTGTTACTGACAACACTAACCACCGCATGCTCAACACCAACCAAATTGAACACCAACTGTCCATAAAACACCATAACATGTCACCACTTGTTGTGGTTACATAAAAACAGGAATAAAAAACTTTCTTCATAGTTCATACTCTCTTACCTCTTTTTTGCTCCATGATGGGGAGGAGGCTGTAGCACCTGGAGATTTGTCGTCTCTCAGTAACACCTTATTGTTACGACATATTGAAGAAGATTTATAGTGTTTCACAAGGGCATTTAAAGAATCAAATTTCACCACCCATACAAAATATTTTCCAGCCCCATCCCTCATTATCCTCCAATGGTCAGACTTTGAGCCATTTCTGCAAAGAAAAGCGTGACAGTGGTTCATATGAAATGTTACAAAGAAGTTATGTTGTAGAGAAGGATGTCATGTCTAACTTGACCTTTGTAGAGAAAGATGACATGTCTAACTTGACTGTTCTGGAAAATAATGTGTCTTACTGAACCATTGGAGAAGGATGACATGTCTTATTATGTTTCTTACATTGTAGAGAAGGTGACATGTCCTATAGGACCCACATTGAATGTTATAAAAAGTGATGGCATATCTGGACCATTATAGAAAAGAATGTCATGTCTTACTTGACTTGTGGTTAAGTGATGAATGCCTTATAATTTCATCTCTAACTTGACCATTAGAAAAATGATGTCAAGTCTTACTTGACTGTTAAAGACAATGATGTTATGTTGATTGTGCCTGTTGTAAGAAGAATGATATGTCCTACTTGACTCTTATAGAGAAGGATGTCATGTCTTACTTGACTGTTATAGAGAGGGATGTCATGTCTTACTTGACTGTTACAGAGAAGGATGTCATGTCTTACTTGACTGTTATAGAGAAGGCTTGGTGATTCTCACTAGGACGTATCAGGAAACTACCATCAGGTGCATGTTTAAGCATTTCTTCTGCATCCTTACGAGTTATTTCTTTGAACCAACTGGAAAAAATACCATGAGATCATTAAATCATGAAAATCTAGAATGCGGAGAAGATTATCAGTCTGTTTATCAAGTAGAATTAATAACAAAACATGTGGTTCGCAGTAGGTGATTTGGGTAAGATCACATTCAAAGCATACATAAAGTTTACATTAACTTGATATAAATGGATTTAGTGGATGAATTTTGATCAAATGTTATTATCTAAAACAACACTGTTTATGTCACTTCATTGTTCAAGACAATGGTATGACATCATATTATGTAACTCACTTTTGAAGTTACTAATTGTATTCTCCATTCAAAGTAAAGATGGATGGAAACAGGATATCCCTAAAGAATTTAGTCATTACATTGATGGTCCTAGACATGTGATAAAATAGTCATGACATATTCCAGCTTATGTGATACAGGAAATATTCTTCTCGGGTAACAATGTATCACCACTCAAGCTTGACTTTTATGGATGACACAGTGTTACCTTTCGTGAAATATAACCTTTATCACATGTTACTTATTCACATGTTTCTTTATCACATGTTACCTTATCATATGTTTCTTTATCACATGTTACCTTATCACATGTTTCTTTATCACATGCTACCTTACCACATGGTTCTTTATCACATGTTTCTTTATCACATGTTACCTTATCACATGTTTCTTTATCACATGTTACCTTACTACATGTTTCTTTATCACATGTTACCTTATCACATGTTTCTTTATCACATGTTTCTTTATCACATGTTACCTTATCACATGTTTCTTTATCACATGTTACCTTACCACATGTTTCTTTATCACATGTTACCTTACCACATGTTACCTTATCACATGTTTCTTTATCACATGCTACCTTATCACATGTTTCTTTATCACACATTACTTTACAACATGATATTTAATGACATGTAACTTACTCATGAGGCTGAAGGTCTACATATGTACCTGGAACCAATCCTTCAGAACCCTGCAGTTCAGCTTTATACCATCCACTGTTCTCTTCTCTGAGAAAATCTATGATCTGAAATATATTTGTCCACTTTAGTTATGTCAGTAACCAAAAGGTGGTGACAAATTGTTATGGGTCTCTGATATTTGTGACGGCCGTAGGTGAATGTTAGCTTTAGAATCATACCTGCTCTGGTATGTGATATTAATATGGTTATTGTACCTTATACAAATATAATAGATAAAAGGTTTTCGAATAGTAATGCACATATAACAAATAAATCATTCAGAAACATGAACAAACTGATTAAAAATATGTCACAAGTGATGATATTGCATTGTTTCTTCTGGAATGAATGTCAACGGATCTGCCATATAAAAACATGTTAATATGTTAAAACTTTACTATAGTTTCAAAACATGTAAATGTGTAAAACACTATCTTGCTATAGTTTCAAAACTTGTAAATGTGTAAAACACTATCTTGCTATAGTTTGAAAATGTGGAAATACTAGTATGTTGAACTTTAAAGATTGGGAAAATGGTCTCCTTTTTTTGGAAGTTGCAAGTGACAATGAGTAACATTATGTTGATGGCAGATGATTTCATATTCTGCAAAGAGATACCCAGATATCAAGCGAGTGAAATTATAAACGAATGAATACAATTAGCACCTTTATCTTTTGCAAGGCCAAATTACAGAGATAACTTTGATAACAAGTGTAAATCTTTTTCTTCTTTTTTTGTAAACATGAGCTGCTACTAACCGCCTGACTAGCCAGAATGAAGAGATAATCTGTCACATAATTTTAAACACTGAAATTCTGTCTAACTTAAAGGCTACATGTAAAGTTTTAACTTCATATGGGAAAATGGTCTCCTTTTTAGCTCATTGGAAGTTGCAAGTCACATAATTTTAAACACTGAAATTGCTCTAACTTAAAGGCCCCATGTAAAGTTTGAACTTCATATGGGGCCTTTAAACAATTTGAATCCAATGCACACACATTATGTTTTCAAGGTCTAATTCTAGAAGTTGAAAGGTTAACACATTGAAATAAATTGTAATTTAAAGTGTTTCGTTTAATGATATGCTCTGCCATCTTGACATTGTATTTTGATAACACTATTTTTCATTAGGTTTTCTGATCTCACAATCTTACATTTGACATTGTGCTGTGATAGAATAATTACACTTTATCCCATGATATTACTACTTCCCAGTGGATAACATCAGAGAATATTTTTGATATTGAAAAAAGCCATGTAAGCCTATAAAACACAGGCGAATCATACCGTAATTTCATCAATGATACTCTGACACAGACACTCAAAGTTCACAAAGCAATAAACTAATTTGTTTGGTCCCCGTAATAAAATGTGTGTACACTGAACTGACAGTCTTACAGTCTATGGGTCTAAGCCTTATAATGAGTACCTTATCATTGACTTTGTTGATATGTTGATGTCATACAATAAAGTTTATATTTCAAAATATCATAAACCCCATAAAGTTAAGTCATATTTTTGTTGACAAGAAATATAGTCTGGTTTTGTTTCATTCAAAAATTAGACATTGATTCTGAACTAATATGATTTCATGAAAACAATCAGGATATCATATTGTCCCTCGGAATAAAACCCACATTCAATCCCTCCCAGTAAACAACCTCTTTACTGAACATGGTGAGACTTTTCATGTAGTTTTCTGATTTCAGTTTAACATCTATGATTTAGACTAATACTTAAGTATACAAGGGTTTTCAAGTATTGAGCTGGCATGTTATAAATTTTTGGAAAAAACATCTAGCTTGTCAATGTGTTTTTAGACATCCTGCTTTAGGAGACTCCATACTTACTCTAAACATACATACATCATTTATATTATTTCCTGTTAAACTTGTGCAAATTGCTAAACTGGCAACATAAATGACATAAAGCTTATGAATGGTATAACACATAAGAAGTGATTTGTAATACATCTGATTATAAATATATCTACCTTATGATAAGTGGTCATTTACCTGTCATACATTCAAGTCAATTTATCTTATAGTAAGTAACATTTCAGGGTGTAAAAGTTATCTACTCAGGGCAGGGGATATGAGTCTATTTCCTGATCTCACTCCATGACATATTTGCAGAAATAGAGACATTTCTTTGAAGTGGTTGCTCTGACTCTCTTTGAAGTGGTTGCTCTGACTCTTTCAATGAAGTAAAATTGTTGTATAACTTCAAATATGATGACACTTGTTAATTTAAGATATTATCCTAGAATTTTCAGATACCCCAAAAAAGTCAACTCATTTTGAACTATATGTACAAAAACACATAATCATATCAAACAGACCATCCTTATGGTCCTCAGGATTTCCTGTCTTCAGCAGATTATACATTATATAGGCCTCAGGATAATCCCAGTATTCTGAACAATATAAAAAATAATCCTTGTTCCATATATATCTATCCTAACCAGTAGATAACAGATTTACCCCATGATCAAAGCAAAGTTTGATGAATAGTACTGTATATTACATAGCATCCCTTCACTTACTACTGATGTACTAATATATTTTTAATTTGAAAATAATTCCCCCTTTTGACAATCTTGATGAGTCTCAGTACAATAACAAAAATAACCCCAATGTGTCTTTTTTGAATTTGCATTTCATACCTTTAATTCACCCATACTTGTAGAGATCATGAGACAAACATATCTCACCGAGTCAGGATAAACCGTATATCTACAACCGCTCAATTTAATAATTCAAAGAACAAGAATATCTGTTAGGCATTGTCCATGACATATAAAATTACCATGGTGTCATATAGTAGTGATAAACACCTAAAAGATTTAGATGTGATTATGATGGTGTATTTTTGATTTACCTTTAAGCAACTGTTGGCCCTGAAGGAAAGTTCATCTTCATTTGTAGACTGGTAGTCGTATTTAGCAATGGCTTCCATGTTAATATTCGGCCCTCAAATTTTAGTGCTGTATTGTGTTGTGGACTCCTTACATGTGTATGCTTTGCCTGTTCACACTACCTACGTATGAGGAAGTTAAAATACATTTACAATTGATCAGTATAGACTTAAAATGTTCTCTAAAGTTATGAATAATCCAAATAACATGGCATACCACTTAAATGATTTTATAGTCACAGAAACGTTGAACAATTGTGGCGATATGATTCTACATGTCCTCATCAGTCTATTTACCCTGGCAATCACTCTATTTTTTGCTGCGTTTAGAGGTCATGTACATATATACTCAGTGTTCTATTTCGATCATAGTTTAAAAGCTTTTTTTGTGTCTTATCATAATATTGGTCAATCATTTATTTTGGGTGTCCCATCTTATCATTTTATGAGTTAATAATTCAATTTAGGTTTCCTGATAATGTCTTAATTGAGTTGTCTTTTATGACTACTTGAGTTGTTCTCAAATACTGTATTATCTAATTATAGCAATATTTCTATTATGACTTACAGACTTAACAGCTTGATAAGATTATCTCTTCGTGTTCTATATATGTAAAGGGATTCATATATTCATCAAATCTGAAATGAAAGTAGAATCATAGGAACTATGTAACCATTGCATTAACATTTATGTAACTATTGCATTAACAATGTAACTACAGTAGAACCTGCTAAGTGGAACACCTCTGTAAATGGAACACCTCACAAGTGAAACCATATGTTTAAGGTCCCATGACTTATCTTCTCCATGTTAATTAACCTCTGAAAGTGGAACACCTCCCAAGTGGAACACTTTTTAGTGGGCCCAAGGGTGTTCCACTTCCAAGGGTTCTACTGTATTTCATGAGCAATGTAACTATTGCATTAGCGATGTAACTATTTCATTAACAATGAAACTATTTTGCATTAACAATTTGACATTCATGTAACATTTGCATGAACAATGTAACTATTGCATTAGCAATGTAACTATTTCATGAGCAATGTAACTATTGCATTAGCGATGTAACTATTCCATTAACAATGTAACTATTTTGCATTAACAATTTAACATTCATGTAACATTTGCATGAGCAATGTAACCTATATTGCATAAGCAATGTAACTATTTTATGAGTAACAAGTAGAGGATTTATCCTACAAGTCTTCTAACTGATTTACAATATAACCATTGCATTGACAATTTAACTGCTGCATTAACAAGCGTAGCCATTGCAACAATATAATTATTGTAGTAATAGAATAAATAGTACAACAGCAAATAGCTCATGTTCTTCCTCGGGTAATATTATTTTTGATCTTTACCAATTTGGTATTCATATCAATTTTGAGTAAATTGGAATATGTCAATTTGTAAATGTATGAACTGTTAATAGTTGATAAAGGTTATCCGATGCAAATATATAGTATATGTAGTTAACTTCCAAACTGTTCATTCACAAATGCTTTGGGGCTATACTTGTGATATAATCAAAATATGTATTTTTGTTTGTCTCTTACAAATAATGGCAGCAATGGGATGCTCATGTAAACTGTAGGGAGGAAACTTTCAATAAACGAGTCAATGTGTCCCTTACAATCATCGTGATAAACCATGACATCTCATTTTTTCTCAGCCCTGAGATGTTTAAGGTGAAACAGAAAGATGCTATGAGTATCAGAATGCTTACAATGGCAATAATATGAACAAGGCATTAACATGCAAAATGTCACTACCTGCCATTTGTTACAGATGCTTTAACCACCAAACACCAACATTTCTTATTCTCAGAAATATTGCCAACTAACCATAAAAGATTAAAACATTTTTCAGAAATTCAGGCAACAAAAAATAATATGAGCAAAATTATTTTGTTTTTGAGGAATGGGGATAAAATGTTTTTTGACTATAGTGAACAATGTCCAGTGAATATTGATTATTTCATGCTAAGTGTGTTATACACTTAACATTGTTGATATTCTATTTGGACATATGAACCAGAATGTTTTAACCACCAGTTGGAATCTTAATACATGTACAATTGTACCAATCAATATTGAATTTTTTTGCCTGAAGGCAGAATCAGATCTATAGGGTGATAATATTGCATGCAACATGTACAAATGACATACCAGTCTATTCCTTATTATCCAAAATACAATATCTCTTAAAAGATCTGTGATATGTTAGGAATGATATAAGCCAACAATATTCTGAAATAGGAAAAAATGTTCGGCTTGCTCACTAGATCTGATTTTCCCTTTAACTTACTTTATCTGGTATTTGCTGAGCTTTCCAAGTTAAATCTCTGTCTAGTTTAGTATATCCTTTCATACACTTGTCAGCTCCTCTTCTTGGTATTCCCTAGTTTCACAATTTCATAACTATAGTAATAGCATACAATTTCCAGATAGTTACATTTATTTAATTTACTTCCTAGTTTCATCGAACAAATGTGTATGTCATTTCAAAACTTCCCCAATCTGCTTTACTTACCAGATAAAGTGGACTTAAGATACTTTACTTTAATCCTGGATTAGCAAATATCTCATAACGTTGACAACCTGTTTCATCTGTATGTGTTCATAAAGTCTCTCCCAATGTTGTTAAGTTAAGCCATCAGAATTACCAATAATTCTTAAATCATGATACAGCCACTGTGTACACGAGTATGTTTTAATCTAAACATGCAGTAGGGTTTACTCTAAACTCGAGTGTACCTTTAATACTACGCATATGAACAGGGGAATATAATGTTGATACACAGGTGAATATAATGTTGATAAAATGCCTGTATATGAATGAGCCATAGGGTTTATTGTGACATATAAGAAGGCAATATATTTCGGTATGTTGAGGCATATTGAGTGTATAGTTTTTTATGACATCTTTTTGTCAACAACAAAAATTGCTTCATGTTAGTGTTGTACATTTCTTCCAACTTTATTTTAAATTCTGTAGAAACACAATTAAGGGACAAAAAAGTCAAATGTCATTTAATTCCAGATTTTAGTACAGGAATATGAATTTGAAAATACAGACCTTTGAAATAAAATCAATTTTCAAAACGATTTTCTGCAATGATGTTAGATGCCACCCTTTTCCTGTTCGTGCAAGGCATTGATTGATAAGTGATAAGTATCTCATCAAGTGGATGTCCAGTCGGTTTTGAGACATGGATTACCTTTTGCATAAATTCTCCATAGTGGGATTTAAATTTGCCAGCAAATAGGCACATTAGTATCAAACCAGAGGCCTGCATAAATGGTAACTATAGAAACTCACAGCTTATACAGCCTGGAAAAAAATATTACTGGGTAGCCCTTGCTAGACTACACTAGGCTAGGCGTGAATGGGTGTTAAACAAGGACACCTTGAAAATTATTACAATAAACCAATGCCAACATTTTATCACTCTAACATTTAAAATTTGAGTAACACATATCTCACCAAGTGCTGTTCTTTATTTTAGTACAAAGGAAATTGGAAATATAACTGTATAATAAGCATTATTAAATAACAATGGAATACAGTTTTCGGCACGGTAAATCCAAAATGGCCACCCTAACATTTACCCAGACTGCCCAAAAACTAATCAGTTCTAAACTTTCATATGTAGAAACACCCCCAAAATTTGAATTTTAAAAGATGAATCCATGAAACCTGTAGACAAGCCTCAAAAGACAAGATTTTAGGATGGAAAATCCAAAATGGCCACCTTAACATTCACCCAGAATGCCCAAAAGCTGATCAGTTCTAGGCTTCATAGGTAGAAACATCCCTGAAAATTCAAGATGAATCCCTCAAACCGTTTGGCTGGAAATCTGTACACAAGATTAATCGGGACACCCACACGACTGACTGCCCGCCCAGCAAACTGATCACAATACCACCCAAGGAATCTATGATCTTGGAAACGAACAATCATGGGAGGTTGTATTAGGTAACTTTGACCAGCTCCAACTTTCCTCTCAGGGGAGGGGGGGGGTCTCTTAGAAGGGCCTTATGATAATAAAGCTATATGAGTCAAGCTTCCAGAGGGCCTCATAATAATAATATAATATAAATAAAAATTTAAATTCTTAACTGTACAATGATTACTTTATTATTTAAAATATACCAGGTCAAATTACAAAATATCTAATACTTCATATTGATGATATAGAAATTGTCTGACTGAATTATTAACATGATTATTAGTTTCAACCTGGGATAGAAGTACAATCCTATGGCCCTTGCCTTGCAATATGTTTCCAGGTCAGGAGTACATAATATTATAGCCATTGGTCCGAAGTACAATACTATAGCCCTTGACCCGAGCTGTATCATAGCCTTCATTGAGAAGTATAATATTATAGACCTGGACCAGAACTACAATATAATAGCCCTGTGCCAGAACTACAATACAATATCCTTGGACCAGAAGTACAATATAATACCTCCGGACCAGAAGTACAATATAATACCCCCGGTACCAGAAGAACAATAGCCCTGGACCAGAAGTACAATATAACAGCCCTGGACCGGAAGTACAATATAACAGCCCTGGACCAGAAGTACAATATAATACATCTGGACCAGAAGTACAATATAACAGCCCTGGACCAGGAGTACAATATAAAACCCTTGGGCCTGAAGTACAATATAATAGCCCTGGACCAGAAGTAGATCATAATACCTTTGGACCAAAAGTACAATATAATACCACTAGACTGGAAGTACAATATAATACCTCTGGGCCTGGACTAAATTTAATATTTCTGGACCAGAAGTACAATATAATATCTTTGGACCAGAAGTACAATATAATACCTCTGGACCAGAAGTACAATATAATAACCCCGGTACCAGAAGAACAATAGCTCTGGACCAGAAGTACAATATAACAGCCCTGGACCAGAAGTACAATATAACAGCGCTTGACCAGAAGTACGATATGATACCTCTAGACCAGAAGTACAATATAATACCCTTGGAACTGAAATACAATATTATAGCCCTGGGCCTGAGCTAATATATAAAGCCGAGCTCCATATTATTCCCCTGGGCCAGAAGTACAACATAAATAGAGTCTTTTCAGGAGACTGCTAGAGCATATCCAATGCTTCAAAGGCCTATATATTATACATATATACATTTTACAAAGAAAACTTCTAACACACCAAAATGTTTATTGTAAAGTGTAGCGTACAGAATATGATATTATCTTTAACATGCACACATTTCTCAATAGATTATTTCATTATAACAATTCATGAGTGATATTTAGGATAAGTTCACATATTACTGTTTATCCAATGCTATCATATCATTTAGCATGTTTAACAATACAGTTACTGAGCTCTTCAGTCTTATAGCCCTGTATCTTACACAAGATACCAACTCTTATACATGATATAACCCACTGATAGAATGTCTTGTCCTTGTGCTCACCACATAAGCCCGAATGGTGGCTGATGGGCCCAAAAGGGTGTGGCATAAGCCCTAGGGGTACCACAATAAGCCCAAGGGGTGCTGCAAAAGGTTCAAGGGCAATACATCAGTTTCAAGGGCAATGCATAAGCCCAAAGCGTGTGGCATAAGCCCCAGGCACTGGTACAGACCAGCATGGGCACCATAGCAAAATTATGACAACTGCAGTGAAAATCTGATATTAACATGAGCCAGTAGATTTCAACTTCAATTGAACTATCCCCTGTTTTCTTATTACATATAATGTGAGGGAATGGGGAGGGTAAGGGTGGGGAGTAACATAAGATGTGAGGGAATGGGGAGGGTAATGGTGGGGAGGCTTGAGCATTGAAATAAAGAAAATCAGGCATATCCTGTCCCACTGATTCTATTACAGTATGATAATACTATATTGAAGAGACATCTTTTACAGCTGTACAGTATTAGATTATTTTCTCTATCTAATGTTTCAATAAGTTGATGAACTTACTTTCTTTATCCACAATTTCCCCAATAAATATTCACATTAGGATTGCATGTTATACTATTCATAAAAATACAAGATTTCTTTGATTACTCTATCTAATGTCACTGTACATAATATTAAATGATAATATGTTATGTCTTGGATGCACTTGTTTATATCTTAGTACAGAGAGTTTCAGGAGGGGAGAGTGACACAAGCACACTAGTCTTATGAGACAATGCTGAAAAATTGTGGAATGCCGAAATGACCCAGTACATTGTGAAATTTAGTTTGACATACTGTAGCCTGTATTTCTTTAAAAAGGATACAGTCTATACTGAAGTTGCAAATGGGGTGGGTATTCTCTATCTTTGTCTATGGGGGTTTTCTGGTAATAATACAATACAAACTACTCAAAGCATCTTAATGTATATAGGTAGAACACTTGGAATATATATATATAAAAATCTAGTATACCTTCAAAAATATGGAAATAAACAAGCGTTCTCGATTTGCAACTTTATTGTAGCCTGTATCCCTTTTAAAGAAATACACAGGCTACATTATGGGGGTAGGGAAGTGCGATATAACTGAATTCCTTATGACACACCCAAAATGCTTCCAAAGACAGCCTGCCTTTAAACTACTATCAAGGTCATGTTTACACTCACACATAAATATTTTTAAGAGAACAATTGCATTGATTTTATCCAATTTTAACATGTAGAAAAAATTGATCAATTGATTGTTTGATATGATATTATGTCGATACAATTTCAGATGACCTTTAAATAGAGTATACTCTATTGCCATCTTAGATAAAAATGATTCTTGAAGAATGAAGTTGTCTCTGTATTTTGCTCCAACTCTCATTACTGTATAGCTCAATTTTCCAAAGCTCTACTTCTCACGATTCTTAACAAAGCATTTTTAGCGAGAAAACTTCATGATAAAAAATTACTTCAAAAATAGAAAGAAGAGTAAATCTTGCTACTATGAGCTATAAGTAAACATTTGTTTCTATATTTCTACTTGATTACAACATTTTGAATAAATTTGTTACAGTAGAATATAATAAAATCTTATTCATTTTAATTTTGACATAAAAATGGAACCAAAGTCCAACTGAGTTGAATTTTAGTTCACCATTCTTAAATAATAATAATAAGCAGAAAACAGAAAATCATTTTTGTAGAAATATATAGTTTTTAATGTATATAACACTCTTGAATATTCTGAACACCTTTAACAAAATCCAAGTTAGCAGTCTTCACCATTCAGTAGAAAGCTGATGCTAAATACATACTTTTCAAAAGTTGATGTGAATAGTTCAATCACATATTACAGTGTTCACCAACAATTTCAAAAATGTGTTCATAAACTCAGCTGTCTCCCAATTATTCAACTGGAGGTTAATATAAGTTTTGGATACTGAATATATAGATCTTAGACAATATGATTCATTCAATAAATGGCCTACTAATCTAAGTTTGGTAATCCAAGTATGACAAAAAAAATACAAGCATTTAGTACAATATATTTTCACCATAATTGGGCTACATTTCACACTGTGAGTGTACATAGATTTTACCAAGAAAGATGACCTCCCATATGCCTGGACTGGCTTCATAACATTCATGACAGAAAATGAAAAAAATAGAAATACATCATAGTAAAATGCACTGTGGACAGGATGTGAAAAAGTCATGAACATGTATTTACAATTAACAAAATGTTTTGTGTTTTATAAAAAAAATATGTCTGACAGGCCAATAGGGTAACTGGTTGTTATACAGGACAATGGGGCAAGTGGGGTGTCATATAAAGCCCAAAGCAGAACTCATATGAACCCAACAGGGGAACTAGCGTGTCATATTGGTCCATATAGGAATTGGGGAATCATAGGGTCATATGGAAATTTGGGTATTAATACTAGAGGCCCATATGGGAACTGGGTGTCATATAGACCCATATGGAAACTGGGTGTCATATATACCCATGGGGGAACTGGGTGTCATATAGACCCATGTGGGAACTGGGTGTCATATAAACCCATGGGGGAACTGGGTGTCATATAGACCCATGTGGGAACTGGGTGTCATATAAACCCATGTCAGAACTGGGTGTCATATAGGCCCAGAGAAGAACTGGGGTGTCACTATACGATGAAATTAAGGTATTAATTACAAATGAATGAATGACTGTTGGCTCTTTTGAGCAAAGAAAGTATGGGACTGCAAGTGAGGCGAAGAGTACGATGCTCAGCTACTACCAATGTCATCTCTCTGTCCAATGTGGATATCATACCAAATGTTGTCTCTATACATCTTCAATTAAGTATCTCACACAGTACTCTACAATAATCCAGGTAAACAATACAAATCTGAACAAATCCAAATTGTTTATGGCTCCATTCCTCCTGGAAAAGGCTTTTTCTGATTGATTCAGTATCTGTATTCAGAAGTCATTGTTAATTTCACCGTGCACCACTATCATTAGCAACTGATGACACGTGGGGTTGTACATATGTTTTTGGGAACAGTCCTTTTTGTGTTTGTCCATACATGTCTTTTATTTCACCCATCCACCAATTGTTATCATTTTGATCTAAGACCGTTATTAAATCTCCGCGTTTAAATGTCAGTTCATCAGCTTCGTCAGCATTGAAGTCAAACTGTGCGACAACCATTGGCTGGAAGTAAATGCAATTATTATCAACATTTGTAGGTAATATTTTCTTTACTGAGAGTAAATACATGAATTCACAAGAAATAGTCTAAGAGTCATCAACTTAAGAATTAAATCAAAATATATGATATTGCACTACAAATCGGGAGTCTAAATAAATATAGTTTCTCTACATATTTCTGAAAAGTGGTAGAAAAAGAATTTCTGAATAAAAGTCAAATAACTGACAAGTTTTCGAATCAAAGGAACTTATACTACTAAATATCTGCAAATAAGGCCCCATTGTTAGAATGAAGCAGCTAAGGACCTTTAAGCAGAGTTCTTCCTGTCGTATGTGCCTGTACTAAAATGATGTATATATACATATGCGTATAATAGCCAAGAAAGCATAAGGCAACCTCAAAGCAGTGTCATGTAGCTTCTAATAATGCAATTTAGTTTCAGGCTAATGAACAAATATAAAAAAAACAGTACCGTACAGAGCAATTTATACATGTACCGGAACTGGAACCACTAGATTTGGCAACTTGGACCAACACCAACAAAAACCAAGTTATATGCTATTTAGCAACAATTTAATTGTTCATCAATCTTAGTAAAAAACATGCAATTGAGAATTTCACAAGGATGAACTAAAAAACTGGTAACAAATAGTATACATGCATATGGCAGGGGATGGTATATAAGCATAGTACCATTACCAAGGATATGTGGAAATAAGTTTTGTATAACAGGGGTTGGCACAAAAGCATAGGATGAGTGAAAACATGTTTTACTTATAACACTAGAAAAAACAGCAACTCCACAGAGTAGCAAATCCAACCGAAAAAAAAAAATATTTTGATTATTAGTGGCCATCTTGAAAATTCATCCTTGAGCAGAGCTTGTTTGTTATAGATTACATTCCTTTTTTACGAAAAATGGCAGCCATTTGAAATTCAGCCGCCATTTTAAATATCTTTCTCGATCAGAGCAACCGTGTCCCTAAGCAGCAGCATATAAAATTTGAACCAAATCCGTTAACAGGTGTTTGAGTTATTAAAGCTTACATTTTTTAAGAAAAATAACGACCATTTTAAAATTCAGCTGCCATCTTGAAAAGTCTTTGTACAGAGGTACTGCGTCTCGAGGCATCATCATATAAAATTTGATCCAAATCCATTCACTGGTATATAGGTTATCAAAGAATAAGATTCTTTGCAATAAATGGGTGCCATTTTGATATTGAGCAGCCATTTTGAAAATCTCTTCATCATTGTCCCTAGGCATCAGCATATAAAATGTAAACCAAATCCGTGAACTAGTATTTGAGTTATCAAAGATTACATTATTTCAAAAAATGGTGGCCATTTTGAATTGAGTGGCCATATTGAAAATTCCTTCTTGAGCAGAGGTCCTACATACATACGCCTATAAACTTTTAATTAAATCTGTCAACCAGTATTTGACTTATTGTCCGGACACAAGAACGGACAGACGGGCAGCTTTCCTATATCCCCCCTCGAACTTAGTTCGGTTGGATAATAAATGGTAGCACAGTGCAAGGTATCCACAACTCATATTTTTGTTAAAAAGGCCACTTCATGTCATGATAACAAAATGATTTTTAAAAATAAAATCTTTGACTTCTATCTTCTTCTAAATTTTTTTTCCTTCTAAATGAAATCTAAATGTTATGAAATAATGGTATGAAATGATTTCTACCATAATTATTCTTGTGATCATTCTACAATGCACTTTTCTGCAATTGAAGAACTGAAGTTAACATTTGCAACGTGAGAATGGCACTATGTGGGCGCTTTCGTGGTGATTGCTTCTACTCATTTTCCTCATATTTTTATGAAAAATGTGAAGACAAAAAAGCTAATTTCTCCAAAATGTGGCAAAAACAACAGCCAGGAGCAATGATGTAAAAAATCACCAGTAAAAACCCCTTAAAATGAATATGACCATTTAATAAGACAAAGTGCAGTTTTCATTTGTCCGAAAATTATTGATGGCACAAACAGACAAACAATGAGTAGGCGATTCCATAAGCTCACCATTTGAGCCAAAAACTATAAAAGTACAAATATTTACAGTGCAATTTTAATTCACAAATTAAGTAGCTTATCATTAACATAATTCATGCGTGATACAATACTCAGGAAGGCAGATTTGGATGACAACATGAAATGGGAATATAAAACTGGAAGGGAAGCAGATTATCTACAGTAGGTAAAGGACAGTTTTCTTACCCTTTGTGGAGCTTGTGTTTGGGGTGGACCACCCTTTAATAAACGAAACAAAAATGATAAACTGAAAGTCTAATTCAATACACTGCACCTTGTTTGTATTATCAGGAGGGATTTAGAATGAGCTTTCCTGGCTCTGTAATAATTCAGCCCTCATTCACACATATTTTATTAGTTCAAGAACCTGCCCTTACACATCTGTATTTTATCTGATCAAGGATCACCAACATTCTTAGTTTAGAAGTTCAAGAATCAACCTCCACATATCTACATTTTACCAACCCTCATACATTCATATTCTAATATTATAGGAATAAGCCCTCGTCCATTCATATTTTATTAGTTATTGTACCTCGAAGATGAGAATGTGTCTTAAATATTGGCATTTACATACCAGGCCCTCAATATATTTCAGTTTGCTCATAATGAATGTGAACAATTCAGACATTCAGCAAGATCGTAAATCATATGCCAGGCTATGAATCATGCCACCTCTTCAACTCAGCCCTTCTTTTCAACTCTTTTATTCGCCTCTTCCATTTACCTCTTCCAATTAACTCTTACGTATCTCTGACATTCAACACAAACAGTCAACTCTTACATCCACCTCTTGCATTTATCTCTCACATTCACCACTTACATCCTTCTCTTCTATTTAATTCTGACGTTCACCACTTACATACACTTCTTCCATGTAAATCTTCCATTCACTACTTACATTCAACACCTTTTCCATTCACCTCTTTCATTAAACTCTTAGATTCATTTCTTACAGTCACCTCTGTTGATGAATTTCTTCCATGTTGCTAAGATTTTGTTTAAAATGAGAAAGAGAAAAAATTGTGACTGATGCACCTCCCTATATGACAAGCTAACATGCAGTTAGTACTTTTACTGCTACTGTATCAATAGCCCTTAACACTCACATTTTTGCCTGGTGCCATGACTACTTAGCAAAATGAGACGGACTCCCTTTTATATATTGGGATTGACATAAATGTGTATGAATAGATTTGATTGAAGACTGGAGACTATTTTAGAGACCAGTTGCAAACTGGTGAAAATCATTAGTGGTTACTTTTTATGTCACGTAGCAATTATAACAACCTTCGCAATGCAAGTTTTGAGGCCTGATCCACTATTAAATATAGAAGATGACACCTCAGTGAGTAACCCAATGATCTCAACAATTTCATTTAGCTTATCTGATTCAATCTAACATATGATATTCAACAACTCTGATAAGAAATGTAAAGTGAAAAGGGACTGCCTTCTGCCTTTCACTCATTAGTAAAACCTGAATTTTTTTTAAATTAAATCCATCATTTATGGCACTTATGTACCTCTTAATTATGTGCCATTACCTTACAATGTTGACAAGTTGAAAGGTAGGACCCAAGTGCAGCCCTTGAATACTTACACTAGCTTAAAAGATGACCTTTGAATTTAAGAGTGGGAAAACTGTTGTTCAAAGAATGGGTTAAATGTATCAAACATCTTAATAAAGAGTAAAAGCTGTAGGAGATACGACAAACTTCTATGCCAATGAGGAAAAATGTTGTACCCATAGGTACATAAGCAACTAAGGTATCTTCTTTCTATTAAGTGAGAACTTGTACTGTAGTTAGTGAGATGAAGTCTCCAGCACATGTCCAGTGAAATAGTCAAAAGGTAATATGACCAGCTCATAGGTTGTATATGGTGTATTATTGAGCAGATTAATTCATTGTTTTGTTCATTCTTTCATTCATAAGGGGTGTTCACCTTGCAACTCGTCAATATCTTATGTAATGGCACATAATTAGATAAGCGGTACAGACTCCAAGGTATTTGTTAACTTTTAGGGTGAATCTGTAACAAGGCAATTCCCTTTTAAAATGAATATCAGATAGATGTGGCATGAGAAAATCAACTAAAAATCTAATCTAAAAAACACTAATGAATTGTGCATTTTAAATCCTAGAATTCAGGAACGAGACTTTACCTTTTCTATTACCATATCTTTTAGGAAAATCTGTTGATTACGGCTGACTGAGGAGGTTCGATGATATTCCACTAGACCATTCAATGAGTTAAACTTCACCACCCAGAGGAAGTATTTGCCGCCGTTGTCTCTTAGGACTTTAAAATGTTGGACAGTATCACCAAATCTGAAGAAATAAAGTTTATTACGGATGAAATAAAAGTTTTACTCATGGAAAAGTGTACACAGACTTCATGTATGTTATCAAATAGAACAAAAGTTCAGTCTTTCATGGTTGAAAGTACAACTACCCTAAACTGCCATTATAAATGACACTTCGGTAAAATTTCAAAGCAAAGCTAACTACCAAATCTCTCGAGCATTACAGCACTCGAAAATTATAAACTCATCATTGTTGACAATAAAATGATCTGTTTCATAGCTCTATTCTTGAAGTTGGCACTTACTTAACAGAGAGGGAAAAGTCCCCAGGAGTACTCTCACTTGGCCTGACCAGGAACGCCCCATCTGGTTGGGTTAATGCTTGGCTTGCATTGTGTTCCAAGAGAAGCCTCTCTGCCTCATTACGACTGATCTTTCCCAAGTACCACCTGCAACAATTGAGACGTACAATTACTATCTACAGTACACATAATATACACAATCAGCTTTTTTAACATGAAGGCAGCACACATACAACACAGTATTTGAAGTTTCAAATCAACTGTCCAATACCTTGTGTTATCTGCACATTCATTAATAATTAACATATTCTGGAGCATGATTTTTTAAAAATTTTGTCAGTATACTCAAAATAGAAATGTGCAATATGAAGGAATTACAACCCCCTTTTAGCATTAAGACCCCTCTCACTTCCAAGTCTCAGTTTGTTACTCAGGTAACACTAAGTAACTCAAGCCCAAGACTTATTGACCAGGTTCCAAGGCATATTATTTCGGCAGAAAAACTGTATCAAGTGATGATGGCTATTTTGAAATTCAGCTGCCATCTTGAAAATTCCATCTCAAGAGGAGCTCCTTTGTCACTAGGCATCAGACTATAAAATTTTCTTAGGAAATATGGTTGCCATTTTGAAATTCAGTGACCATCTTGAAAATGTATCTTTGAGAAGAGCTTGTATGTCCCTAGGCACCAGCATATAAGATTTGAAATAAGTATATATTGCCATTTTGAATTGACTTACACAGAAAATTCCTTCTCGAGCAGAGGTTCTACATCCATCCATAAGGCATTAGCCTATAATTTTTTTAATTAAATCCTACTATCGGTATTTGAGTTATCATCTAGACACACAAACAGACAAACAAATGATCAGATGGCTGTTCTTCATCCCCTCAAACTACAAACTTTGTTCATTGAGATAAATATGTTTAACTTACGGATGTGGCTTCATTTGTATGTAGTTGCTTGGAATGAAGCCTTCTTTGCCATCTTTTTCTGCCTTGAACCAATTTTTGTCATCTTCCATATTCAGGATCTGAAACAGTCACATTGAAGAGAGACATTAATAATCTTTGTTTGTGGCTAGTATTTGTCTGTATAAAGAGTGTGCAGGAATAAGACTGGACCATTGGAAAGAGAACACAGCTCAGAGGTTTCACTAAAATTTCTCACAACAGGCTAAAAATCAAAACAACAAGCAAAATTAATGGAAATCATAAATTCAACATGGATGATGGAAAAGTTGAAAACTCCCTAAAAATAACAGGCGATTTTGTAAAAACAACTGGTGAAAATCGCCTGTTGTAAAAACAGCCTGCTGTAATGAAGCCCCTGACAGCTCATGTAAAATATTATGCCAATACTGTACATAAACAAACTTGTCATTTTCATTATTGTATAATGGCATTCTTTATAGCTATAATATTCAATGATTATTTCTACAGGCAATTAGCTACATGGACATTGTTTCCATCATGAGTTTTACTGCTTTACGTCCTGTTGCATATAGAAATATGCTGTCTTTGCATTTTCTGTATGTATATTTTACCTTATACCAGTACAGTGCCAAACTGCCAGTTTGATTTCAATGTAAATCACTAATAGATATATAAGACACTCGATAGCATCCATATATTTGGAGACCACTGGTGAAATATGACATTATTTTGCAGGACTACTCAAAAATAGCATCCAAAACTGAGCTATTGTGAAGGGTAGAAGATAATATTGTTTCTAATTAGAATATCTCTGTTCCTTTCTTCAGTCTGGAAGTATGTTATGCACAACACTGGGTGGTTATCTCTTTCCCTTAGTTTTATCAAGTAGAGCAATTAATACTAAACGGCTACATTCCACAACTTCCACTTCTTCAAGGAGGAAGTATCCCAAACTGCCCGGCTTCATCACCCGACAAGAAACAACCAATCAGAAGCTCATTAGACGCTGAAGGATAGCTAAAATATCTCATTAGACACAGATGCTCATGGGAGTCATTAACAGACTTGAATACAACTGTACTATTAAAGCATCCTATAATGGTACTTGGTCCATGTCATAATGACACAGCATGTATGAGAATGCAAAAGCATCAAGCCCTTGTATTGCAATAAAAAATAAATGTGGCATTATTTGATTCGTTATTTGAAACACTAAATGAAATGAGCCTGTGGTACTGGAGGATCAACACTTAAAAAAACGATATATGGTAGATACAAACCATGGTTCTCACCAGGAAATTTTTAGGCCTCGGATTTTTCGTAGTATCGCAACTACTCCTCTCCCATGTGAGATCAGAGATATTCTATTAGTATACTTTTCAAAATATTATCAAAAGATTATCTTCTGATTTTAATCACAACATAAATTTCTAAAAAGTTTCTGACTTACTATTCCTTGTTTGTTTCCAGTTATATATATGTTCTCAAGAATTTTCCACAAATAATGTGACAAAAATATAAAATTAGACTCCGGAAAAAACACACGCAATACTATTGATTCTATATTAATATGTGACATCATTAACATGTTACCATACAACAAAACAAGCACTTATTTTCATCTCCGGTTTTGATCATTGTACTTCTCTGTGGTCTTTCCATAAAAAGTGGTGTACTTCACCATAGTGTCTGGCCTTTATATTTCTAGTGTAGTGAAATTCACTAGATTATCCTGCCAGAGGTACTAAATATGTTCTAACAAGACAGTTTTTACTGTAAGTGTATCTAAAATGTTATGCTTCGGTCTCTGTCAACAGTAGTTTCTCGGTTTACAGTTTCAGTATACAATTTTGCCAGTTGACCTCTGGAGAGGTCAAGAATTGTTTTGTCAGTCCGAAGAAACTAATAATACACATATAGACGACAATCATCAATCGACATGGCTTAATTTCACAATCTTTTCTCGGAACCACGCCAGCAATGCGTACATTATGACGTCATGAAACTTATTTCGTAGTAGTGGTCAACAGTACCTAGTAGCGGTCAACAGTACATATTATTGACCGCTAATCAACCAATCAGAATCGAGTATTTCAGTTGAGGTACTAACAATATATATTGTTTTATAAATTCTCAAGCAAATGGAGAAATTAGAATGCATTAATTTTACAATGATGAAAATGGAACATTTCTCATTCTAACATTCTTGGACTTTAAACGCTGAAATACAATGTTGTTTTCAAATATAATCTTTGTATTGGTCTGAAACAGGTCACAATATGCTCAATAATTTTTATCGATATGAATTCAACAATGGTGAGCTTCATGATTAGCACATACCATTCTGAGTCAGCTAAATAAATAAGTTACATTCGAACATGACTGTATTCACGCCTTCTATAAACTGTACACAAAGTCAATATTTCACCCGGGGTATATTCGTGATCATTGCCCCTGGTTATACGTGTAATGTGTAACGTCATAATGGTGGACCGTAGTAATGGCGGACCATAATGAATATTCGAAACAGTTTGGGGAGTTTTCATGTTCGAATCGTAATATAGACCTCAGAGCAGGTGTACTTTCGTCGAATACACCCCTTAGGGCTAGGCACAAAAGCTTTCGAACCCCTCACACCCTTTGATCATTCAGGGTACAGAAAACGTTTGTGCCTAGCCCTGCGGGGTGTATTCAACAATATAACCCCTGCTCTTCAGTCTATATTTCTTAAATAATAAGCAAAGCAAATGTGTTTCATAAAACTAATTCTATGTCATTGTCAATTGTCAAATCTGGATAGCCAAAATTTTCGAATTGCAATGTTGATACAGATGTATTTCTATTTTGAATGTAATGTTACTGTTTATATGCCTATAATATGTTACTGATATGGGAAGTTGCCATTACTTAATATTAACATTAATATACCAAGTACCTCATTTAAAATATTTAATTCTGATTGGTCAAAGAGTGGTCAATTTCGGTATTGAATATAATATTATCACCCCCTGGTATCCCAGGTACAAAGAAAAAGAAAGGAAAACGTCTCTATACATTTTCACATGATTGTAGATAACAACAAAGTTTTTAAATGATTTGACCTAATTTACAGAACAAGCAACTGTGCATGTGTGTAAGATCCTATAAATTTTCAATAAAATAAAAAGCATTCATACCATATTATTATAAGAAATTTGTCATTAGTACAATAGCAGTACTATAATGCAAGGATACTTAAGTCAAGTAACCACAAGAATTTACCAAACATGGTGGCCTTAGTAGGTTGTTTGATGTCATACATCATATGATAGCTTGGATTGAACTTCGTAGAATATACATAACTTAATGAAACAAATAGCATGTAATATGTATGGTGATAGTTAATACTAATATTTCCAGATTTCCAATTGGTCAATTGGATCAATGGAAGATTGTGGGAAAGTTTATTCCCATCTATCCAGAATACAAAATGAATATTTTAGCATTAATTAACTTTTAAACATTAAACCAAGCAAGCAAGTTGCTTAAGTTTCTGCCAAGGAAAATTTCACTTCCAATCATCAGATATCACTTGAAAGGTATGTTTACATGTTCATTCAATGCATTCAATCAATCCATAACACACTCAATTTTCAGGTTATAGAATTGGAGTTCATATCTCAGTCTGCATAAATTGTTACTCGAATTGTGTTTTGGGCGCATTTTTATAACTTTAGAAAAAAGAAGACCATATTGCGCTAAAGCAAATTAAGGTAATAATAGTTCTAGATATTTTAAATATGGTAAACCTATTGGTGAAGTCTCAATGTAAATAATGCAATGTCTCAATTGGCTAGTAAGTCGGAGAGAGGTTCAAGAATTCTTCATTTCTGAAAAGTAATTGACCAAAACTGATTCTTCACTTAGGGGCAATCTGCGTTCCACTTTTTGCGCATTGAATCCAGCAATTTGACTGGTTCAAATTATCAATTATAACTACACAGATTTCGAGAAAGATATGCGCCTGTCACTTAAGTTCATAATTTTAAAGCAACACCAATGTTACACTGCTTCAAAGCAACCAGTTGAACCTCATAATGAGAAATCTAAAGATTATTATGCAATAATATATGGAAAAACATATTCATACTGCACACAAATGACATTTGTTTATTTCAGAATATTTTGTGTTTAGTGCAATAAGCCTTTGCCCTCTTGTAATTTGAGGTCTATCCACCATGTTATTTTTTCAGTTTATACCCATATTGCTCCAAATATTGCAGAAATATTTTCGTTTAATGTAAAAGAAACAACATACTTCCAACAGAAGTGTAATGACAGAATATAAACTGGATTCGGAATTCGGATTTGTGGATGTCACTTCACTTCTCCATGAATAAATGAGCACAAATTGTCCATCCCTATTTGTCCCTTACAGGTATATTCATTATTGCTGTAATATTGCTAAATATGCATAAGTATGCAGTGTTCGCGCTAGCTATTTAAATTTCTGAGTCCCAGGGACGCAACACATTTGAAAAATGTGAGTCCCGTCTAATTTTTTTTGCGTCCCTCATATTTTATTATTAAAGTGAAAGTAAAGTGGGCGATAATAGAGTGCTTCCGCTAAAACGGGATAAAAATGACATGTATTGTAATTCTATGCATTCTCCCGATAAATATCTATCATTTGGTCCTTTTCACACAATTCTTTACTAATGCTATACTAAAATTCTCCGAAATGAATGAAAGAAATATTCAAATTAAGAGTTGTTTTCACATTTTACCAACCAGCGATCTTCAAGGTCGTGTCAAGGTCGTGAACTTTTTGTTTCTTTTTATAACATTTCTCCTTACTCTGACGACTTTTAGATGAAAAACGTTGATCTATCATTAAATAATTATATTGAGGTATAACATTAGATCGATATCTAATGGTTCCTAGCGGAAGTAATTAAGGTTATCGTGAAAAACAAGTCTCAATTCTCAATTTTGAAACTAATGTTTGCGTACAACAGATTATCCAGCTTCGGTATACTCCGGAATGACTCGGAGGGCACCATAGCCAATCAAATGCTGCGTTTCAGACTAGAAACCACGCGAATATACTGAGACACTTCGGTAGCCAATCAGATTTACCGACATAAACATTATCGAGATCAAGGAAGTAGACGATTTGAAAATTCTTCAGAAAATCATGTTTTATTTCTTCTACGCTGCAGTAAAAGTTACCTGATGGTGGTGTAGAATCTTTGCGTCCCAAGGACGTAAGTTATTTCTGATTTTTCCGTCTGACCTCTTGAAATTTCCGTAAAAACGAGAAAAAACGGCGTCAACGCGAACACTGGTATGAGATATCTGTGAGAGATATTGTATGACAGAAAAGCAACCTGAATCATGGGTATGGGGTACTTTTCAAAAAGAAAACTGTGAGTATACATTTAATTTATCGAGTGGAACATAGTGAGACCCTATCTGTTGCAAGACTAACGCCTGGCGTAACCGTCACCATGTTATTCGGTGTTTTTTAAGTAGCGCAAGGATCCTGCCATGACCGTGGTAATGTTATCGTGAAAGCCTGGTATAACCGCGACAATGCTGTATTATATTAAAATGCCTGCCATGACCGTGGTAGTGTAATCGTGTAAGCCTGGCGCGACCGCAACCTTTATATGACATTAATGACCTTCATGTTTCGCCCATTGCTGTTGGTATTTTTTATGGATAAATCTTATTAATTGATCATTATAGAAAGTATATGCTTTCGAATCGAAGCTCCTTGAATGAGAGTAGAGATATAGTTTGTTCGCAAATTATTTATGAGTAAAAATTAGGTTTTCGTTGTGAAATTAATACACATTTTTAGTAGTCTTTATTTACATATTTAAGGTAGTTAAACACGAAGAAAAATTGTCATTACAGTGTTCTCATGCTACTTTAAATACAACCACGGTCATGAGAGGCCTTGGAACTATTGTCACGGTCATACAAGGCTTTAACATTACCACGGTCATGACAGGCCTTGCAATATAATATAGCATTATCACGGTTATGACAGGTCTTGCAAGCATTGTAACGGTCATATCAGGCTTTAACATTACCACGGTCATGACAGGCCTTATAAGCATTGTCACGGTCATATTAGGCTTTAACATTACCACGGTCATGACAGGCCTTGCAACCATTGTCACGGTCATACGGGGCTTTAACATTATCACGGTCATGGGCAGCTTGGGTCAACATTCATAAAGACAGAGACATATAATGTATCTGGTAAAATATACAAATATACGAATATTTAAAAGTGGATAGTAAACAAATCGCTTAACAAACAACAATAAAAAATTCTTAAATTAAACGTAAAGGCTACGGCTGCGCCAGGCTTCCACGATAACACTCATGGTCATGACAGGCCTTGCAATATAATACAGCGTTGTCACGGTTATACCAGGCTTACAAAATAACACTGCCACGGTCATGGCAGGATCCTTGCGCTACTTAAAAAACACCGAATAACATGGTGACGGTTACACCTAGTTCAACAAGTTAAACCTAGTCTGGGCCTTATTTCTTATCTGACATTTCTTGTGGCCCGCCCTAGGTTTAACATCCGTGCCTATTCGGCCTTTGATGCAAAAATTTTTAATGATGGCCTATGGCAGCGCATGGAATTCCATGCGCGTTTTATTAATAACTGATAGTGAGAATTTGCAACCAATGAAAGCATAGCACGGAAGTTAAACCCAACCACGGCAACAAGAACACTCAGATTATAAATGAAAGCCGTGGTATTGGGTTTAACTTGTTGAACTAGGTTACACCAGGCGTTAGTCTTGCAATAGATAGCATGTGAACATGTGAGAGTAATTTTTCATTGTGGATTGTGAAAACACAAGGTGATAACCACTTGGCAAGTGACAGAAAAATCTTAAGAACCACACTGCTCTATGACAATGCATGACACCAGACATGATTCATGTCACTTCCTCATAGAAATTTTAAAAAACAACAACTTTTTCATGTCAAATCGAAAGTGTGTGACGTAAAATGGGTATCAAAATATAATTTTCTGAGTCTTCGCCACTATAAAATCAACAATATGGGTGTACATACCTTTAATGTTGTTCCCTTCTTGAAGCTTAATTCGTCTTCAGCAGTCGCATTGAAATCGTGTTTTGAGACTGCCTCCATTTTGGTTATTTTCAATTTTTTTCGTTCATAAAATGCCTCTTTTCAGTACCTCAGATTTTCAGGAAAGCGCTGGTTTATTCCCTGGTAACTAGCGGATATGTTCGTTAATCTTCTAATGTATATACTAAGCAGATGATTGATGAAATAAACATTCAAAAACTTATTTTGTCACATCTTCGTGTTCTCTTTCAAAATTTGAACCGAATCACTCTGGTGAAGCGGAAGTGTATTATTTGAAAACTATTTTCATATTTTTTAATTTCACATTTGTCTTTTTAGAATTGATTTCTGATCAAAAAAATATGAAATACCATGTAAATGTGATCTTTAACATCAAATGTGCAAATTGTAGATGAAAACACACTTCAACAGACTTCAAATCTGGATTTATATTATATTGCGGAGTAATTTGCTTGGTGCTTGTTGAACGATCAATGAATTTTCGTGCAGTGTTCAGTCCGATGGCTTAAACCCGGGTCGGTAACAGCAAAGTCTGGGTCCCTGAGCTTAAATTACTGGGGAGAAAAGGATCCGTTGTAAACTAATATAACTGGCTCACAAAGATCCGAATTTCACCGATTTTTAGTCTTGATAGACACGGTGATTCAAACGTAGAGAATAAAGGTCAATGCATCATTTTTTGTAGTTGGTTGTGTTTTGGTGGTTGCATGGGCTTTCAACTAGAAGGGTAGGCAACTTCCCATATTTCATACATAAGCATTGCCTTGGTTTTCAAAATAGGAGAATGTAATAACTCAAAAATAAAAACATGGTTATCTACATACATGTTTATAATTTAATAAAAAATGGAATTCATCATAATTATGACAATACAGAAAGTGAACATTCTCCCACAAATTATGTTTTTATTGGAATGTGTTCTTGAATAATACCCACAATGCAATACTCGAAGAAAACATCTTGATACTTCTTATTCTTGTTTACTTTTACCATGGGCTTTCAATTAAGCTAGTTGAAAGCCCATGCTTTTACATGATATTGAATATATTTAATGCTTAGATCATATTGAAAATTGATTTTTATTCAAAATAATATTAAAACATATACATTCATCTGATACTTTTTGAAATATTACGGCCTTAATTTTGAAGGTCTCATGCTATTTCACAGAGTTGCATACCCTTCTAATTGAAAGCCCATGGTTGTTGTAAGTCAGGTTGCGCTATCATCTGGCTTAGGTGCTGGTTTATGTTCTATCATGTGTTGTATGATTGGTGATCTTCTTGGTTGTGTTTGGTTGTGATAGGTTATATATGTTGTTTATCGATACAAATGGCCGATTTAGCTATGGGGTATCATGCTGTTGGTATATCAGTTGATTCTGGGGTAGAATCAAAGGGTATGTTGTTTGTACACATTACAGTATGTTATGGGTTTGGTACCTACACGAATTCATATGAAGTGCAATCTCTTGTGTGAGATCATAGGTTCTGGGTCGATATAAAGATGGCAGCACAAACAGAATCCAGTATTATCTTTTTCTATACAAAATATATATAATATTTATAAATAAACACAGATCGATTAACATGCCATCTTTACTTTAAAAAATTATTTCTATCGCCCTTTGCCTATGTGTGAGATATGTGTGAGATATTCAACTGGGCGTCAGCTTTGCGTCGTTCTCTGATTCTCTGATGAGGTGGTCTCCTGTTGTCCAATGAATCCAAGAAAAGTGATTTTAGACGGTCATATTTTTCACCATGGGATAGAAATTAAGATAAGTAAGATACCGACTTGGGCAAGGCCCGGGGGCAAGGCTACGAATGCCTATATGGATTGTTATGTCTCAGAAACTATTTATTGGAATCACTTCATATTAGACATTATGCATGCTTACGATTGAATTCTACTTTTGAGTGAAATAAAAAGAAGCTATATTAGTAAATACTGTAGGTGTTGCAATAGAGGTCAAATATTTGGCTGGATGGATTTCACTCAAGCTTGATTTGACATCGTGAATCACTATACCATTTATTTAGATTGGGCGTGCTCCTTAGGAACTAATTATAGCAACGACACTTAATGACCACTATTTCAGCCTATCTGTGTCCAAACCCTTAAATATTTTGAAATTGATTTCATGAAATTAAAGGAATATTCCTTGCCAAACTATCTCTCTCCTCATATGGTAGCTATAACCATATATATGCTTGCCATGTTTAGCAAAACACGCAAAAATGTTTTGATATGGTCAAATTTGATCACTTAGAAATGTGATGCTCAATTCCAGTAAGCTGCCATCTTTTAAAATTTAACACAGGAAGTGATGTCATCGACTCTCAACTTTGCATATTGCATTAGGTGAGGAGCTATTAAGAATTACAAAACCAGCTAAATATTCTTTTTCAACTTTGTATCTTATTTAATCCTTCTGAAAATCTCTTCTTTTATTCTAAGTTGACAAGCCCTTAAAATATTTTTGCACAGAAAGTAATGATCACTTGTCTAGAATTGATTTTCTGCTACTTTTCTATACTGTTATGGGCAAGGTTATAGAAGTTGAGAGTTGATGACATCACTTCATGCAAGAAATCTTAAAAGATGGCAGCTCACTGGAAATAAGCACTAGATTTTAAATGATCAATATTGACCATATTAAAACATTTTCCCATGTTTTGCTAAATATGGAAACTATATATATATGATTATAGCTACCATATCGAGAGAGAAAGGGTCTGGCAAGGAATATTCCTTTAATAAATGAGCCCTTGGGGATGAAAGGGTAAATATGTATTTTTGCATTCACCAAAAATACTTATGGAGTTGAAATTCTGAAAACGGACACTTCAATTATGGTGTGAAGTTAAATTTTTAACATTTCATCCGATCTTATAATCATCATATTTCATCATCATATACCATTTCCCATTGGTTAACATGGGAATGTCGATTTTCAAATATTCATCAAATTTATCATCAATTTTCGACCTATTGTAATTGAGGAAAAAAATTGGAGGTATTGGAAGTAAAGTCAAATTACGTTTCCATCAATAGTATAAGTATTTTCATCGCAGGTTAAGTACATAAAAACTCAAAGGTAAAGAGGCTTTAACACGTAGTTCAATGGGGTAGCAAAGGTTGCCAAACTTATGGAGGGGAGTGTGCATTTGAATTAGTCGAAGAGCACAAAGGGCAACATTTAAAGAACTTAAATACAAGGAAAATCAAAGATAACCTATTTTTGTGATAAGGCGGGTTGAGTTAGCCTCATCATTGGGCAGCAATGGGATCTACCAGGTGTGTGAGGGAATATGAACAATAATATGTTTAAGTTAACTAAACGTCAATCAACCCCCATTCCTCAATTAACAATAAATGCCTATTTCACTAATCTTAAAGCTCGTTTTCAAAACAGAGATCTCATTTTATTAACGTTGTGGCACAGTAAAGGATATAGGATATCATATGATTTTGAGTGATTTCATTTTTATCCACGAGCCGATATCATTATCTTTGTCTAATGAGTATAGATATTCATATCAATGAGTGGATTAATATGATATCACGAAAATTCATAGGATGTTCTATTTATCCCATAGTTCACCTATAAAATTCAAAACACCACCCATTCATTCATCCCGCAATAAATATCAAATATGAAGGTTTGAAGAAAGAACATATCGAATATGAGATTCAAAATGTAGCAACTCATGTCTCACATTCATTACCCAAACCCCAGATCCTCGACGTCACACATACATGGTGTCCCAGAATGATGTCATGAGAATATGTTGAGGGAGATATACAAGGAGGATGGAGATATAAGGCATGTGTATTTTTTGTCAAAGGAACACTCATTAAACAAACATTGAGGAATAACTGACATCAATTTCAGCCTCATGGCTATTATATTTTTGATTTTATTATCAATTGATTGACATGTCGCCACATACCCCAGAGTTGTCGGAGAAATATGACGATTTATCCCATACTTGGACGTGTTACGGGTACATAAAGCCGGTTTGTAAAAACTTATATCATTGTTTCATCAGCGGGCAGATATAGTATATCTGTCATAATCGCTGTTCCCGTATTGGTTCTTTATTTGCAACGTATGCATACTGTAATCGGCAATGGATAAAAACGCAGACAATTGCGATCTGTTTGATGCTTTAAAAAGGGAAGGAGCAGTATGCCCCGTTGATAATCAAAGATTTGAACAGGAAAATCTGGCTACGGACAAGAATACAAAACTGGACATGAATATTTTATATTATTATATACCTCAAATGTATTCTAGATGCTCATTAGCTTATTCATGGTCACATGACATGGAATAGATGAACTAATTCCCTGGAAAGTCCTAAATCCCTGCTTTCAGGGAAGATGAATTGTACTAATCACCAGTTAGGTCATGTGACCAGTCAATAGTACGTTTTATCTTCCCCCAAATCTGAGATTATAGGAGTTGAAAGGTAAAATGCCTTTAAATGCCAATAAGAACCTGTGAACATTTGATATTGAAATGAAGACTTCTCATTTTGTTTTTGTTTACAGAGTACTTATCAGGTATATAATAAAACAAATAGTGACTGCCACATTTTCGTGAAATAGTGTAAAAATTTTCCTCTCGGGAATATCCTGTCCACTGACTTGTTCCCTCGGCCTGCAGCCTCGGGAACATGTCAGTGGACAGGATATTCCCTTGAGGAAAATATTTTGCACTATTTCCCTCAATGGCAGTCACTATTTGTACATAATTCCACGGTTGGTTGCAAAGTTTATGAACTTAGGCCGATTAAACAATGTGATTGGTATGGGATAAACAGATCATCCTATAGTCGGTTCAGGATATTGGGATTATCCCTTGGCCAATATAATATATCTACCCTCGGGACCTACGGCCCTCGGGCAGATATATTATATTGGCCTCGGGATAATCCCAATATCCTGAACCTCATATAGGATAATCTCTATTTATCCCATACTTGGACGTGTTACAGGTACATAAAGCAGGTTTGTAAAAACCTATATTTTCATCAATGGGCAGATAAAGCTTTACGACCCGCTCCGAGCGGGCAGATATAGTATATCTGCCCACTACTAGTACGTCATAATCGCCACTCGCATATTGGTTAATTTTTGTAAAGTTCGCATGTTGGAAATTTTCTGAACTATGGCCAATTGAAAAATGTGAACCAGATGACCAAGATTGGTATGGGATAAACAGATCATCCTTTAGTCGGTTCAGGATA